CGTGTGCGGAATAAAGGCGAGAAAGAAAACAGAAGACAAAAAATAAAACAAAAAGCAAAACCAGGACAGCCCCACGTTTTTCCTCCACCCCCCTGTCGCTCACAAGGCTTCTAACCACCCCGGCCCGGCTTACACCCCTGAATGACACCCTTGTTCTTGTAGGTCTTGGGTGAGATGAGCGGGCAAGGCGGGTAGGGCAGGTAGATCCACCACAAACATATAAGATAGGCCGCGCGTGGGGAAACGTAATTCACGTCCGGCATTGGCTTGCAGGCTGAATTGGTTTCCCGGAGCCGTACCTTGATTCCTGAGCGTGTTGGTGTGCGTGTTAGTTAGTGTGAGGCAGCCCCTGTCACGTTTATTCCCCATGTCGTGCTCGTGTTAGTGTGCGCAGTGCAGGTGTGTGTGTGTGTGGGTGCGTGTGCATGGATTTGTGTGTGTGTGTGTGTGTGTGTGTGTGTGTGTGTGTGTGTGTGTGTGTGTGTGTGTGTGTGTGTGTGTGTGGGTGGGTGGGTGCGCGTGTGCTTGTGTGTGAGAGTTCGCAGGTTGGTGGTACAGAAAATCGATAATGTATGGAAGATCTTGTCTCCCTGTGCTCCATGACCTCGATAACCACGAGAATCTTAGAAACAACAAGGTTGTGTCGCCGTCGGCTGCCGACAGGTCTCTTCCCCAATCCCGTGTCTTGGTGATGTCCCACGAAAGCACGGAAGGAAGTAAAGGAAGGAGGGGAAGAGGAGGGAACACCAAAACACACCCAGGCAGCCTGCAGAGGCGTTTCGTCAATCACACTTCGTCCCTCAGCCGTGCGCCGCATCGCCCAGACGAACAGCGCCTCCTGCGAGATTGCGATCTCCTGCTGTTTCTCCTCCGTCGTCGGAGTGGTTGTGTCCGCACTTTCTCGTGCTCATGCCCGCCAGGGAATGTAGTCGCGATGTCAGTACTCAAGTTCAGTCAGCCGGTTAGTCAGCCAGCAGGCCGCCCGCCCGTCCTCCCGCCTCTGCGCGTGCAGTGCATCTCCGGCCCACGCCGTCGCACTCGCCTCGAGTTGCGCATAGGAGGAGGGCCCGTCGATGGGTCGGCTTGTTCCGTGGTTGCCTCGTCCTGTCTTGGCCTGTGGTACATTATCACCAGCCCCCTGATCTCGAGGAGCTCATCTCGATCGGCTGGTGCTCTCTGTCTTGTCTTTCCTTCCTGATTCTTTTTGCTACGTGGTACCCGGCGGGTAGGACGATGCCGAAAGATCGTGATACAACAGCTCATCCCCCTCTCTCTGTTCGCAGCAGGAGCGGAATCCTCTCACGCGATGGGATGTGATTTGGCCAGACTCGCTTGCAGACGAGGGAAGGACGACGCCGGTGCAAGCATGAGGTCGCAGTCTTCGAAATGCGGGAGATGGCACGGGTGTCTGATGTCTGTGGTCTGTGAGAATGTGTGGGATTCCCAAGGGGGCCCCTGCCTGATTCATCGAATTCCTCGTCCTGTTTGTCTGTCTGTTCTAAATCTTGGGATACCGTGTTCTCTGATCCAAGCCCCGAGGAGACTCCCACGCCTGCCACTTTGCGGTCTTCCTTCAGAACTCCTGAAAAAACATCGGACCAGAAATCAAACACGCCTGAGCCTGTAGGTGTAGCCCGTCCATGCCCCTCCGACCGTTTCACCGTGGAGTGAGAAACAGTGTGCTTTAATCTATCATGATAAACCAGCCAGTCTACAAATCCAGTAATTACCACCGCCCGCTCCGCACTCATCACCTGTGACTGCGGCGCTGCCTAGTCGGATGGGGTCCCGTCTAGGCCCTCCCTCCCTTCATGGCCTGCTTCCGGCGGATCCTCTCCGTCACCCTCTGCAAGGCCGTCTTGACCTCGCCCTTGTCAAACGTGTCTAGGTCGTAATAGACTGGTGCGATCTCGAGAAGCCACTCTGGGCGGACACCAGTGACAGTACGGATGTATTGCTAGGATAGAGTCAGCATATTATTCGATCATCTCGAAAGAATCAGGACAAAGTCAGAAGTGTAAAGAAGATAGACATACCTTGCTCGTTAGGACGAATTCGTGGTAAATGACCCATTCGTAGTCTGCCTTTATCACGCTGGAGGGGTGAATCAAGACGGGCTGGTTGTCCTTGATCGTGGTGTAGCTCTTGCTCGTGTCCTTCATGGCCACCTGCATGAAGAATCCAGCCACAAGGGCCCGTCGGATGTTGTTGTAGTAGTTCTTGTCGTTAAAGTCCGTAGATACTAGCTCGATATTGTGCGTCTCCATAATCCGCTTGAGCTGGGCGCGGACGTTATCGGCCGAACTCAAGTGACGTATGCTGCAGAAGTGCTCGTGACACCAGACCTTCATGTCGGTGCCCTTATTCATCTCGCCCTTGAAAGCGTGGTAAAGGTTGAGCAGTGTGAGATGATCGCCATCTGGGTGAGCAAACTGGGCCTTCATCTCGTCGGCGCGTTTACGTGCTGTGTTGGGGCGGACCCACGGTGATGGCACAGAAAGCAGGGAGACAATCGACAGGACTTCGTTGCTGGCGTAAAACTCAGGGCTGCTGATAAGCATGACGGCCAGCTGGGGGTCGAGGGGGAACTCGGACGCAAGGCTGCCCAGCGGGGTGAGCTCGCCCTCGTCGTCCAGGCAGGCCAAAAAGTTCAACTCCTCAAGAGCACGCATCATCGTCTCGGGGGCTGGCGGGTCCAGGAGATCGAAGTGAACCAGATCTTGGACCCCGAGCCTTTTGAGCTGCAGGATTGTGTTCGACAAGTTTGACCGCAGGATCTCGGGGTAGGTCTGTTCTATAAGTTCCTTCTTAAATGCCGGTTCCGTGTACAGCCTGAAGCACTTTCCTGGTCGCGTACGACCCGCACGACCAGCTCTTTGTTGTGCAGATGCCTTGCTGATGGGGCTGACGAGCAGCGACTCGACACGGATTCGGGGGTTGTAAATTTTTTGCTTGCTAAAGCCTGGATCGACGACATACACAATTCCTGGGGGACGTGTTAGCATAGGTCATCAGAACAAAGGTCCAGCCAGACGTACCATCGATTGTAAGCGACGTTTCTGCAATATTTGTGGCCACAATGCATTTTCTTCCGGTACGTCCACCTGGCTTGATAGGGCCGGGAGCCTTGTCGAAGATGCGCTGCTGCTGGTGTGGTGGCAGAGTACCATAAAGAGGGTAGATTGACATCTGGCCAACGTCCGACTCCCGGAGCATCTCGTCAACCTCGAGGCGGATTCTCCTGCAAGCATCTTCAATTTCCTCTTCTCCGGTCAGGAACAGCAGGATGTCACCCTCGTCCTCTGTCGCATGAATCTGGAGCACCGTCCTGATGGACGCCTCAATATAGTCCCTCTCCGCCTCTGGGGTGTAGAACAGCTGCACAGGGTGTGTTCGTCCGGGGACGGCCAGCAGCGGCGCATCGAAATAGTACTTCTGGAATTTTTGCGCGTCGAGAGTGGCGGACATGATGATGATCTTGAGGTCCTTGCGGCGCTGAGATATCTCCTTGAGCAGGGCCATGAGGATATCGGTGGCGAGGGTACGCTCGTGAGCCTCATCGATGATTATGCAGGCGTACCGAGACATATCGTTGTCGTGCATACACTCTCGCAGCAGCTGACCGTCGGTCATGTACTTGAGCATCGTCTTTTCGGAGGTGCAGTTGTCGAAACGGACGCTGTAACCGACCTCGTTGCCGAGGGTGACGTCGAGCTCGTCGGCGACACGCTGGGCGACGCTGGTGGCGGCGACTCGCCGAGGCTGAGTACAGGCGATCAGCTTGCCGCTGAACTGGGGGAGCTCGTCGTAGAGGACGTATTGCGGGATCTGGGTGGTCTTTCCGGAACCTGTTTCTCCGACAAAGACCATGATCTGAGTGTTGTGATAGATGTCGAGGAACTCCTGGCGGTGCTTGTGCACAGGCAGGTTCCTCCTCCCGTCGAGGATCCTGAAGTACTTCTGGCTGTGCGGCTCGCCCGTCCACGGGTTGTCGTCGGCATCCTCGAGCGAGGAGATCTGCTTCTCGGTGGTCGCATGGCGCTTGATGCCGTCGAAGGCAGGCCACGCAGACGACTTAACGGAGCCGTTCTGGTCGCCGTACTGATGAGCGAGGTAGGGGTTGTATCCGTCCATGGCGCCGCCCTGCCTTGCCCGCTTTGGGGAGCCAGGAGTGTCGGTGTCGGCGTCGGCGCTGGGCCTCTTAGTGCCCTTGAGCTTGTCAGCCATGACTTACGAGGGAAGTCTTGCGAGAGGTTCGAGAAACAAACGTGGTGATGACCTCGTCGCCGTGCCTTGCAGAAGAGGCTTTGCGAAACAGCACGCTGAAGGTGGGTGTTCAGGATCACTGACCAGTAAATTTTCCTGGGATACCATGGGGTTCATCCAATCGGCAGGCAAGCCGATCGCATTTCTGCCTGCCGAGTCGGAACCGATATTTTGGGAGCGCCGTTGCTGCAGTAGCAGCAGTAGCAGTTACAATTTGCATGGACCCTGCGAATATTTCGCACCAAATCTGTTGTGCCGCCGTCCAAGGACTGACTCCAATGGGACATTGTGACGGCGACAAATTGTGATATCATGTGTGAATCAGTGTCTCACCGTAAATACAGCTTCTGAGGATCTGTCTAGGCAAGGACTAAATCGTATAGGAGACTAGTCATAGGGTACAAATTCCTGCTACGCCCAAAAGACAGCATATAGCACTGCACGGCTCGTTCATCGTAGTCTCAAGAACACCAAATGCATCTCATGCCCATCTAGAATTCTGGGCCATGTGCCACCCTCAAGAAACATGTCTCTTGACCTGGCTTGTATTGCGTATTGTGGCATCTGGTGATTTGATGTGAGCCTCCCAGACTGGAACTGTACGCCCCTCTCCCCTCATCTTTTAGGCGTCCAAGTCCCCCATCCCAGTAATTTTCCAACAGGAGTTTCTTTGCCCTCTCACACCTTTCTGCATCTTCAACCTCGAGCAACCCTACGCGGAGTGTGCATTCAAGATGCCTTCCAGCGGGTCCTTGAACCCTGAGTCGGAGGCTTTTCCTCAGATTCGTCCAACATTTTGGATCGGCCAGCATGATTCCTCCAGGGTTGAGGCTCTTACTGATGGCCAGTACTCCCAGGTCCTTAACGCTGGCGTAAGTTTCTTATCCCAGGCTTGGGAGCAGCACAGCTAACCACCTTCTCAGTTCGGGTTCGCTACGGCGCCAATCACAAACGAGCACTTTCACCAACGGGTCAAGGAGCTGTACAAAGCCTATCTGAGCGACCTTGAAGCCTCGAGTTTGTCGGCTGCCGAGAAGGCCAACCCGTCTCTGCCGGGCCCCACTGTGCCTACTCTCACCAACAAGGACACAAGCCTCGTCCCCAGCTCATATGTGCTCAATGTGCTGGCATACTCGAGCCCATGGATCGATCTGTGCTCGACGGACCCGATCATCGCCAGCATCTCCCGCCAGGCGCTGAACCTGGAGGTGGCCTATGCCAACTTTTGTGGAGTTCGCAGTGTTGTGATCCCTGGCCCAAGGCAGGATGGGGACGGGAAGGCCATTGCTCAGTATGTGAGGGCGGTGCAGGAGGCGTTCGAGGTGGCAACTAGGGTGAACATCATCGTTCATATACCCATGTACCGAGAGCCTGGGCTGGAGGAGAATGCCAAGTTACTATCTGAGGAGCTTCAGGAGCCCAAGAATGTGCAAAAGGCAGGTGCACAGGATGAGGAGGTTGATCTATTTGGGGCTTGGGATACGTGGCATACCATTCGTTCGGTTTGCCAGTACTCGACCAGGCTCTTTGTTGGTAAGGTCTTCCAGACATGCTATTTGTTCTCGATCCTGCAATGCTGGTCCACAGCTAACAAACCTACTCTAGCACTAAGGATCCCACGCCGTCTCCCAGAGAAGGAGCTTCAAACTCGATGGTTTGCCGAGCCCCTTCACTACGTGACCCTCGGACCGAACACCTTCCAGGCAAACAAGACTGGCAACCCATCCCTCACGCGCTACCACCAGGAGATGATCTTTAGCTACATGCGCCTTAAGAATGCCCCTTGGTTCATCCTCTACGACGTTGGCCCCTCAGTGGCCGAGCTCAATGCAGCAGCCGAAGCTACCGAGGCCATCCAGGTCGAATTCCCCACCATCGGCGAGGCAGCACACAGCGAGGCCCTGGCCAAGAGCCTCCCTGGCATGAACGCCCACGTCCTGTACATGAGCCACCTGGAGCGCCAGCAGGAGCCGCTCGGCCTGCTCGAGACGGACACGCTGACGAGCTTCCAGGACTGGCTGCAGAGCCCCCTGCAGCCGCTGTCTGACAACCTCGAGTCCGCCACGTATGAGATGTTCGAGGGCGATCCCGTCAAGTACAACCTGTACGAGGAGGCTATGTTCCAGGCCATGAGCGAGTGGAAGAAGCTCGGCAAGCCGACTTCTTCCCTCAAGGGTGACAACGCCGAACTGGTGGTCACCGTCGCTGGAGCCGGCCGCGGCCCGCTGGTGACGCGGGCGTTGAGAGCCAGCGAGCGCAGCGGGATGCCCATCCAGATGTGGGCGGTGGAGAAGAACCAGAACGCCTACGTGTACCTCCTGCGGCAAAACGAGACGGTATGGGGTGGGCGGGTGACGGTGGTCAAGACGGACATGCGCGACTGGACGGGCCCCCGGCCGCAGGGCTACACGGGCAGCGCGCCGCCCAAGGTGGACATCCTGGTGACAGAGCTGCTGGGTTCGTTCGGCGACAACGAGCTGTCGCCCGAGTGCCTCGACGGGATCCAGAAGCACATCTCGCGGCCGCACGGCATCTCGATTCCCGAGTCGTACACAGCGTGGCTTTCGCCCATCGCGACGCCCAAGATCCACGCGCACCTCCGGACCATCGCCCCGACCGACGACAACGCCTTCGAGACGCCCTGGGTTGTGCGGCTGTACCAGCTCGACTTCATCACGCAAAAGGTGCCCGGGAAGCCGCGGTTCCAGCAGGCCTGGGAGTTTGTTCACCCCGTCGCGGGCTCGCTCATCGAGAAGTGGGAGGCCGAAAACGGCCCCGTGTCGCACGCGCCGAGGCTGCGCACCGCGGGCGGCGGCGCGATGAACAACTCGGGCGGCACCAACGAGCACAACGCCCGGCACACGCACCTGACCTTCTACTGCCGCCCGCGCGGCGTCTGCCACGGCCTGGCGGGCTACTTTGAGAGCACGCTCTACCGGCCGCAGACTGGCGAGGGCAAGGAGCTGGTGGAGCTGAGCATCCTGCCGGACCAGATCGACAAGAAGAGCAGGGACATGGTCTCCTGGTTCCCTATTTTCTTCCCTCTCAAGGTGAGTGCACTCTACGATATAGCCTGCAAGGGTCAATTCACAATTTCACAGTTTCAGTCAAGTGCTAACATGGTCATCCGGAACAGCAACCCCTCTACTTCCCCCAGGACTCAGACCTCGAGGTCAGCATGTGGCGCCAGACTGACGACACAAAAGTCTGGTATGAGTGGATCGTCGAGGCGTATGTCTGGGTCGGCCCAAAGACGAGGGTCAAGGTCGCGTCCTCAGAGCTGCATAGCAGCCGCAAGGTGGCATGCCTGATGCAGTAGGGTGCATGGCACGCGCAATGCCGGACTTTCTGGTGCGAAGGGAAGCTTGCACTGCTGCTTCTGCTGCTGATTGGGATTCTGGCTAAGCTGGAGGCATTCTTCTGGGCAAGCATTTTGTGTGATTTTGCCGTACCTAGTCATATGCATAGCAACCCCATTGCGATTCGTTCCCAACGAAGTAGGAGCTCCTTTTCCATGGCCATGACAGCCCTTCTTTTTCCAAACGCCGCTGTGCCTGTTGTGGCCCTGCTCCCTCTTTCCCTGCTTGCTTGCTTCCAGCCCTGTCTGCCTCGTAGAGCATTTGGGTTGGCATCGGGGGATCGTCAGTGTCGCTCTGGATTATCCTCAGGTGCCCTTCTGAGCGCTGGTATCACTCCGTCCTTCCTTAATTTTCCAGTAGCCCATTATTATCCCCTCCATCAGCCGTCCATCTTGACGTCCCCGTTCTCGCCCTCGCCCACGGCCCGGATCCAGAGCACGTTGTTGCAGCGGATGAGGACCTGGCCAAGCGACCCGGAGAAGTTGTTCTTGATATACTCCTCTGCGTTGGCGAGCTGGATGTTCATGTAGCTGTCGATGGAGACCCTATTGGAAGGAGAGCTGGTCAGCATTGCATATTCCCCATGCGCGAGTGGACGTGTAAATGCGTGATGGAGGTCGGTGTTGTCTCACAGTCTGCCCTTGTACTCAGTCTCTCCCCACTTGAGACGCACCCAGATCTCCTTGTTCACCCTATCAAACATCTGTCAGCCTCTCCGTTCTGTTTCATGTGGTCGCGCGGGCCGGGCGGCGCGTTGGAGCTTGGGCAAGCACGTACAGGTCCTGGAGGAAGGGTCGGGGGTTCACTGGCATGAACTGCGATAATGATGTCAGTTGGTCTGTCTATTTCAATATCAAAATGGGAAGTGGGCCGACTCACACTCATGATGGGCAGGCTGCTGGTGCGTTGGGGAGGAGGTGCAGCAAAATGTCGTCGGCGTGTGAGCTCTGTTCGCGGATTCTGCCAGTTGCTGGTTTGTCGCACGCGACGGGGCAGGCAAGGAGCTGCATGGGCTAGGCAAGCTGGAAGGCAGGCACGGTCGGGACAAAATAGAGCGCACTCGTATTATGTCACACCCTCCCAAAACTACACTCTCTTCATCAGCACCCACTAACCGAACGACCTTCTTTCTTTATGAACGATTTTTTTGAAAAGCCAAAACTCTCACTGGTAAGTCATTAAATGACAAAGAATTGATCGTTATATTTTAAATGACTGTAGGACCTTTGTAGTCGAGGTTTATTTGGCTTGGGTTATGGAGGGAAGTTTGTGAGTGCGCTCTTTTTTGTCCCGACCGTGGCAGGGCAGGGCAGGGCAGGTGGGTGCTGAATTTTGGGGCAGGGATCTGGGCGGTTTCGACGCGGCTGGCGGCTAAGTGACGGGTGCCCCTGCCTGTGCTCCTGGCTCCTGCATGCTCCAAGCTGTTTCTGCCGGCACGCACCCGTCTGCACTGCCCGCCACCTCCCGCGCGCTGGCTGCCACAGCAGAGTGCCAGACTGCTGTGACCGCCTGGAGCTCAGATAGTCACTGTCGCATCGCCTCTCTGTCTCGATCGCCCGTCCCGAGACCTTTTTTGATGACTCGCAGCACTCGAAACACACCACTCTTTTGCCGAGTTACGAATTAGACTTCAGATTTATACAGTCACCCGGTTCGACCCGACATTAGCTATCCTACAGCCCTGCGGATGTCCATTATACGGGGGTTGCAGAATTCTGAACCCGCGTTTCCGATACCCAGGACCGACCCTGCACACGGCCCAAATGACACGCATGGCCGGCCCAGAACAAGCAACACGAACAACCCCTCAACCTCGCCCGTCCCGTCCCATTACTACGGGCAGTGCAGTAAGAGAGTAGTCACTACATCAGACTTCAGATCGAGTGGCCTGATCGCCTGATCATGACGTCTGGGCAAAAGCTTGACCACCCTGGGGCCACGGAGCGCCTCCCAGCCCGTCACCAGCCAGCATGGCCTCGCCCAGCACGTCGTCCTTCTCGGTCGACCACTCGCCGTCTGCCCACGGCTCCAGCCCGGGCACGTTGGGGTACTGCACCTTGAGCCCGGGCGTTGCAGGCCTGCTCGACCCTAACCACTCTGCCTGCACGACCTCCTTGCGGCTGGGGCACACCTCGCCCGCCGTGTGTCTGCACAGCGTGAAGGGGGCTCTGTCGGCGTCGTCGTCGGCGTCATCGTCGGCGTCATCGTGATCGTGACCATCCCCATCGTAGTGTCGGCCCCTTTCCCTCGCCTCCAGCCGCTGGTCCAGGCCCTCAAACCTCTCGAGGAACCCCACGGGGATGCACACCTTGAAGTTGGGCACGTGCCGCACCCGCCGTAGCGCGCCCAGGTACAGCTCCTCGACGTGCGCCTCGTTGCTGGGCATCCCCAGGGCCACGTACAGGTTGCGGATGGACGGGAACTGCGTGGCCAGCGCGTCGCACAGCGACGGCCACGCTGACCGCAGCGTCAGCGTGTCGAACTCGGGCGCATCTGTCCACCCTTGGTCGTCCCACACCAGCTTCAGCGACCGCACCAGCGCCAGGTGCGCCGGCGATACGGTGTTGATGAACTGGATGGTGGGGTGGATCCCGCGCAGCCGGAAGAAGGACGACGAGTACAGCAGGCTTGAGGCCTCGTGGTAGCTGTTGGGCAGGGCGGTGGGTGGTTAGTGGCCATGTCTTGCGGACTGTAGATCAGTGTGTAGTGTGGGCGCTGGGGCTGATATGACTAACATCTTCTTGCTCGTAAGCAGCAGTGACATGATGTTGCCGCTGCCATTGTCCTGGCTGCCCGCGGCATGGGGTCTCTCGGCCTCGTGCAGGCGGCACCTCTTCTTTGGTGGTGACCTCAGCTTGGGAAAAAGCGTTGGTACAGACCTGCCCTCCTCGTCGTCGAGGCTGAAGAAGTTGCCGTTCTCAAAGAGGATGTACTCGTAGATGTGGATCCGGATCTCCACGGGCAGCAAGTCCTGAAAGGGACAAGACCCCGTGTAATTGCCTATTTGGTCGCTCATGGCCGCTTTCGCACTGCAATCGACTTTCCGGGCGTTGCTGTATGCCTTCAGGCCCATGATAACGCAGCAGAGAAGATGTCGTGGGAGAAAGAGAGGAGCACCGGGAGAGCGCGAGATTATGGCGCAAGAGTCTGGGCGAAAATTTGAAGGATGTAGGGGACGTTGATCTTGGAGTGTAGTGGGCCGGAGGCTTCTCAAAAGGGCAAAACAGGCAACTATTCCGTGTGTCAGGCCTGCAAATGGACGACGACACACGACCAACTCTAATTGTAGCCAACTTGCAGGAAAAAGGGCCTGGGCTGGGCCACAACTCGTACTTGTATGCGCGTCAGTTTCTGCTCCCGATTCTGTCCACCCCTCCCGCATTGGGCCTTGCTGGGCTTTGCTTTGTTTTGCTTTGGTAGCTCATTAAGTGCCAAATTGTGAAAACATGCCACCAGCAGGGGGCCCCTATTTTTTCTCTTGGGATGATCACATCCAAGCCATCCCAAGATCACCAGGCAGCCTTGTCCACCACTTGGCAACCCCAACTTGCCGGGAAGGGCAATGCGACCTTGGTGGCCGTGGTGACCTCGTGCCTGCGATCCCTGGCCCTTCCAGTGGCAGTCAGTGGCAGTCAATGGGAAGAACGAGAGTCTTGGAAAATGCTTGGTATGGAATCCGATCGGGTAATGTCGCAGCGGGTGTCGGTATCTGCGCTTCCCTCTGCGCACGCACGCACGCACGTCCGCCCGCCCGCGATTGACAGGCTTAACCAAGAAAGCCTACTGCTGCACGCTGTAACCCTTTTACTACGCCTCAATTGCCCCTCGCGCCCCCCAAAGGAGACATGAGTGCTAAGCACGGCATGCTATAGCAGCACACAGGTCACACTTAATCACGCTGAGCTGCAGCCGCATCGTCGCCCAATCCGTCTCTGTGCATCGTCGTCTTGCATGTGATGGATGGCTGCGACAGCGGCAACGCACTCTGACAGCTGCATCGCTCAAGACCCCGCCTCCCGCCTCCCGCCTCCCGAGCGGCCGCCCATCGTGGTCTTCAGCCCAGGCTCCTCAACTACCAGCGTTTCGAGGACCGTGCGCTGTATGACACAGTCAGCTGCCTCTTCCTGCGCATCTTCGTCAAGTTATCCGCAAAGTGCCGCGGCCTTGGCCCCCTGCCCCAGGTCCAGGTCCGTGTCTACTTTTGTTCATGATCGCCTCTGACATGCCTTACGATCTTCCATGACGGCGTACTCTCTCACATCGGCCACGAGCAGCTCTTGCAGTCGTTGACATGTCGCCTGGATGGTCATTCTCAGATCATTTCAGAGCTGCCTCCCAATTGAGGCTGTATGTGGTGCCAATTCTCGACTATCATAGGTCGAGGAGCTACCAGTTCGCATCTACGCCTATCTGTTCCCGTGTGCCGTGGCTCCTTGCTTGAAGAAACATGAGATAACATAGGGTAAAGGTATCCTGTCGCCCAAGCCCCGGCGCAGCATCGCACCGTGCCCGACTCATTGCAGTCACCCTTATTGCTCAGCGAATAGTGAGCAACCGCTCGATTGTCCCACAGCGCGAAGCCGCCGTGAGATTGTGCCAGGCAGGACCCATCTATCTCAGGTAGAAAAGGTGTCAGCTCTCGTGGCTGTCAAGGGATAGAGCGTAGTGTACGGCCAGGAACAGGCCACGTGCTCGAGCTCAGCCCGGCATATGCTTGCCTGGGGAAGAAGGTTACCGCTCGCAGGTGTCCCAGGGGTTCACCAGGCACTCAACAGGTCCGGAGAGGGACTAAGAAAGCCTGTGCCAGCTTCCAGTCGTGAGTCCTGCAATTTTCATCACATCACACTCCATTCCGCTGGACGTTTGTCACTTTAAACTCATCCCACAATTGGTTGTGCTACTGCGGAAAAGTGATAGTGAAATTATCCGCGGAGACTTGGGGTCCCTGCGATCTGCTATTGAGTGGTTCCATTGCAAATCCGCCCCTAGGGTTGCGCACCCGTAGGATCTCGTGGGCGTCGACTTGGCGGTTGGTCTGGACGCCGGCTGGTAGGGATGGGGGTGGGTGCCCCCCTAGGCCCTCCTGGCCTAGTCGAGGCTTTGATATGAATTGAACACACAAAGTGGCCACTGAAATATCGGGCCGGATATTGAGCAACGCTAGTCTATTTCTCCAAACGTCAATCTCTTGACTCTATCATGCGGTAGCCACACACTACCAGGGACTCCTTGAAAAGACAACAGGATTGCGGATAACGAAGACGTTATAGTCCCAAACATCGTGAGGGATTCCGTGCTTGGGCGCGCGCTTGGGTGAGACAGCACTTATGGCTAAGCCTTGTGTACGCTGCCAGGGATAGTGGCTGGCACACAATGATGAAGTATAATAATCGTCTTCGCGAGTCTGGCCCGATTCTACTGAATGCCTAGGTGACCCAGCAGAATGTGTGTTGCGTATTGGGCTGCTCAGATGATATTGAAACCATAAAGTCTGTCTCCTGGTCCATAATCTTCAGCGAAAACTTGATGAGATTGTCGTCTTTTCACTGTTGGCCAGATCAATACTTGCGCATCCTGCCAACGTGCTCTTCAATTTTCTTTCTCTTTTAGAAAAGCCTCAGAGCGTCAAATAACTCCTCTTGCTGAGGGTAGTCACCGGGATAGCGAAAGGCTTAAGTTTAAAACTCCCTACCTTGTCTCATCCATTTAGATACTTTGGATCACCGTTTGAATGATCCAATGATGACATCGTCGTCAATTTCCACTGGATAGCTTTCTTAGCTTACTATATAAGCATATGGGCAGCCTGAAAGGCCACAAGCTGGAAGAGGTTGAGCACAGCGAACATAATGTTCAAAAGTGAATAGGCCATCGCCCTGTGAAGTATCTCGAAGGCAGCGATCCATGTAAAAGATGAGGTCGGGCAGCTTCATAGTTTATGATCATGCTGCTTTTGTAAATGAAGGCAGGCTCTAATTCTTACTTGACCAAGACCATTTCTCGAGTAGGCAGATGTCCTAGGTACAGAAACTCTACGCTCAGAGGTCTATGTCCATCATAGATAGTGGCAGCCTCAGTCAGAAATCCATTCGCTGCTGCGGGCCAGCTTCTTGCTGCCGAGACTGATATGCTGGCGTGGATTCCCAACGCGAGCCAAGCTTGATACCTTTTTTTTCTGCAAGAAATTGCGCTCCTTTTGGTGGCCTGATTTGGCGGCTTAAAAATTCATGAGGAATAAACTGAAAGGACACTTTCATGTTTGCATGGGCGGCAAGTCCCCAGCCGACACATCCTGTCGTCATCTCATCTCAAATGTTCTTCAATGAGGACATCTACAACCATTATGCGCCAAAGACGGAATGCAAAAGTCATTATTAATTATATACGGCAAAATCACACAGCCTACGACGACCTGCAGGCAAATGGCTTATGAGCACTACCAGAATTGGTCTCATCGATCTACAAAAGGTTAGCACGGTTGAATAAATTTGGAGGAATACAATGCTTACAATATCAACAATAGTTGAGTAAGTGCCTGCAACCAAAGTCACGGCACCAATGATGAAAGCCAGGATACTTCCCAAGCTGATCAGAATGTTCTCCTTCGAGTACCATTTGCCCTTGCAGAGCAAAGCAAACCACATCACGGCCGGCAGGTAAAACGAAAATCCAGAAACGAACAGGGCGGACGCCAGTGAAAGGAGATCCGAGAAGATGGGGATCGCCTCGGCAATTATCCACGCGATCAAGGTGAAGATAACCACGAGGACTATCCAGCTGGCCCAGCCCATAGGAGTGTTGACGTACTTCAGGTGCGAATTCTTATACATGCGGCCATGGATATATCGGAGGGCTACCGTCGAGTTAATCGAGCCAGAGATAAAAATGACCGGGAGAGCGACTCCAAATGCAATTTTCGAGATGAGCGGTCCGGCGGACAGGAGGGCCGGAGACTGCACCGATTCTCCAATAAAAGCGTAGCAGAGAGCGCCCGTAATTGTATAGATGCAGATTTGGATAAAACCAGATGCCCAAATGGACTTCATGTAATCGGTGGGTGTATGCATCTCGTCCATGAACGAAAACTGGCCAATGGCGAAACTGAATGCGAAAATGATGTTGCTGACAGCGACAAATGCTTCGGAAAATGTGACGCCTTCTTTGGGCCAGGCTGACCATCCAACACCTGACAGACCTCCCTCTGAGTGGTTTGCCTGAATGCCTGTGGCGATGACGGTAATTCCGATGGCGGCAAGAATAGACACGAAGTCGATATAACCGAGTATGGCCACCTCAGTAAACGAAGGAGGGATGGCGAGGATGAGCAGAATAATGGCTGAAACGGCGGAGAAGACTATGGAGCAGACGTTGCCGCCGTTGATGTCAACAAGGGCAATGCTTCCAGTGAGAGCATGTGAGCCGACAACCATGACCAGCTCCAAAACGAGAGCAGCTCCGAAGATCTCGTAGCCAATACGTCCGTACCGGCCGAACAGCAGCCGTCCGGCTTCTGCATAGTTGGCAATATGAGGGTAGGCCAATTTGACCTGCCCAACGAGGTAACTTGTGAAGATCGAAATCAGTCCGACAGTGATGGTCAAAAACACACCAGGGAACATTCCCAGGGTATGGAACGCTGATGGTAAGCTGAGGGCGCCTAGTGCGACGGCCTCGACAATAGTGACAATTGCAAGTCGCTTCCACCCCAGACGATGGAAGTGAGCGCTGCCCGCGGCCGCAATCTCCTTTAATTGCTGGGTGTTCATCTCGTCGCTTGTCTCTCCGAGCATGCTGTTGGCTCCCACCGGCCATGGGTTGCGCTCCTGGACCTGCTCAGCGTCAGGACCATTCTTATTCTTGCTGGGACCATGGCTGGTCGTGCGGGAGATCTCGTCCGTCATGGCGAAGGGAAATGTGTTTCCGGGAGAGGTCGCGAAGTGGCTTGGGTGAGACTGTCCACCAGAGGATCGAAACGAATGGCAAGGGAAGAAGCCAGCGAGTACTTGAGGACTCGCGGAGATAGAATCCACGACGCGTCTGACATTGCTGGCTTTTAAACGACGATCTCGAAGACGCGAGTCAGATGGATCAAGATCCACATCGTCTAAGGCGAGCTGGATTCATCCTTGACAAACTGGAGGTTTTCGTCAGTCTCGACTCCCTCGGCCGGCGTTAACCGGGTCTCCTCCACAAAATGATCTCGCCCGATAGAGCGGGTTTCCCGTCTAGCACGTGGAATGCACTTTGGGTTGATAAGATCTAATTGTTTGGTGTCATTGTGAGAAATCGATTCCATCAACTCTGGATTACGAGGGCCCTGAATGGCCGTTCTTCGGGCTGTTCGTACGGGGCTCTCTGTGGAGGGGCGAATCACCTGGTTTTGATGTCGTAAAAGGAGCCTGGGATGTGATGTTTTGAGCCGCGCCAAGGGACCCGCTTGACTAATTTTTTAGAGCCGTTTAATTATTATTAGGAAATCTCTAAGACCGGCCTTGTTTCTCAAGCCTTGCCACATGCATAGATTTATTCAAACTGAACGCTCGGATCCTTGAAGGCAAGAAATCAATACGACAAACGCCTTGCTTTGCTCGACCACAATTTTCAACGTAGGATTGGTTTGAATCCTACACTGCATAAGGAACCGCGCCTTCAATGAAATTTACTTTTCTTTGACGTAAAAATCTCCTCTTGAGAACAATGATGTACTCTCTAGGAGTTTGATGCACATCTGGCGTTGAGTCACAGCACAATGCATGGGGATCGGACATTTATCTAAGAGGGACAAGTCCTATACTTCCACCCAGGCTCTGATTCCAACACGAAGACATGCCTTCTAAGTAGTTTTAGATTCGGGAGAGTGTTTTAGTCAAGCTTTTCTTTACACACTTTTCTGTGGAGATTCTGGGTGACACGGCCCTCGACTTTGAAATTTTCAGTTGGTGACGTTACGGTTAATGGTGGTGTGATATGCTTACTAAGCCGAATCGACTTCATGTAAGTGCGAGGTAAACACAGTACTCACAAATGTTGGCGTGAGTAACATTCAAGGTTCTAACTATAGCATAGCCACTGATGTCGACAATTCTCATTTTTTGTAGCGATATATGCATACATAATTCCAATAAGTGTAACACGACAAAGAGCCTAAGACATAGACAAAGAGCGCGACAGTTGGACGTTGGAGATGTTCATGGTCGTTGTGTCCATATTTTGATCATATCGTAGAGATCGGACGGTTTCATGTTTGAAAGGAACAGAACAAGGCGTCTATACTTCCACGTGCTCGCCTTTTTATAAATAAAGGAACACATCAAGCGATGAGATTGCCCCATTATAACATTGCTGTTTGGGCAAGACACGAGCAGTTGCTAGAAGTTATGAAGGCGGGTAAGAGTCCCTTTCACGTCGCTCGAAGACCTTACCGGGACATCAGATACAGAAAAGATTTAATACAACTTGAGATACCTATGCCTTACGATCTAATGAATAATAAGTTATCTTTGACTGCTGATCACCAAATGCCAATCGAGAACAAGCCTCCACCAATGCGTACACATCGAGCATGAATGTTATATTTCTCTGGTATGAGGAGGTCGAACAAGATATAAGAGCGTAGAGATATCGAGGACTAAAGATGTCTTGGTCGAGCGGAATTCACTATATTGGCTCATTGAAGTGCTGCAGGAGTTTCAGAAGACTGGAACAGACTACAATACTCACCCCAAAGCGATGTTCCGTGGACGACTTGCACGACGTTCTTCACGTGTCTGCTTACCGAGCTGGATAGTAAAAGTTGCGGTCCAGAGTAAGATTCTACAGGTTGGGAAGGATGTACGCATTGGATACAGTACTCCTGCAGCCACTGTATAAAGATGATCGTGCACTCCATTATTGAGAACAGTCCCGCAGAGACTGCTTCGGCTATCAACTTTGCATAATACTCTGTGTGTGAATAGTATCGTTAGCGTTTGTAGCGAGCTGATTGGTCCGTTGGGCCTACGGCTATAAGTAGGCCTTGGAGGGATGCAGCCTTCGGCTGCTTCCTGTAACCAAGCAAGCAACCCACACCCAAATAAACACCAACATCCCCAAACGCGCATCGTATTCGAATACGTGACCCAGCCAACACTCTGAGTCATATCTTGAAAAGCTATCATCTAGTGTATCATCCTCTGCTTCGATGAAATCAAGGTGGCAGAGATCTGAGCTGACGCATGAACCCGAAAGGGCCAGGAAATAGAGATTTTCTACAGCAAGTGCAGTGGCAGCGGGCCAATTCCCGCTGTTCGCTTTCCTCAGAGAAGAAAAAGCCGGACATCCTTTTTTATGTTGTTTGGCTCCCTTGACGAGATCAAGCATCGGTGAATTGGGAATTCTAGAGCATTCAAGTATTTGAGTGAGCGCTCAAGGGTATTCTCTCCATTATCAATCCTCCGCTTCGTAATTACGGTCCTATCCACTATCACATGATCGCCCACAACCACAGGCTGAAGAGGCTGGCTGAGGGAAATCACGTAATCGCTCAAAGATACGCACATATCTCTTAGACTGCACTAGAGACAGCGTTGAATGCGCCAACCTCGCGAGCGCTAGTTCGGATCGGATCGACGATGCACTTCTCGGGATGAGGCCGATACTCGTGAATTAGGCGACGAGCACGGAGAAGCTGAGCGGCATGCGTCTCCATCAAATACAAGCGCGCACGACTACGAAGGAGCGCAAGCCTCAGCTGCGTCAGACGCTGCGTTAAAGACCTCGGAACGGGCACATCTGTACGGCTGTGAATTCCAATCATGTCGCCAAATGTCTCTCTAGGAAGAAATTCTACCCGTCCGAAGCGAATAATACCAGCCGACAATGACACTGTATGTGAGCAGGATGAGGGAGACGACGAGGATCCCGTGTCGCAGACTTCATTCTCGGAAAATTCTGGCCGGCACCCAAAGCGGAGGATGAGCTAAGAGATACCACTGATGATACTGTCTGATTCAAGCCTCGACACTGTTGACCCAAAAGACCAGTCTGCTGGGTCATGTCGGTTGAGTTGGGCAGCACACATGCCCCTGCGCCGCGAGATATTCTGCTGATTCGCTGTGTAGCGCACTTGCTCCTGCGCCTCGATATTCCATATTTTGATCTGTCAACTTTACGATTGGCAATGATTAAGGTGCAGATGACGAAGCCGGATTATTTCATCTTTGACCTAGGGCGTGGTAGGAGTCACATGTGCCGTGTGGTGGCGACACTCTCCGCACCACGTTCGAGCTGCATGTAGCAAAAGGAGAACTGCCGTGGTTTTATGGTCAATATACTTAGATACCTTCACATCGATGAAGCTTAATTGAATAAGGTCTTTTGGGATATTTTCCAGGGTTCATTTGTATTTCGCGGGCCGTGAGTCTGTTTTTCCTCACTTATTCTTGTCCTTTGCGTGAAACTTCGTGGCCTTTCCTTCTGTGTAGGTCTGGTCCAACACGTAGAATTGTGTGAGTAAGTGAGTCTGCTTGAAAGTAGACTGGTCCGGTGAACTTTTCATCTACTCTTGTCTTCGGTCCTTTGTTTCTGCTTATCTGACCCGAAACCTTGCGGTGGCATGGGAGCTTGGACAACGTCACTGTTGCGGCGAGCAGAGCGAGTCTGAATGTAGATCTCTAGACTAGTTCAGACCAGAAAGATGCTTTTGGTCTTGTGTTGGTTACAGCGCGCATCGAATCAAGTAAATCAGGGCAAGGGGACTTGCCGTCGGCTGTTCCTACAATGGTGAAACTAAGCCGGCTGGCTCATCCAGTGTAGACACATCGGAAAAGTTTTACCGAATTTACGGAATGGGCATCGTCATTTCTTAAATCAGCATAATCAAATCAAGGTACCAGTTGTGAAGAGTGTTATGCGCCTCCGCGGCCAGTAGAGTTCAGAGCTAATGCACAACGCACGGGTTAATCGTGGTAAGATGGCAGCCCGCAGGTTATGCGGTGTATGTTCGCCCGCGCTGCACGAGTCAAGCGACAGTCTCTGCGAGCTTGTTGGCACCTTCTGCCCAACTTCGGCGAGCTCTCCGGTTTGCAGATCCGGGGATTCGTCCTGAAGGCGCAAAGCCCGGCACACATTAGGCTCCAAGCCTCCCAAAACCCAAGCCTTCCCGTTGATCGACGGACTGGGTGGATCAATTTTCTGCCTCGACACATCGCCGCCCGTACCTACCGACCTCCGATTCCTGTGGAGCCAGTATTTCTCGGACGCGCCGCGAAGATGCCCTAACACGTTGCGACCACCCGTCGTCGCGTACCGAAGACTCATGTTGATTGTTCCGATCGAGGCGCAACAATGAGAGTACAACTCGAGGAGCCCCAAGCGGCAACGATCGTTGGCGTAGGGTTGTCGATGGTATCGGTTTGCCTCTTCTCGTCGTTTCTAAGTTAGTCCGTCCATATTGGTGATGCTGGAGAGAACCATCGTGATACTGACAAAAAGGCCCATCTTACAGCGCGAACTTGGTCCGCAACATATTCATGGCGGCCGCAACCGCTGGCGACATGGCGTAAGAACAATCCCACGACAATCTGCTGGGAATGCGAGGTTAGAAGAGAAATACTGAAGCTGATGCCCTGTGCAGTGGTCACCATGGTCTATATAGACTCATTTATTTACGTCGTCATTGCTTCAATACTGAGATATGGCATCGCCAACACGAAGATGACGGCTTCCCGGTGCAAAATAACCGATATAATCTGCCTCACTATTTACCTCAGCACCAAAGTATGCCGTTGATATGTTCTCAGCCCTATTTCTCAAGGATTCGTCTGCTGACATATGTGACAGTTGGTTTGTTGCGTCCTTATGCTTCAAGTGAACGTATCTGCACTGACTCATGTCACAGCTTATTTATTTTTTTCTGGTCGAAAAAGCGGTAGGCGACTTGACGCGGCTTCATTTGAACATATGCACACTCGAGACTAATTAATATAACCAGTGCATCATACATGGACGCTCGAAACCGCGCCTCGATTCCAAGATGTGGCTTCTCAATATGATGGGGATGCTTGGTTGGTTCTTCAAATGCACTCGACGAGTGTCCTCTTGCTTACACTGCCAGCCTGCTACATTCTCATCCTCGTCTTCGAATTCTTACAGTATGTCTGATTTTATCGAAACATTGACGTTCTGCCGATACAGTACTGACAGATCCGTGGTGCAGTCGGTTCACGACCGTTGAGTCCGGTGTCTGCATAGTCAACGGGAAGATAGAAGCGCTGATTGGTATTATACTCTGGGACATCGGTGCCAAGGTGAGAAGGCTCCACACTGCTTCTAGTCTTATTACTCAGTCACCATGGATACTGATCAGTATCGAAGGTCTACCTCTCGTCGCTTTTCCTCATTCCGCTTTGGAGTAAGTCCCCCATGAGCATCGACAAACAAATGCCACCACACAGCAAAACTGACGGTTCTCAAGAATGGCTTTTCTTCCGACGTTCAGCACCGAACTCGATATTCCGCCGAACTACGATACGATTCGTGGTCGGACTTGCCTGTCTTCTCGCAGCCGCTACCGTGTCAGTGACAAACATCCAATCTTCCACTCGTCAGTAGACGAGCTTCAACGTTGGAATCATGACTGACAACATTCCCAGGAACTCCTCTATCCTTGCTGTGATCCATGGCGAGCCCATGTGGATCTGTATTCTGAGCTGCAACTGTGACAGTAGGTCTTGGCCTACTCTGTCCTGGTTACTGTATTATGATCATCACCAAAGAACAAATGCTAACACATATTTACGGCAGTTCTCTTCGCAGCAGCTGTGATCCATTGGATGACTACGCACGACCAGACTAGTGTGACGCCACCGCCGCTGGTGATATCCAACATCGAATATGCCGTCGACAACAGCCACCCAAGTACGAGATCCCGCAGAAACACTATGGCCGCACAATCACCACCCGAGTGGCTACGACCTGGACACCTGCAACCGCCAGCCAGTGGTCAATCGTTGATAGGGATGCTAAGTGACGACGACGACAAAGAGCTGCGGTTCGCCCACCACCGCAGCCTCCTGGAGATCGAGAGGCGAACCAGCAAAGGAGGCCCGTCAGGAACAGGCCGGGCGCCACACGGAGGAGGCAGAGCAGCTTCAAGGTCAGCGGCAGAGTACGCCGTCGACTCTGAGAAGGCTGAGACGATGGTCGCAGCATGGAATGCTATGGCGGAGAGCAGCCATTTCAGCTTGAGACAGGCCGGACATGGTACCGACGGGGACCGGGACCGGGATCGGGACAGGGACAAACGGGTGGCAGGGGCCTTCGACGGGCTCGAAGATGCGGATCGAAGCGGTGCGAGCGACACATCCTCGCTGTCCAGGCCTTTTAGGGACGACACGAGCAAGTCATGGGGAAAACGAGTTGAAACCCATGGGTCTGTGAGGAGAGCCTTTCAGCATGTCAAGGATGGTGTGCGGTCACGCGACGAGAGCGCTGAGAAACAGCCGCCAAGCCTATGAGGGCCACCTTTTTTTAATCTCTTCTATTGATTTTATCTCGACGCACAATACATTTCATCTGCCCACTGGGTGCGATTCCACATCCCCGCAGCCTGTCGCCCAATTCTTGTTGCCAGCTTCCAACCTCTGTCATTATATGAGGCTCCCGAAACGGTTAGCTGCTGCATGACACCCCACCAGGGCCCTGCTCTGGGCCAACATCTTGTTTATAACCATGGACGATGCCAAGATACCCCTTCAACATGCGTCATACCTCTGTAAACATTAATATATATTGGGCCGCGACCGACAAACCATGCTGACTATTCCATCAGAATCGATGGCAACCCGTCAATGGTAACACTCAGAGTACTCTTGGGACCTTCAGCCGGGCGCTGAGACGCGCAGACCACACTGGATGTTGAGAAGCTGGTCTCGTTGCGGCCGACGTGTTACGGTCCAACTGCACACCAAGCCCGAGCAGGCAGCGTCCCCGCCGACCACAAGGTGCCGAGCTGGCTCGCTGAACCATTCGTCGGCGCCTCCGGCTTCCTGCTTGCTTCAGAACCATGTCTCCCATACGAACCAATCCGGCAGGGATACACCACTATGCATCGAGGGCAACAGACAGCACGCGCACGTATCTGGCTTGACTAGGGGCCGGAGACCGCTGGGTTGTCACTTTCGAGCCGTGAGAAGTCTAATATATCGCGCCCAGGGACAAGTGCAAGGATGCTCACACGCACGCGAATTCTCCTCCCAGGCCAAGGCTAGGACCATCGAAGGCCCTACATACATGGAAACCTTTGCAGGAGGAATTGGTGGATTCGGTATAGCCGCGACCAAACGCGGCCTCACTTGTGTCTCAAGTGCTACGCCAATGAAAATGACCCGTGCTGTGTCGAGACGTACGAAAGAAACCACTGCAGAGGCGGCCCCGGGATCTTGCACGTCGACAGCCGCCCTGTGGAGACTGTTACATATAACATGTATCGCCCCGGCTGCCAGCTCCCCATAGCTACCATATTGTTCGGCGGGTTTCCCTGTCCGTCTTTCAGCAACAACGGGAACAAGGAGGGCTTCGACAGTGCAAAGTATGGGCATCACCTGTATGAGATTCTCAAAATGGTCATCCGTCTGCAGAACCCGGTCGTGATCTTAGAGAATGTCAGCACTTTCGCCACGAACGAAGACCTCGAGGGGATCGAGATGGCACAAAACGAATTCGAAGCAGCTGGCTACCAGGTGAGGTCAAAAATCTACAAAGCGGTAGACTTCAACCTGCCCCAGAATAGAAAGCGATGCTTTATCGTGGCAGTCCGCAAGGACCTCGCCACAGGCCCCTTCAAATGTAAGTCTGTCTCAAGTTCTGTCTCCGCGGAACTAGCTGAGTGAAGGTCTGTGGATGAAGGCATGCACCTAAGCCGGCTTTTTGTATATTATTGCAGGAACAGCTATCAATGACTGATACTGAATACCACAGTCAAGGAGCCACCAGGCCGCTGTCAAGACCTTGCCTTGACCGACTTTCTGGACCCTCCGACTGTAATCGAGAATCCAAGTCAATACACATTATCGAACGGAGTTTGGGTACCAAATTCGATTGGGAAGAAGGGGCGATTGGTGCTGAAGTGGGATCCCAGGACACTTGAGGAGAGGACGAAGCCTTCGGGTATTGTGACGATCGGACAGTGGCTGCATGAAGGTCAGACAGAAGAGAATAGCTATAAAAGCGGCAGAATGGTATACCACCACTCGGGGATTGCCAGCTGCCTCATAACTGGCCCGGACAATTGGTATCAGGTGCCTGGCCCGGACGGCAAACACGACATTATCCGCCGGCTGAGCCTTCGAGAAAAGCTCAGGATACAGGGTGTACCTGAGGACCTCCGGGTCCTGGGGAATTTGAAGCAAGTACGGCAGCAAATCGGGAACTCAGTTGCTCCTCCGATCGTTGAGTGGATAATCGCATCGGTACAAGATCAGTATCCGGCCATTTGGACTTCTGCTATCCACTCTACCACCGATGTATGGCCTTATGTCCAACAAAGATACCAGGATCCGGAAGAGAAGGCTTTAACACGGCGAAAGCTAAACAATATGGCACATCGAAAGCAGAATGGTCGAATACGGCGGAAGAAGCAGAGAGCTATGAAGGGGGAGGACAAGAATCCAGGGGCGCCAAGTTTAGAGGATGTGGAGCCTGAACACGCAGAGACAGGTGCCAATTTTTCTGCAGCGAGAATAAAGCAGTTTAAAGCCTTGGAGGAGAAGATAGAAGTTCTCGAGAACATGCTCGCAGATCTAAAGGTGGAAAGCAAGCGGTTGATAAAGGCTCGGGACGGACCCGAAATTCCTCAGGTGAGCAACAAGTGAGGAAGCAGACCATGAAGGGAAATCAGGGGGCTGTGCTTCTTACAATCAATGTAAGCATGACTCGGCGGTCTCTTCTCGTCTCTATGTTCGCATTTCATGAAGCTAGTCGAGAGTTCCTTGTTTCTTTACTACTACATCTTCATCTAAATGATCGGTTTCCGTCAACGACAGCCAAGATCCCATGGCTTGACAAAGTCATGCAGCATATCAACCTCAAAAGATTGGCCCTCCAAAAGGCAAACCCCTAGGCCTCCTGCCACGATCAGACTCACTGTCCGAATCACTGCTATCGTACCCCTGACCACCAAAGAAAGGAGGAAATCCCATGGGCATCCCCATGGGCATGGGCATGGGCATCGGCCCAAACGGTCCTCCAAACACTCCATCGCCTCCCCTCCGCCTCTGATAGTGTCGATCACAATAACCCCCCGTTGAGCTCCTCCTCCGCGGCTGCCGCGTGGCCTCCTTGGCACACCCGCGGCAGCAACACTCGTGCCTCGGGCAGAATGAGCTCCTGCCCAGCTCGGCTACGCGGTCGCCGCATCTGCCGCCGTCCCCGGCGCACGCGTGCGCGGCGCAGTAGCTTGACATCAGCAGGCCATCTCCTCCCACACCGCCGAGACAGCCGCCGCCGAGCAGCAAGCTGGCGCGCAGGGGCCCAGAAGCAAGATCCAGGCCGGCGATGGCGTTCTTGCGCAGCTGCTGGCACGCCACGACCGTGCACTTGTGCGCCTCGCAGTACTGCACCGACGCGAAGCTGCGCTGGTTTCGGCAGCTGCCCAGCTCGCATGAGTGATCCTTGCAGTGGATCTGGCTCCTGTCGAGGCGCTTGTCGCAGCGGTTGCCGCCCAGGTTGGTCGCGGGACATTGCGTCTTGTGGTCTGTTATTAGTGATGTCAGTTTGTTCATGATGATGACGATGGTAACAATGGTGGAAGAAGGGGACGACTCACGGTTCTCACACGTTGGATACTTGATATCTCCCTCCTGCCCCTTCTCGATGAATATGTACTCCTTGCACCCCGGTTCTCGACATAATCGATGATCGTCACACCTGTTTGCCACAGCAGCTGGCTTTGGACATCGCTCCACCCAGCAGATGTGCAGCGCGCAGTACTCACTCCCACGGACCCTGTGATCCCTCCGCTCAAGACACCTGTCCGTCTTGCACTGGTGATCCATACAGTACCGCCCAGTGCCCATGTCTTTCTTGCCACTCGCACAAAGGGGCTCAATACAGACATGCTCCCTGCAGTGCTGGTTATTGCCCGGCGCGCGGTCGTTCTGGCAGGAGGCCTCATGGCAGTAGTGCAGGCCACACCACTTGACCGCCGCGCCCGTGTCCCGCGTGTGGCAGGGCCGTGAGCACCCGTCCCTGGCGCATTGGCGGTGCTTCTCGCAGCTGCGGCTCACATCGCCCTTCTCGCCCCTCCCGGCGACCTCGGCCGTGCAAGTCTGTGCCTCACATGTGTGAACCTCGCAGAAGAAGGATCCGTCGTCGACCAGCCGCGGTTTGTCGCACGAGTTGTGCGGCGCGGCGAGGCAGCAGTGCACCGGGCAGTACCCTTTGCTGCCTTCATGCTTGCCGTGTTCGCAATGAGAGTATTTGCATCCGTCTTGCGGTCATATGCGGTGGTCAGTGAGGGGCCTTCTGCAGGGAACGGTTGGAGACGGTGATATAAGGTTGGGTTGGACTCACGGTCACTGCAGTACTTGAACTTCTCCGGATTACCATCTTTGACGTTCTTGGTGCAGCTGTACCCGTCAGGACTCATGGCCTGGCATCGAAGATCTGGGCGCTATCAGTACCACAACCTCGTAATTTTGTTGGCGAACCACCACACAGGACTTACGTATATCACAGTACTGCCAGTTCGGGTTCCTCCCATTCCTCTGCTCCTGGCAGACTGTTGAACCGACGACCTTCTGGCAGTGATGCCTCTGGCAATATGGAAGGTCGACTCTCTTGCCGTATAAAGTCACTTTCCCGATGGGTTCCCGACATACGCGGCATTTGTGATGTGTCTTACTGCGTCTGTACCCTCTCCTATGTCGGCGACCATGAGGGCCTCCACTCATGAGCATCATGTCCCACATAGTGACCCTATGGTTTCTGATAAGGATGAGCTTCGGCTGGAGGCTCGAGTTTGAGCATATCTTCTGGACTGGTGCTCGGTGTGACCTCAGACGACGAAAAGGGGACTGGTCGGTTGATCTGGTCTCATTCGAATGGCTTCGTCCAAGACGAGCCGCTCAGAGCTTACTAGGCCGTAAATTGCGAGATGAAGCTTCACCTTTTTATGAACATGACTGAGTCAACAAGACAGATAGGGCCCCATCAGTGACGGTCTTTGCGACAAGATTGCAAAGGACAACAAAGCTGAGACTCGCCCGGCAGTATTTGCTAAGGATCGTGTCCAAACTGCGGAAATGAAAGCGATGACTTTGATCCAAATCAACACTGAGAAAGTAAGAGCTCTCAAACGGTGACGCAGTGACGGAATAAATTATTCCATACTGGCTGGGCGAGAAATGCCAAACAAAACCATTGACGGGGTTTGAGAGCAATGACAAGAGAAACGGAATTAGGTCGCACAGAAACAGCAGCGGAGTTTCGCTTTATTACCTGAGCACCGTGTCCAGAATGCTGCTTTTACAGATTGATGGATCGTCCAGGTAGTCGGGTGTGTCGTGGTATCACAACCCCAGTGAGCAGTGCCGATGGATCCTCGAGGACTCTTCTCGAGGAGAAAGGGGTTTATTGGTAAGATGCCATGCCCAGTGATGGGTTTGACTACCGAGCTTTGATGGTGACCGCCCCCCCCTTCCCCCCCGGCGGGGCCCGGTCGAATCATTCTGTCTGTTGAGTATAGGATCGATGCAACCGGGCTCCAGCTTGAGAAGACTTCAAGTTTGAATGATTTACACTCAGGATTCCATTATTCTCAAGTTCAATTTGGATACTCGTTTGGAACGGGAATGATATACTAAACATTCGCATGGAAAGACAAGTAAACCGTCGATATCCTATTCGCCTCGTCGAGTAGCCTCAGCCTCGATGCCACTCCAAAAGCCTGTGGCGGAGTCCGTCTGCGCCAAGAACTGAACTCATTTCAATGCAACATACTATACAGAACAGGCTCTATTAAATGCCCTGCACTGGGCACCATGGTATCATCGGGAGCAAACAACGCGTTGCGTGGCTGTGGGACCACAGTAGATCATAGATGGAATCAGGTGGTCGCCCGGTCTTGTTTGCCACAATTTCTTCTCAATTTGGCCTCGTCTCATTTTCATCTTGTTTTCTCTTGCAGCCATTGGCTGTTTGCCGTCTCAGCGCCCAGTTTATGTGTCGGCGTGGATTACGAAACCGTGGGGTTGATCGTGCTTGCTAGGAGTTCAAGGCCGCTAGCAAAGAGTTCTTCAGGTGCTCGTCATCCACAGTGCTCCCCCCATCCTCGGCTTTCGCCTGAGTATCTGGTGCTGCAGATGGCTCTGCCGTTTGTGCAGGGAGTGAGTCTTTAGGCCGTGTTTGCTTGGGTACTTCAGCTGAGGCTGTGGGCTGCGATGGCGGAACCGGCTGTCCCGGAAGCTTCTGGGGTGGCAATGACGGGGAGGCAGCTAGTGATGCTACAGTAGGCGTTAATGGCGAAGGGGTGGGTGTAGGAGGCGCTGGCATAATGGCAGGCACTGTCTTTGGCGCTGGACTCTGTGCTTGTGTCTGTATATGTGTCTGTGGCTGGGTCTGGGGTTGGGAATGTGGTTGGACCTGAGCCTGAGCCTGGGCCTGACCTGAGGTCACTGTAGGACCAGGGGCTGAAGCTGGCATGGACGTCGTTGGCGGTCCTGCTGTACCTGTTGGAGCCGGGCGTGGCGCTGCAGGCACGGAGACAGAAGCAGGCGACCGTGCCTGCTGCTGCGGCATAGAAGCTGAACCAGGTCGAGGAGTTAAGGCCATTGCTGCTGGCCTCTGTGGCTGCGGTTGCGCATATTGTGGAGGCTGCTGATAAGGCGTTGGTTGCGTAGTTTGTTGCGCTGGCCTTCGTTGTTGCGCATTATACTGGGGGTTTGTGGGTGTGCCTGCTTGTTGCAATGGCCTCTGCTGGTGGTTTGGAGCGGGAGCAATGTTCTGGTGATGCGGTGAGGGTTGAGCCAGAGGCCGAGTTACCGAAGGTTCTTGTCTTTGATGCGAAGGAGTGATTTGGGACGGAGCATGAGAAGCCTGTTGTAATTGCTGAGGCCGATGCTGCTGGTGATTTTGTTGATACGTTTGCTGCTGCTGTTGATAAGTCTGCTGTGGCTGGTAATGCTGCGCACTGGAGACACCCGTAGTCGACGAGTGCGCACTCGGCATGGCCTGATTCGGTCTCGCTGGTGGTACAGCCGCTGGAGGGCCATGAGTTGCAGTTGTTGCGCCGTTTGTGGCGCCGTTCGGATAATGGGAAGCATAATGGCCTTGCACGCCCCCGCTTGGGTTCATGGCACCCTGACGTGCTTGTTCCTCTGCTTCTTTTCTCGCGGCTTGGCCAGGAGCTCGGGTCTTCAACTCGCCAGTCACACATTGCAGGTAGTAGGGCATCTCAGAGTTGGTCTTGAGGAAGAACAGCTTCAAGTTGCGGGCCTTGTCCTTCAGCTGCACCTGGGTCCGGTCTTTGAGAATATCAGAGAGCGTTCCGTTCAAACCAAATAATTGTAGAATCTGGCTCCAATGTGGGCCCTTGACCATGTCAAGACCTTGCATCAATGCCTTCTCTTCTTCAGGCGTCCATGGCCTTCTGGTAGAGTGGAGACCCTCCCTGCGAGCGTGTGCTGTTGATGACTTTGCGACAGCTGCCTGTCGTGCCCTCTCATACAACACTGCCGTAGGGAGTGATTGTGTAGGTGGCAAGTTCGTCCCGTCTACTGTACCGGCCGAGGCTTGCCCGTAGCCGTTAACATCAATGGGTGCCAGCTTCTCAGTGATCAGCGATGCAAGACCTGTGGTTTCGTAGCCAGAATCCAATTCGGACCCGTTGGGCCGTTTCTGGCCTGGGAATGCACCAGTGTACGTGGAAGGCGGCTGGACACCTTCCAAGAGCAAGGCCTCCTCCTCACCAGGCTCATTCGGTATCTCGAAGCCGTGTCCCTCCGCGTAGTCCACGATGGACTCGAAATTCGATCGGATAAACGCACTAAGGTTATCCAAGAAAGTCGCGAACTGGTACTTGGCCTCGAGTTGCCCTACATCGGACCAGTCAGTCAGGCTCAGATTGTCTTAGTAAAAGTAAGACTTACGTCTCTTCTCCTTATCGTGTCCTACTGCTTTGAGAAGGTTGCGTCTGTCCGTAAACGGCTTGACGAAATCGTCTTCATTTATGCCTGATATATTGAGGTCTGACTCTCTGTAGTATGCTCTCAGCTTGCCCTCCAGCTCTTTGGGGAAGAACTTGTCCATAAGACTGTTCCTAGTTGACTCCTTATCCTCCATGACATTAGCATATGCGAGAAAGGATTGAGTCTTTTGGTCGAGGTAAAGGGCAGAGATGTCCTCTGTGATCATGCCATTCTCAGGAATCATGATGTTTAGGAAATAGTCGTGGGCTGTCGCCATGGTCGGACCGCCTGGGCCGTAAAAGCTCGCGCACATGTTGGCAAGGTTCGCCATCTGGATGGTCTCGCGATCCCCTGGGTCGTGGATGTCAAGGTCATCGGCATTGAGGAAAGCTGTGGAATCCGTGAACAGCTTCAGCGTCGCCATAAAAGTGGCTCTCAGGGCCACGTAGACTTTCCCACCCTCAGTCCTTGCATCTCGAATGATCTTGTCCGTGACTTCGGAGGGCTGCTGGAAAAGCGCGAGAAGTATCTGAACAGCCTGAGAGACATTAGAAACGACTACGGAGTTTGCTGGAGCTGTGGGGGCTTACGAGACTCCCAAGAATCGGCAGGCCCATGGACCTTGAAAAGTATGTGGGTGTCTCGATGAACTTCATTTTCTCCAGCCGTCGGCGTGGCGGCGGCAAAGGAATAGATGCCGCTAGGTTGTCGATATCCATGGGATCGTCTGCTCCACCCGCGCCTTTTGCATCATTAACTGCGCCAAGAGCATTTGCCAGCATCGACTCGAGGTCCCAGCTAGGCACCGCATCGCCATTGGCATTCGCTTCTGCACTCGCCTCTGCCTCCGCCTTGAAGCCATCCGCCGCCTGGTTGTCGTGGTCCGGGACATGTTCGGTCTTCTGTTTTTTGTCGGCGCCAGGTTCTTGTCCAAGTTCAGGTGTCCTGGATCGCTTCGCAGGGGTCACAGTGTCTGCAGCAGGTGCGGGAGCGGGTGTAGTCAGAGGAGCCGGAGGGGTGGCAGCCGGGACTGGATTGGGAGGAGGCGCGACAGCGGGAATCGTCGAGGGTGTACTGGCAGCTGCTGCGACAGTCGGTATTACGCAAGCTGCCTCTTGAGCGGGCGCCGCCGTGTCAGGGGAGCCATTGGTTTCCGACTTAATAACATTGCTCGAGATCGGGCTTTGTGAAGCTGGAGGAGGGTGGCCATCAGGGTCCGTCTTGGATACGGCCGCGAGTTGTTGTGGGGCGTCCTCGGTTTTAACGGTCGTTTTCGTCGATTCGGTGGCGGGTTCAGGCTCATTCTTAGGAGTCTCTGCAGCCACAACAAATTAGACCGTCGGTACACAAGCAGGACGGTGGTTTCCGACATCTATAGTGATGACAATCGCATCTCTGCATCGCCACGAAGAACGGAGGGGGGTTGGTATACGGCAACTCACCGCTCCTGGGCTGCGTCGCTAAGGCTGGCGCCGGCGACGCACTCCCTGCAGCGTCCGCCATCTCTTGACAACCTCGAAAATCATCCAGGAGACTGTTGCAAGGGAAAGCGGCAGTCTTGGGCGTGGAAACCGTGGGTGTGGAGGGATGCGCATGCGTCGCGAGGATCGTTGGATGGCTGGTCGGCAGAAAACATTCAATCTGCCCAGAAATGCGACGGGGAAGTCCAAGGTGCCCACAAATTCTCCTCACCACCTTCCCAGACCAGACACATTAGCGCCAAAGCGTTTCTCCATTAAGCTCAAAATGCGCGCCGTGCCATGAGATCACCATATACTTCATTCTAAGCTTCACAGCCAATGAATGTACGATGTTTCAGGCAAAATAATGGAATTAAGTGAAACAAATGACTCTAGCGCATTCTATTGCAGAGATTCGATAAGAATGTTGGGCTCAAATGCGTACCTAGGCGTGCTAGGTATCTTGAGAACAACCAACACAAACTACATATTAGGGGAGACGACAACCACGAGAAGAAGCAAGAGACACCATGACAGACTGGCTGGAAGAACAAATGTGAAGCTTGATCATCTAGTGAGCCCCTCCCGCACTCCCCTCAGTTTTTTTCCCTCGCTCTATTATTCTTAGGATGCAACCAATCAAGGAGATAAGGTATGCCACGTAGGGTGAAAGACAATTACAATATCATACGCCGGCTTAGTAAGTCTTGGTTGGGCTAATCAACATAACTTGAGAGAAGAAGAGAAAAATTGATCTGGGTTTAAAGGCACGTAACGAGACCTCACACGCGTTCCATTGCAGCTTTCCCGGAGCGTGCACCATCAAATGGATATATCAAAGCAGTGTCCTAAGAGATAAATCCTCAGACCAACAGAGCAACAACATCAAATCGCCCGGTGTTCCCACTAGGTTCAAGTCCGTAACATAGATCTAAAGCTTGATCGTCACAGCATATCTAGATACTTGGACGCCCTAGGTATCTATGTACCTAAGTAGCGCCCGAGACCGTTGCCGTTCTGCTCACGCTTACACAGGAAATTGAAAGATCATATTTTGCTTGTATATATTCATTCCTATCTTTTTCTGCCCCGGCGAGGGCGTTGCAGATCATGTGCGGGCGAACTGCTGTACCTAGGCATGCCATCCCAAAGACTCCACCGGCCTCTCACCAAGCAGCACTGATTTAACGGTGACTCTTGCCTCGTAAAGTGCATTTCTTGCTACATGCGTGAGTACCGCTGGGAGATGACTTTAGTCACATTGGCGCAGCCACCTTGCACGGACGGAAATTGCACAACGGGCGGGCATGTGTGGATATTACCAGCCGTGGGGTGTGTGGATTTTGGGCGAGGCTCTATTCCTGAGCACCTGCCGATTCCAGTCCCTGATTCTCGATCATTCCATGGTGATGACAGCCCTGAAGCGGACCTTGCCCTCCAGCATTGCGTCTGTTGTAGGAAGGAGATGTTAGCGGACGATCGAGTTGCTAGCGACCAGACCTCCGGACCAGTCAGGACAAGAATACGCACTGAAAGCCTCATTAGCTTTTGAGAGCGGGAACTTCTCAATCATGCAGTCGATGTTCTCGAGCTCAGTAAAACGAATGGCGTCTTCGGAGTCGGTGGCATGGCCACACGGCCAGGATTGGACAGATAGACCGTATCGCAGCTTTTATTCCATATGGTCAGTTCGGCATTTCGGTTGTTAATTTCAATATCAAGTGTTTCGGCCACTCACCAAGGCACCTGTGTTTATTGGGATCTCGCCCGGCACGGAGAGGATCAGCAGCTTGCCTAGCAGGCCCAGACCCTTCAGGAGGTCCGGCATACCCTGTCCCGTGGGCGACGTCGTCACGATCAGCTTGGCGCTGCCGAGTCTCTGCAGTGCGGCACCGGCGTCTGGCGTCTTCTCGGTGTCGATGTACTCATGCGCCCCCAGCTGGCGGGCAAACTCTTCCTTGCCGGCTCCGCGCGAGATTGCCACGACGCGAAAGCCCATTCGGCGGGCGTACTGGATGGCCAGATGGCCCAGGCCGCCGAGCCCTTGAACGGCAACTGTGTCGCCGGGGCTCACGTCCATGTGGCGCATGCTGTTGAAGCACGTCATGCCCGCGCACAGGATGGGCGCGTATTTGGCCGCATCGATATGCTCAGGAATAGAGGCAGTCGCCTCGGAGCGAAGAATAGCGTATTCGGCGTCTATGTGTGCCCTTTATTAACGATATCCAGATGTGCTTTCCAGCTCATAAGTACTTACAACCCCCTGACTTGGTCTCGCCGTTGATGACTTGGTTGTCGCACATCTGGTGCCACCCCTTCTTGCATGCATGGCAGGAGCCTGTGGCCAACAGTGAGTGAGAGCACCTAGGGTTTTCAGAACAACGCTGAGCTCTTACCGTCGTGTCCGCCGTGCCACCCAGCACCGACACGGTCACCGACCTTCCAACCCGACACATTTGCGCCCACCTCAGCAACGCGCCCGATTATCTCGTGTCCGGGAACCAGGGGGCTGTTGATCGGTCAGCCTATAATTACAGCACTCGCCACGGACGGAGCGAGGAGAGGAAAGGTGACTTACAAACCACCGCCCATGATGTTCTGCTGGGCGAACATGTCGGAAAAGCACACACCGCAAGCCTCCACCTTCACCAGCAGCTCGCCCGCACCAGGATGTTTGAGCTCGACATCCTCCAGAGTGAGAGCCGCCCCCTTCTCCTTGAAAACTGCCTGCTTGTATGTCTTAGGGAGAGCCATGTTTGTTTATTAACGAGATGTTCAAAGCATAGGTGTGAGTTAGAGACTGGAGCTTCTCAATCCTGAGAGAGGGGGAGGGATGTCGCTCTGAAATATGTTATAAACCTTTTCAATCGGACTGGACTTAAGATCATGATAACTCCACCGTAGTAATTTATTTCCCCCACAGTCACCCAGGTGGATAGTGTTACCTGTAATCATAGCTGTTTGCTGTTCTTGTTCTCGGCTCTCATTGGTCTGGAGTTCCGGAGTTCTTAGTATGGCAGCTGCAGTGTGTTGACTTTTACACTACCCATTTCCAAAAGGAGTTGGCTCGGCTCGGCTCGTTACACAACCATCATCGCTTGTCGCCCAGAAGGAATGCACTTTTTGGGCATCATTTTCAGCTTGCTGACTGGTGGATGCAAAAATACGTCACAGCTTGTTGACGCAACCACAGAAAGAATTACAGAACGCCCACGATAATGCCTACGCGAGACAAATACACGAGAAAGTCTTGCCTTTGAAACATCAATCCTACCTGATCGAGTCTTGTGATTCAAGATCAACCCAATTTGCGATATCCACGTTGAGGATCATGGCTTCGAAGGGAGTGCTATGAGTTTGTTACGGATATGCATTCTGAGTGCAGGCCTACAAGATAAAGCAATTGGGCATCTGTATACGCAGCTACACACTTATGTAAAATCTATATAGGGCAGAGTGGGAAGGGGTAGCCCTTTGCTTAGAATTGGAATCCAAGCTCAAATTCATTATTTGTCTTGATATAGATGCAGACTGGTGCGATTAACCAGTTATCTCTAGATCAATCACATGCAAGATGGAGTTCCAGGATACCGGAACTAATAAACACTTATCTCCAAGTTCATCAACATAGACTTCCAACCGAGCGGAAGTAAATGGACATTATCGGAGATACCTAGGGAGGCTTTCTTTATGCTGGACAGCCCCTGAGCTGAGGCAATGAAGCATGCCCGAGAGAACAAAGGCGCCTTGCCAATGAACTTCGGCTTGAGAGTCTGATCTCATAATTGATAGTCATTGTTCAGATTAGGATCATATCAAGATTTTCTGTGGGTTCTAATGTAAAATGTTGAATTAAGTAATGTAAGAAGTGAGTTTAGAAGAGCTACTTTCAGCAGGAGAGTGCTTTGAAAGCCATACTTTTCTGGTAATCATTCTTGCAGAATGCCTGTACTCAGCCTGGCGATAGTTGTGATACATCTACAATGCGTTGAGCAGCCCTCTCATGTAATACAGTCCAGCCCGTCTATGTCGTATATTCCATCCCTGAACCCGATCCGGATCACCTTTTTATGTTGCTGAAACGCTGTTGGAACTGCAGCCTAGTGTTCCCTTCTTTCCGATTTCATCATGCCTGCGCGATCTGCACTGCCTTTTCCTTATCCATCTGAATCACCCTGTTCCGGGACAAGAAAGCAGAGCATATCGTATAGGTGGCACCGGCGGCTATGACCAAGGTCCAACAACTGCCGATGCTGTTAACAATTACCACCAGGCACTGTCGTCTAGTGTCCTCGTCGAGCTGCTCAAAAATGATGCTCTGAGCGCCGGCAACAGCGGCCCTGATGTCGGCATCGCTATACCGGCCGCCAAGGATTGACTCGAGCCCGGAAAATGCCTGCGTTTGGAACACGGAGCTTGCAATCACCAGGCCGATGAGCTGGCTCTGGCCTTGAGAGATGTTCAGGAACTGGATCAGTTCAGCGGCTCTCTCTTCACGGACCAGGTGGTTTCCAACGGCGTATCCGGCCTGACTTGTCGCCATTCCCAAGCCAAGGAGACTAATGAACCCATAAAGATTGGATAGAGGCGTGTCGATCTTGATGGTGTACATGGTGGCCCCTCCGGCGACCAGGCACATGCCTGACACGAGGAACCATAGGTTATGCCAGCCGGTGCGGCTCATGCATGCGCCACAGAAGAGGATGGTCGCGACGTAGAAGCAGATGTAGGGGAGAAGGCGAACGGCCGCCTGGACGCCGCCGTCACCGTAGACGAACAGGAAGTAGAGCGGAATGTAGTATAGCGACACGAAGAGGGTGGCACCGCCGCAGGCCATGATGATGTACAGCAGGACCAGCTGCGGGTCGGCTACAAGGTCGCATGGGAAGAGACGATCCATAGTGTTGGTAAAGAGCGCCAGGCGCTGGGTGATGACGAAGGCGATTGTCAAGACACCGAAGACGACAATCAGGGCAATGGTGCGTCCGTCGCTCCAGGCCCAAATGACACCACCGAAGGTGAAAGCAAGGGTGAAAGAGACATAAAGCCCCACAGTCAACATCATGCCGAGCCAGTCTAGCGCCCGGAGATGCTGAATGAAGGAGGAATCAGGGCGCCTCGGGAGCGATGGCAAGAGAAACAGGTAGATAGGACTAAGGGCGCCAAATACACAGAGGTTGAGATAAAAAGCCTATTGAGATTTGGTCAGATGGCCTGAGACTTCTCCTGAGATGTATTAATTTGACAACATAACAACTCACCCATCGCCATGTGGCTGGACTGTCAGCCAGAGCACCGCCAACGAGGGGCCCCAGTATACAACCGCTTCCGTAGGAGAAGCCCGTCAGCGCAATATAAAACGGCTGCTCTTTCGGAACACTAAGAACCGTCACCAGGTTTAGAGTGCTGATGGCACCGATTATGCTTGGTTAGCTGATGCTCACCACTCGTGTCTGTTGGGATAGAGCCTACCCTAGGTACATTCCAGCACCGCCTACTCCCGCCCAAACTCGGCCCACGATCATGGCCTGCATGTTGGGAGCAGCACCACATAGAGCGCTGGCAGCCGCAAAGTGGATCAAACTGCCAACGAATATCCACTTGTTGTCAAAGATACCAAAAGCCTTGCCTAGTGGTAAAATGGCCACGGTCGAGCCCAGGGTAAAGCCAATGCCGAGCCATCCAAGCTGCGTGACATTGTTGAAGGTGGTGGATATGGTGCCCTGGATATCTGCCACGATGGTGGTGTCTAGCCCGTATAAGATGTTGGCACTGAAGATAGCCACGCACACGAGCAGCCAGCGAATGCCGGTGATGGACCTCTTTGGTTCTGATAATGGCGGGCTGGCAGGCCCGTCATGTAAGCCTGACTCCGGATTGTTGCCATTCTCAAAAGTCCCAGGGCTTACAGAGTCGGCCTCAGTCGTGGATCGCTCGGGGTCTGTTTGACCATCATTCTTCTCGACGTGATTTGACTTCTCATTGAGAGAGAGCTGGGTGGTGGAGGTCTGAGACATGATCGTGGTCTGGTTGAGGTCAAAGGCCCCAGACTCTGAATTACAGAAAGGTGCGATTTTCAGGCACAGAAACACAGACTCCTTTGGTTCCTATCGAGTGAAATAGATATATGTCTTGTGAAAGCCTCGCGGATCTTCAGCACCAGGTGGATTGCCAGTAGAGAAGAAGCACTATTCTTTAAGCCGGGACAATAATCTTTTGGCTTTGAAGACGACCAATATAGCCCGCAGTGTTCGGGTCAGATTTAATTACACATCCAGCTCTTTCGGTTCAGATGCCTGAATGCAGTCAACGCGTTCTATGTTGGCAAAGGCGCCTGCAGTGACTGGCATGGTATGTGTGGTGTCCCAAACAGGAAATCGACATTGGAACTCCGGGACTCCGGAGTAGGGGCGCGTCCCTCTACGACAAAGATTTACTTGTTCTAGCGGTAACCTCCCGCTGGTCTGCTGTCATCATACTGATTTGCATGTCGAAATCTTTCTCTCAGCTGTTTCCAGTGGTGCGTGCCCAAATCCACTGGTCACACAGCATTTGAACACCCCTGACTACTCTGGAGTCGTCACACCACATCTCTCCCTTAAGTCTAGGATGGTTCAGCCCAATTTCATCGGTTGAATGTCTTTGTTATCCCTTGAATTTTCACGAGCATCTTTATAGCATGTTCCAGCTGTGCTTGACACAAGATTGCATTTGAGAGTGATTCAGAATGTGGGGTCTGCGGCAAGCTGTCACTGTCTTAGGCTGCTGTGCTTTGGCAACCTATTGATGGCCACACCTACGAGATCGCGCGAAATAGCTATGGAAAAAATTTCCCAATACTTGATGCGGCGGAGCTGCGCAGGCGGAGCCGGCGTTGTTTAGAAAGCCGAGTGAAGCCCAAAGTGGGCAGGCACCATGCGCAGGTGGAGGGTCCGACAACCCTGGTTTGGAGTGATAGGAATCTTGGGTAATCATTGGGCTTGACATTTGGTGTTAAACTAAAATGAGCATATCGATTCAAAGGTATGGTTTCTGTCAGAGCCGCCTGCACGATGTGAGAGACAAGACGTAGCACTGTTGTGCGCGACGCTTGCTTCAATGGCAGTCTTCACACTGCTGCATCCACCAAATGCCTCAATACGGTGCTAGAATTTTGAGAAGCCTGATACGAGTCTCTGGCAGGAGTTGCGGCGCTGAAACGATATGAATGGGCTTGCATAGAGATCATTGTTGTATCAAACACTGTGCAGTCGTCGTCAGCGTTTACAACAAATGAGTTGGCTTACGTCCGATTCCCCTATCGAGCTGAGAGAAGCGCAAACAAGTAAATTTTCCGTAAACTTTGACATTCTACGTTTGGACTTACTTAATATTCACCGTCAGGCCAATCTCCGCTGCTCGACTTTGGTTTCGAGTCTTCAACGCCATCATCATTTCAGTCTTGACTTACTAGAACCTCGACTTTTCAAAATGCGCATATCGCAGGAGAATTCAGAGGAGACTTTCTACTCTGATGTTGATTCGAATATATCATGTGTCATTCTGATTATGGCTCGGCAATGTGTTCTACTCTCAAAGTCATCAGGGTGCTGATGGCCGAAGGTCCAGCCAGAGCAACTTTCTTATTGATTATACTGACTAATATCAAGTCTCATCATAGCTGTAAATCTTGTGGCTCATTCTGACACGTAAAGAAGGTATTCGTGGCTTACACGACCAAGGATAGGCTCAACAAGAGCTGTGGAGCCTTTCAGATTCAACCAAAACCAAACTCTCCATGCCCAGGTGCCAATTCTTCTTAGCCAGTGGGTGGGGGATGAACAGGATATACTCCAGTATAAGGGGCTGCCATAGAAACTTCATAAGAGTAGTAGCGAAGGCGCTTGCGGCTTCTATGGTCGCCAACCTCACGTCCAGCTTTGATGTCACAACACACCTGTTGAGGAGTCTGGTGGAACTGAATTAGCACAGCTGAACGTAGAATCATACGGATTCGAACGAGAGCAAAAATTCTACCTTTATTGTCTTTATTTGTGACTTGAGTAGCAACTTAATCTCGCATCCGCATGACCGCTCCAATCAGAGAATACAAGGTGAAAGAGGCATGTAAATAGTAGCAGTGTTGTAATGTTCTCTCATTGCACAATGAGTGGCTAGACTAGCCGTGAATTTCTAACATTAGATATGCAATTCTCTTGGCTGGCTGTCTATTTATCAAGGTGCAGGATTCAATCCATATCTCTTTAATCTCGAGTACTATGCTTAACTTCATCCCTCCCATTCGTGCGGGAGGGCGGGTTGTGTATGCTAAAGAGCGGCCCAATCAAATTTTCAATCCCCTCCCATCCTCAATTTCGCATATCCACGATTGTGCGGATCGTTCCATTTCACTGAGGAGGTGTATCTTTGATCAGAGCTCCCATCAAGTTCTCTGCAACCCTTGTTCCATGCACCTCTGCGTTGTCCACCGCTTGACGGACCTCGGCATACTCCTCATCGCTTAGATCTACCTCATTGGCACCTAAGTTCTCTTCTAGGTACTTCAATTTCTTAGTTCCTGGTATGGGAAAGATGTCCTCCTCTTTCATCATCCAAGCCAGTGTCAACTGTCCTGCGGTGCATCCCTTTTTCTCGGCGATGCTCTGGAAAAGCTCCACCAGTTTCAAGTTCTTTGGGAAGTTCTCGGCCGAGAATCGAGGTATGCTGCGCCGAAAATCTCCCTCGTCGAAGTCGTCGGGTGATTTGATCTGACCAGTGAGCATCCCCCGACCGAGTGGGGAGTACGCGACGGTGGCGATGCCCAGTTCGCGACACGTCGCCAGAAGCCCCAGCTCTGGTTTTTCAATGTCAAGGGAGAACGGACTGTACTCAATTTGATAGGCAGCAATGGGATGGACTTTCGATGCACGGCGGAGAGTATCTGTGCCGCATTCACTGAGTCCAAGATATCGGACTTTGCCGGATCTGGGATGATGTGTTAGTCTCGCTTCAAAAATGATTCCGCCTTAGTAGCTGCATAGTGCAGTTTGCTTACTCAACAAATTCTTTCATCGTGGCGACGATATCCTCCGCAGGAGTCTTGCCACTGAATCGATGGCAGTACAATAGATCAATGTAGTCTGTTTGAAGACGCTCCAAGCTCTGGGCCACGGCCTGCCGGATGTATTCAGGATCGTTCCGGATCTCACGGCCACCGTCGGGAGTAACATGGTTGCCGAATTTGGTCGCCAGAAATATCTGAGACGACATATGTTAAATTTCCAATCCCAGCACTGCCCTGACACGGGTCCGGAGAGATTCCATGCAAGCGGAACCGGCTCGAGGACTCACCTCGCTACGCTTTCCCGTCCTCTGGAACCACTTTCCGAGGAGTTCCTCGCTGTCGCCGTACAAGGCGGCAGAATCCCAGTGGGTGCAACCTAGCTCGTAAGCTCTGTCGAGGAGCTGGAATCGCTCCTCATCGGGCGGTGGCGTTCCGTAAAATGCTTGCGGCGGTGATTTGACTCAGCTGATGCAAATTATAACTCTCTTGACGAGGGTACAGTCGTTACCTACAGCTTAATCCCATGAGACCCAGCCCCAAGGGCGGAATCTTGGGACCATCCTTTCCCAAAGACCTAAGAGTGGCCATCCTTGAGCCCAACGAAGCAATAAGATGGAGGATGAGCAACCGACAGACTAGCAAGTTAAAAGTGGTTATACGAATAGTAAGTTAGTTTTCCGAAAGCCTAGGTTCTCAAGGAGATGAATGCCGTGTAATATAGTCTGTGATCTCGCGATTTGATCTTCGTGTTACATTTCGCGAAGGAGTTACGGAGTATACAGTAAAGACTGCGTTTCATTGGCCGCCTATGCAAATGCATACTAAGCAAGCACCGCTCTAAGCATGCATACTTAAGTAGCCACTGCCAAGGTCCTGATAAGCTCTAGACATCTATCTATCTGCGTTCGCCCGACGAAGTACAAACAATGTCCCCCGGTCCATGAGCCCAGTTCCTAAGGTTGAATTAGGAGGTGGTCTTCCACTTGATCAAGGTCAGCCCATCGTAAACGGGAAGGACGATAGTGTCGATCCTTGGCTCATCCTTGCAGAATTTGTTGAACCTGTCAAGAGCCTTGCCGCACTCGGTCCAGTAGGGCCTCAGCTCCTTGGGCAGAGAAGGATTGGCCGAGGTCGAGATCGTCATACCGCGGGCGAACACTGAGGTTGATTCTCAAGTCAGCATTAAATCCTTTCTTCCGCTCAACGCGCCGTCCCGTCGTATTATCTTACCGTTGTCACACATGATCAGCCCCTGGGGAGACAGCAACTTCTTGTCCAGGATCTGCTTGACATAGCCCTGGTAGCCATCCTTGTTAGCGTCGACAAAGATCAGGTCGAACTCCCCGTCCAGCTGAGCAATGGTATCCTGGGCGGGTCCCTCAACCAGCTTGACGCGATCGCCAATGCCGAAGCGGTTTAGATTGCGCTTAGCAGCCTCAATCATCTCCGCGTCAAGCTCTAGGGTCACAATCTCGGCCTTGGTGTCTTTGGTGCCTTCATACCAGGCCAGAGCGCTGTACCCAGTGAAGCAGCCAATCTCGAGGACTGTGACGGATTCGGTCAGCGATTACAGAGCCTCCTAAGAGTTGTGAATGGGAAACTTGCTCCTCTTCGGGTGCAAGAACTCGGCGAGGAACTTGTTGGTGGCCCCCTGGAGGGGGGATGACATCTTGTCGGCGGTGTTCTTGCCCGCATTCATGTTGTCAAACATCTCATAGGTCCAGTCCCAGAGTTCTTTCATGTCCGCTGAAGTGTCATTCGAGTGATTGGTGCAATACTCCGTGACGGTGGCCGCCATTTCGGGCTGCGCTCGCAAGATGGATGTTAAAATCAGCAGCGATTCCTTCTGGTTTGGGTTTATGATAATGGCCAAGACTTGAAACTCACCGAGAAGGGTAGGACGCTTGTAAGCATTTTGGCGCTCGTGTGCCGTCTCAGACGTAGCGTTTGAAGTAATTAAGGCAGTGTGCAACTGTTGAGATCCGGATGTCTCTTGAGTGTGGTTTGAATGCTTGCAAGTCTGTCCAGAAGAGCCGAATGGAGGTCCTTATTTATATTCATTGACTGCCTCATGGTATCATGACTCTTAAATATTGAGATGCTGGGCGTTGAATGTTGATGGCCGTCGCCTATCTGACGGACCTGTCCATGCACAGCAGTACACATTGGGCGATCAGTCGCCCCCGCGTATGCTTCTAGATAGTCCTGTAAGCCGTCGATCTCCTGCCATCCAAATGTATCTCCCAATCGATCCCAAGGCCTTCCCAAATTCACGGTGAACATGTCCGGGACCGCATGTACTTGACTTCTCCGAAAACTCCGACCAGGTCGGGCCAAGAATCATTGACAGACGATGCATCGGCGGTTGTAGGGAGGAGCGTCCCGCGCTTAGATGAATGTATGGTTTCGGGGGTCATGCAGATGCAGATGCCGGTGGCAGGAGTGCAGATGCAATGCAAGCACATGCGCGATAAGTACTTTTGTAGGAGCCTAAGCAAGCCGGCCGTTGGACCGCAAATTACTCATCAAGACCCGGCTCACATGCATGTCGATACGCGATACAAATCCCGAAAATCCAAGACCATACTACTTTGCATTCGGTTCTCACCGAACATTTGTGTCCTCGTTGACCCAAGCACTAATTACCAGGATGACCATCCTCCCGATCTTACTTGATCCACTACACTTATCAGCCCGTGCTAGTCACGATCTCAGCCCCGATGGATGGCTAAGACATCAGGTCTGTGGCGAGGAATATGCTAGGCTCTCAAGGAAAAATTCCAGCCGGAGACACGGAGAGACCAAGAAGGCAAGGACTTCTGCCCGCGGCTGTCGAGAATCGACTCGGGATACAGGAGTCATATCAATTGGCTAGAGATGAGCAATTCTTGAGTTCTGTAAGGATTCTCACACGCGCATAGCTTTCTCGCGATCGGAAACAACCCAAGAACCCGTGTCTAGTAGCTTTGCGTCATGAAAACCTTCAAAAATTCTAAGTGTAGGCACGATGGCTCATATGAAGGTAACATTCCCCAACTTAGACTTCACTTTGGATGACTAGTCGCTGCGTCCCATAAGTGCAGCCGCATATAGATTTGGGAAGCTTAGTTGAATATACAAGATGTCTAGAAGCAACCTGCCTCGGGAAGACATGCCAAAAGTCTTCCACTCGTCCCGTGCAAGGACAGGCCGACTCGTTCACCTCATTCCAGACGAAATCGCACAAGAGGAGCCCCAGCACACTCTCTTTGCCTACGCGAAAGGAACAAGCCCAAAAGATGGCTTTGTTGACGTGTCCGCAGAGCGATTCGCCAACGCAGTGAATCGAACTAGTTGGTTCCTGGAGACTCTACTCGGAAAGCCCAAAGGGTTTGAAACGGTTGCCTACATGGGACCAAGTGAGTACACACGGAGTCGGGCCCTCTACGTTTGGGAAAGCCCTTCTGATACAGTGACAACAGATGACATACGTTATTTCCTCCTCATGTTCGGCGCAATCAAGGTCGGCTACCAGGTAAGTTGTGTCAATCTGGTGAAGCTGGTACAGGTTGAAATCTAAAGTCTCTCACCCAACAGATGCTGTTCTTATCCCCGCGCAACAGCATCGAAGGCCATGTCAATATTCTTAATGTCATGGAATGTCGCATCTTTCTGAATGGCAACGGCACCGATGTTGAAGACATCCGAAGTCGTCGGATCATGGCCAATGCTGTGGTACCCGAGCTCGGCGAGTTGCTTGATCCGACTCAAGTTCCCATCTATCCGTACACAAAGACGTTCGAGGAGGCCAAAATGGACCCAGGACTCGTGCTCCACACTACAGGCTCTACAGGGTTGCCCAAGCCCATCGTCTGGAGGAATGGCACCCTAAGCACATACGAGGCATGGCGCACAATTCCCCACGTCGACGGATATGTGCCGACCACGGAGGTATATAGCACAGCCAGAAGGGCCTACACATCCATGCCCTTGTTCCATACGAGCGGGCTGAACGCTGGCATAACCTGGTCGCTGCTATGTGGCGTTACTCTGGTCTACGGATCGCCTCATGTTGTGCCCAATTCACAATATGTAGACGAGATGCACAGATACGCTGGGGTTGATGCTTCTATGGGCGCTCCGTCACTGTACGAAGAGCTGAGCCGCGATGAGCATGCTTTGGCTCACATAAATCGTCTGGAGTATGTTATTGCCAGTGGTGGTACGTCCAACAATCTAAACTCGAGCCTGCTTGTTATCACCATCCCGGGCACAGCCAGCAACTCTGACTGATTCGAAATGCACAGCTCCGCTATCTCAGACAGCCGGAAACCTCATCTCCGAGCACACCAGGGTCATCTCCAATCTGGGATCGACAGAGACAGCCTGCTTGCAGAGACTTGCGCCTGACATCAATGATTGGTCCTACTTCTACTGGCATCCCACGCATTCGGGAATAGAGATGCGTGAGTATTCTCCGGGGCTCTACGAGCTGTTCCTGGTGCGAGTCCCGGGCCTAGAGGTGTATCAAGGTATCTTCATGAACTTCCCCAAGCTCACCGAATGGTCAATGAGCGACCTCTACGAGCGTCATCCGGATCCTCAAAAGCCCTTCTTGTACCGCTATGTCGGGCGCAAAGACGACGTGATTGTGTTGAGTAATGGTGAGAAGGTATCACCTGCCCTTATGGAGGCTTCATTGCAGAGCAGTCCCTTGGTGAAGGGTGCCATGGTGGTGGGTCGTGCCAAGTTCCAGCCCGCCGTCCTGATCGAGCTTAACGACAAGCCACCGCAGTCAGTAAGAGAACGCCAGGACGTTGTGAGGCAGCTGATTCCATTTCTCAATGAGGCAAACACGCACGCACCGGCCCATGGCCAATTGGATCAGTACCACATTCTATTCGCCGATCCTGAGCGCCCTGTGCACTACCTCGGACAAGGAAAGATTCAGAGAATACGGACCTATGCACTTTATGAGCGGGACATTGAGAGGCTGTACCGGTCTATTGATGATTTGGAAGACCACATCACCATCATGGAGAATCGGCCACGCCTGGAGCTCACGGCTTCTGATGCAATTGTGAGCTGGCTCGAAAATCTCCTGAAAGACATTACGGGCTTCCAGAAGATAGCAGCCGATCAAGACCTATTCGAATCAGGGGTAGATTCACTCCACGTCATTCGCGTGGCACGCGAGCTCAGGTTCCAGGCCAAGAGGGAGGGCCTGGCGGCTAGGCTGAAGTCCTTCTCTCCAAAGGACATCTACGCTCACCCGAACCTGAACGATCTTGCCGCTCGCATTCTAGAATACATCAACAGGCCGCCCGAAGCAAATGGTCGCCGGCATAGCCAGGGGCACGAGGCAGACACAGCGACAGACCACAAGGCCTCGATCGAGGATGCCGAGCGCCTTCTGCACAAATACATCAAGGCATTGCCCAGATCGGAAAAGCGTACTCCAGGCTTAACCCCTGAGCGGAACATCACTGTCCTCCTCACTGGAAGTACCGGATCACTGGGTTCGTATATTCTCGATGCCCTTTACCGAGACAGCAACGTTGCACGTATCATCTGCCTCAACCGTTCCTCTACGGCCGAAGAGAAACACGCCCAGAGCTGCGTTCAACGGGGCCTGGCTTCAATCAGCGGCTCGCGCGTGCAGTTTCTCAAGGCGAGTCTTGCCCTGCCCAAGCTAGGGCTCGAGGATGCCCAGTATGCTCAAGTCGTCAATAATGTGACTCACATCATTCGTAAGTTCACGCCCAACCCCTTTGCACCACCATTCCGAGGTGTACAGCTGGAGATGATACACTTTCCATCCGAGCGCTGAGTCTAATGTATTTTAGACAATCAATGGCCGGTAAACTTCAATTGGAAAGTCGGTTCCTTTGAGCCATACATTCAAGGGGTCACCAACCTGGTTCATCTCTCAAGCGTATCCAAGCACAACGCTTTCATCCTCTTCGTCTCGAGCGTGTCGGCCGTCGGATCCTGGAAGGGTCCTGGACCTGCTCCCGAACAAGCCATGGATAACCTCAGTGTCGCGGCGCCAATGGGATACGGACAGTCCAAACTCATCTCCGAATGCCTTCTGGCGGAGGCTTCGAGGAGGTCAGCTGTGCGGTCCGCGTCTTGTCGCGTTGGCATTATAGCCGGCCCAGTCGAGAGTCAATTAGGCTTGTGGAATCCCCACGAGTACATCCCATCAGTAAGTTTCCGTCCACCTCTTTTAGCTCGCAGATCCAGAAAGTCCAAAGACTGTGAAATCTTTCTCGCGATTTCAGGGAGCTGACTTGGATTCTTAACTTAGATCATCATCTCTTCTGCGTACCTCGGCGTTTTGCCTGCAACATTTCCGTCGCGTGACCGTGTGGACTGGGTCCCCGTCGACAAGGTATCCGGAGCACTCATTGAGGTGCTCCTCTCTTGCTCGAAAAAGCAACAACCTGATCACGTATCTCTATCTGCGGATGTTTTTCACATCGTCAACCAGGACGTGATATCCTGGAGCGACCACCTGATGCCTGGGGTTGCCAACCTATACGCGCAAGAATCCACGAATGTCAAGCTTGTGCCCTTCGACAAGTGGGTCGAGGTCCTGAAGAGGAGTGCGGACGCGTCGTCGCTCGATGTGGAGCGAAACCCCGCTATACGCCTTCTGGACTTCTATCTTGGAGTATCGGGCACTGACAAGGTTCCCCGAGCGTTGGCATCCGAAAGAGCGCGGCAGGTCAGCAAAACGCTGAGGAACGTTGGACCCGTGAGCATGGATTGGGTAAGAAATTGGATGTCACAGTGGCAAGTCTGAAAATACATGACACAGTCGCGGAAGACCTGGCAGTAAAGCAACGAAGATGTTGACACTGCCAGTCCGCATTGGCTTATTTTCTCCTTTCACCCAAGTGCGCATGTAAGCTCTACAAATGTTTTAGTCTTGTACTTGGGCATATACAACATACTTCAGAAGACTTAATGAGACAAGTACAATGGAAATGTGTGCATAGAGCGATAAAGCTTTATTGAGACTTGTGGAAAGATTATATCTAGAAAGATGAGTAAAACATAACAAAATAGTGAGCAAGTCAGACAGACTTCAGTTTGAGATGAACCATTGTTCAACTTCGAATTTCCACGGACACAGCTATGACTTTACGGATAGAATGAGAAGGGACTATGCATTCTGTTTCATCAAGCTCTACCGCTATTAGCAATGATTGAGACAGCTAATATACCTTCTACGCTGAAGCACAGGCTGCTCCTGGCTGAAGGCCGGGATTCTAGCTGTCTTCTATGCTTTTGCTGCCACAGCCCCTCACCGGCCCTTGGAAACTTTCTGATGGGGTTCCTTCCAAATACTTTTCTATAGAGCTACTGTTGGGAAGAAAAAGATCTAAAAGCACAACGCCTGCTCACAAACGTCTGATTCAACAGCCACACTCAAGCAAGAGCCTTGCTAGCAGCAGTACCTATCGATCAAGACTTATCTAACCCGCTTCGAAGGAATATAGAATTATGCGTTCTCTTCTATCTGATCAACACGCATTGTGCTTCGGTGATTTTCTTTTTCTCCTCTTCGAGGCCGCGATTGATCCAACTGCAAGCTGCCCAGCCTACCATCTTCACATAAGTATCAACAGACCTGAATGATATACAATTCAAATTAATGAACATCGAAAATAATTCTTTAGTTCCAGAATCGAAATAATGTAGTTTTAGCGTGTTATATATTATTAAGAATAGGTATATTTATAAAGATTATTTAAATGAATAAATGAATAGAAACGTGATGTAATTATAATACTTTTAATTTAGTTGTTCTAATTATAAGTTATTATATAACATTTAAAGCTTTTTTATTTCTTTAAATTTAATGCATTATTTTAGTAAAGATTTATTATCAATATAATTGAAAGCTAAGACCCTAAACTTGCCTTGATTGGGATCCTCGCCATACAGCTCAATCCCCCCTTCAGTTCGGTCACATTCGTGATACATCTTGCATGAAAGGATCTGAAATATGATTCTTGATAGTGCTTACTCGACAGGATCCCACCGATAGTCGGCATAAGCTCATCCCCCTGCAACCGTTGGCGATCCTACAGCAGACCATGATACGCCGCGCAGCACCCAAGCCCGTGGGGGCTTCTTCGTGTAGTGGCAAATGAGGTCATTTTAAAGTATATCATTCCTGCACGGGAACATCCGGACCTAGGCATTGCTCGGCAGCGGCTGAGAGCTCCAGAATCTCCGACTGCCTTTCTCAGCCATCTCGTGCCCGCTTGCGGTCAGCCCGGAGGTCCCTCGATTGCCTATCATGGCATTTGTGCAACACCATCCCGAAATGGACAGGCCCTGAATCCACCGGGTTTCCAAAAATCGCCAAGCAAGCGGTGTGTTTGATCCCTCGCCCAAGCAGTGCTTGCGGCTCCGTGGAAGCCTCAGACCCCGGCATGTCGGTTTTCACACTAGAGCTGATGGGTAAGAGTTCTAACGTTTACGACGCAACTCGGGATGCAGCCACTCAGGCAGCAACCTCACTTTGAGCTGGAGGAGGGCGGGTAGACGGAATTGTCGCGGAGAGTTCGCTCATCAGAGACACCAGAGAGGTGAATGCTCGTTGACCATTTGGAAGACACTGTAATACACGGGAACAATGAAGATTAGATGCACATGTGGGATTTCCTTAAAGAAAAAGCTGGGCGACTTCCTTACCAAAATTGGCTTTCCACAGGTCTCCTGCCATCATCGCTATACTGAGCATTAGCCTTCGTGTTTGGAGACTCCCCGACCTTCAAAGATGGCTCACCTCACTGAAGCCCATCTCGCATCCCTGTATGACGAATACGGTGAACTCAAAGTTCTGGACGACATCATTCGTCACCGGGCTGGAGATCATCCACCTCGGCCTATACTAGGCTACCCTCGCTCTGAAGAGGGCGTTGACGACTACGAGCTGATCACGGGCTTGGATCTCGACAACTATGTTGACGGTGCAGTGAGGAAATTCATATCAATGGGGCTCAAACCTGTATGTTTTCCAAATATGCATCATATCACGTGAACCTTATTGGTCAAAAGAATGGCTTCTGACTGTCTTATATGCCAGAACGGGCGCCAAATTGTTGCTCTGCTGGCCCCGTCTAACGTCGACTTCATCGTCTCGTGGTTCGGGCTCATGCGCCTTGGCTACACAGTCTTTTGTCTCTCTCTGCGGATCCCACCAGCAGCAATCATCCACCTTCTAGGGAGCACTGGCTGTAACACCATCGTACACGGGCAGACGGGCCCAATAAGCCGCTCTCTTGACGCCGTAGCCGAGCAATATGCATCTTTGTTGTGTTTGCCCATCCCTGTCCGTAGCGAGTATGCCACCGCTCGCCCCGAAGGAACTCCTCGCTTCGTCCGCCAGTTTGACAGGGAGACTGAGAATGCTCAACCCGCCTTAATAATGCACTCCTCTGGGTCGACGGGAATGCCCAAACCAGTGATATTGACTCACAAGGCCGTCCTCACCCACGCCACGCAGGGCGCTGGGATGAACAACTTTGGTGCGCTTCCCTGGTTCCACATGTACGGGATATCGACCTCGTTGCAAGCCATGTACCGGGGTAAAATTGCCAACTTGTACAACACGTCCTTGCCGTTGACGAGCGATAACCTTGTTGCGGCCGTCCAGGCCACCAAGCCGGGCGTCGTACACTTTGTGCCATATGCCCTGGGATTGCTAGCAGAGTCACCTAGGGGAGTTGAGTGTCTGAAGAGGTGCAAGATTGTCACTTCTGCTGGGGCTCGTACTCCTGACGAGCTGGGCCACCGCCTTATTGCAGAAGGTGTCAACTTGGCGGTAGTTTTTGGAACGTAAGTAACAAACCTATCGAGCGTGTGTTTCAACTTCTTAGTGGGGAGTAAATATGCTCATACGCAGCCAGAACGGAGGCAGGGCTTGCTGGAGACTCGATGCGGCGAGAACCTGGGGATGACACGTGGGAATATGTCCGTTTCTACCACTACCATCGCCCACATATCTATATGAATCCTATTGGTGGTGGACAGTACGAAGTTGTCTACCTTAAGGGCCACCCAGGCTTAACAACATCAAATTCAGATCATCCACGCCCAGGTTCTTGGCACTCCAAGGACGTTTTTGTGCCTCATCCGACAATTCCCGAGGCATGGAAATATGTTACACGTCTCGACGACCGGATCACTCTTGTCAATGGCGAAAAAATACTGCCTCTGGATATCGAAGGCCGCTTAAGAGAGGACAAGCTGGTGCGAGAAGCCATGGTTGTCGGCGTCGATAAGCCCGTACCCGGGCTCCTGGCGTTCAGGGCCACTGCGTCGGACCATTTGTCCGATGAAGCGTATTTGGACGCAATCTGGCCCTCCGTTGCTGATGCAAACTCACGCTCTGAAGCATTTGCGCAAATAACAAGGGACATGATTGCTGTCATTCCTTCGAGCAGAACCTATCCGCAAACCGACAAGGGAAACATCATCCGTGCCCAGGTCTACAACAAGTTCTCGGACGAGATAAAACAACTTTACAGTAGGCTGGATGAGACACCTGAGGGCGGGCTCAAGTTGAACATCCATGAACTGGAGGATTTCATCACTTCTGCTTTCAAGAGCCACGCTGGCGTTCTCATTCCATCGGTCGAAGACGATTTCTTTTCGTGTGGGGTTGATAGCCTGCGTGCCATCCAAATCCGCCGCTTCATCCAGAAGTCCATCGACATAGGCCGGAATGAATTGCCCTCGAACGTCGTCTACGAGCACGGCAACGTGAGGCAACTAGCGATATATCTGTACTCCCTTCGATGCGGCGAACGACTTACCAATGGCGTGGGTCTCTCGGCGATGAGCTCGCTAATAGCCAAATACTCAAACTTCCGACAGGCTGTGGTAAGTACCAGTTGATACGATGTGACTCAAAACAAAGACTTCAGCACAAATGGAACACTAACCCCCTTGAAGATTCTTACAGGAGCAACGGGCAGCCTCGGGGCCCATTTGCTTCACCAAATGTTGGGAAACGATAGCATAGCTCGGGTATACTGTCTAGTCCGAGGATCAAACCCGATGGACCGAGTAATTGACTCGCTCTACCAGCGAGGTCTGCAGTCGACAAAGCTCAGCAGATCGAAAATCGTGGCCTTGGTCGCGGATGTTTCGGAGCCCGACTTCGGCTTGGACAAAGCCACGGTCGAAGAGATGAAGCAGACCGTGTCCATAATTATTCATGTGGCATGGCCGGTGAATTTCAACATTAACCTGGCATCCTTCGAGCCCCATATCAGAGGTGTCCACTCCCTGTTGAAGTTCTCAATGTCTGTTCGCGGCCCGGATCCAGCGCAGTTCTTCTTTTGCTCCTCCATCAGCTCGGCATTTGATGCGCCGGCGGGAGTTCATGTCTCCAACGGCCCCATCACGGACCTCAGCTGGGCGAGCCCGACAGGGTACGCGCAAAGCAAGCTTGTCGCCGAGCACGTTGTCCTGAACGCTGCTGCTGCGGGGGCACGAAGCCGTGTGTTACGCATCGGCCAAATCGTTGGCGACGCACAGAACGGAATATGGAACGACCGCGAGTTCATCCCGAGCATGATCCGTTCCGCCACTACTTTGAAGGCGCTGCCGTCAACAGGAGAGGTCAGTATCAGCCTTGCCCCCTTTTTTGCAATCCCGAGCCACCTACCACTCGTAGTCTAGTTTGAATCGATTGGACTCCTGTTAACAGAAATTGGTCTAGGATTGCTCTTGGCTGCCGGTGGACAAGCTTGCCACTGCGATCCTTCAGATTGCGGAAAGGCTGTCATCGTCTTCGAGCTCAAAGCTATCCGGTGTCGCCCAGCAGAATCAGGCCATCGTCTACAATATGGTGAACCCCCATATATTTACTTGGACAGACCTCTTGCGGGAGCTCAAGTCGGCGGGTCTAGAGTTTAATGAGGTCTCACCCACCGAGTGGATTGCAAAGCTCCGGCAAAGTGCCGAGAGCAGCGACGAGGAGCGGACTCCCGCAGTCAAACTCATCAATTACTTCGAGGAGCACTTTGAGAGATTGGGAGAGGGGCCTCATCTTAAGCGCATTGAATTTGATGCGAGCGCGATTCAGAGGGACTCCGAGGTGTTGAAGGACGCGCCCAGAATGATCGAGGACGGATACATTAGGAAGTTTCTGTCGCAATGGATGGTCCAGTGGAACAGCTAAAAGTGAACTCTAACGTGTCGTTTAAATTAGCTTGACGTTTGACTGCTAGAATGGCTTCCTGGGAATATGTGTGGACTCCACATACGTGTGATATCTACCGTGACAAGAAACAAACGCTTCGTTGATAATCTTTGAAGATGTGTTTGAGCTACATAAACAATTTATAGTCCATTTAAGTGACAGGGAAATAGCCTTAGACCATTTGAGACAATTAATCAAAACAGTATAGTCACTCCAGATACCAAAGTATCTTAGCGTCAGCCTCTAGATATCTGTGTGTCATAAGTTTTAACCTGAACATAGGTAAATTCGGGTTTCTCTACACTGATTCAATACAAACTTTGAATAGATTACGCACAATCTAACACCTAGAATATTTTACACACGAAAACATTAGACCTTCTACAATTGTGTCCGGACCCTCAAATTCAATATCATTGTAAGCTTTCTGAATCTGGAATAATTTATGTGACTTCTATATCTAGCTGTATATTGAGATGTTTATTAAACTGGCATCTGAAAGAGCCAATGAGAAGTGAACGGTCGTATACAAAAGAATTCGTACAAAGAAATTTGTAAGTCCAGATGAGAAACCAAGTAACTATCCGTATAATCACCCCCCCCCCCCCGGGTGGCCCTCAGGAACCTCGAAGACCGCGGCGACAGTGAACGACTCGAACTGTCCCCCACGCCACACCCATTAGGAATTTCAGCAACAACCTGCATTAGCAGGCCCCGGTAATGTCACACGCAATTTTCTCGGCGAGGGCATCTAGATCAGATAACTTATATCAGTATGACTCTTAAGACTCTCTGGCGCAGGGTAGAAAAGCTCAGAAGCAACGAAAATGACTCATCAGCGCACTTACAAACTGTGGACATGGGGTGACCAGGCGGCAGCAGTGGGAAAGTGCTGGCGTCCACGACGCGGAGGCCCTCGACGCCGTACACACGGGCTTGAGTGTCGACGACAGCCATCTCGTCGTCTGGCTTGCCCATGGCGCAGGTGCACGAAGCGTGGTAGACGGTATTGTAGCTACGCTTGATGATGTCGAGGATCTGGGCGTCGGTTGTGATGTTAGTCCCTGGGAAGGCCTCTGGGTTGTCGCTGACAAGGAAGGGTCGCATGGCGTCGGTGTTCCAGAACTCGCGGGCCCGCTTGTACCCAGCGATGGCAACCTCAACGTCGGCCTCATCCGTCAAGAAGCCGGGGTCAATGAGCGGTGCGTCAGCCATGTCTGCGGACGCGATGCTGACGGTGCCGCGGCTGAAAGGCATGACCAGTGCGGGTGCCAGGCTTGCGTAGTTGTAGCCGTCCCTGGGATCACCACGGCGGCTGTCTGTCTGCCACCCCAGGTATCCCGACAGCCCGATGTACTCAAGTTCGGGCCAGTCGTCGGGGTACTTGGCCAGTTTGGCCAATGTCGAGTTCGAGAAGGTGTTCCGGAGACTGTCAGGAACCTTCTCCCAGCCGATGGCGTCGGTGGTCGGATTCGTGTACATTCCAGCCGCATGGTTCCAGTACTCCTCGGCTGCTTGTGCGGCGAAGGCCGGATCCTGAAGGGCAGACATTGTTGGTGCATTGACACGGTAGGACGGGCCATAGTAGATGTGGTCTTGCATGCCTTGTCCCACGCCCGACAGGTTTGCGATGACAGGGATGCCGTGAGCCTCAAGGGTATCAGCCGGGCCGATGCCTGAGACCATGAGCAATTGAGGTGACTGGAAGGCACCGGCTGCTACAATAACCTCCTTGGTGGCAGACAGTACGTATTCAAACCCCTCGGTGTCTACCAATACGCCGGTGGCCCTGTTTCCGTCGAAGAGGATCTTCTTGACCAAGGCCTGGGTGTACACCATGTAGTTTGGGTAAGCAAGAGCCGGGCGGAGGAATGCTGTCTCGGCCGAGTCCCTTTCCATGGTCTCGGCATTGATAGTAAACATGCCATATGACTGGCCAAGGAGGTCGCCGCTCTGGAAATTTGGAATGATAGGGAAGCCCAGTTCCTGCAAGCCCCTGGTGGCCCAAGTACCAAAAGCCTGGACGTAGTGGGAAAAAGTGACTGAAAGCATGCCTTGGTTGTCCTTGCCACCCATCACGGTAGGATCATATTCAGGAGTGCCGTTGGCAAAGCGAAGTTCCTGATTTGGCGGCGTGAACTTCACACTCTTCTCGAACCACGGCAGAAAGTTCTCAAAAGCGTAACTTTGGTCCCCGACGGCATCGGCCCACATCTTGTATGACGCCGCCGTTCCGCGCTGGTAGACCATGTAATTCCGAGCAGATGAGCCGCCAAGAGTCTTGCCACGTGTGTAGTGGATTGAGAGGTTGTAGGCACCCTGGTGAAGTGTCAGTGACTACATACATGCATGTGCCACTTGCCACGTGCCTTGTTCCTTCGCATCCACCCGACAACATCTGAGAAAGGGGGACACTTACAGTTTGAGGTGTTGTCATAAACCCCCAGTCTATCAAAGGCTGCCAGTCTTTTTCTCCAGTGCCCGCAAAAGCTCCATCGGTCGCTGGAACCTGACTGAGATTGCCGTTGGATATCTCGTAGAACCCACCGGCTTCCACAACAGCGACTCGCCCGCTCTGTTGCTGTGCCAGCCTTGTTGCAAGGGTCAAGCCTGAATTTCCGCCGCCAACCACAACATAATCAAATGTTGCATCGTCGCCAGGGATTCCAAAGGACGAGCCAAGTGGTTTGCCCCCGAGAGGCTTCGCGCTGGCCACACACATGGACCACGCCGCAACGGCCGCCCAGAGTCCACTGGATGGTTTTGAGCAATGCATCGGGAGATTCAAGTTTTTTTTTCTCAAAACGCCTTGAGTATATTGGTGATCTACCTAGCACTGTCATCTCCTCGAAACCGGAAAACCAACATCCGTATATATACACATAGTGGTTATACGCGTATTTGCCCTCCCCTGCCTCCGGTGCCCAGCTGATCCCAATTACTCTCGAATCCCACTATTCGCCCTCAGCTGACTTGAGATTAAAGATGTTAGGATCGTGGGATTCGTCCCGGGAGCCTGGTTTGGATTGTGGCTTAAATTCAGTAGTTCCATTGACTGGCTACTGGGCAAATCCTGAGGTGCAAGGCTGGCGCTGATAGCGGGTAGAATCCGTCCGGGAGGATCAAACTGTCCGTTAGTTTGCTCCGGGTTTACCGTCCTGGTTTGCTAAGTACTAGCTGGGATTTGTCTACTTTGGGTCGTCTAGTACTGGGAGTAAAGACTGAGTAACACCTGGTGGCTTCGGGATAAGGCACACTGTTCTTTAAAGATCTTTATTCACAAGTCTAAAGGGGTCGTCGTAGACTTTGTAGAGGGTGCGTATGACTGCATTAGCCGAGCATTTTCAGCCTCATGGATCTATGTGGGATCTATGTGAGCGAGTGTGCAGGCTGTTTCCGTCACTGGGTATGTGAGACATGTGCTTCTCTCCTCTTTTCGAATCTATTTACTCAGAATCAATTATAACTTAGCTGCATTTTAGTGAATCAAATGTCAGCAGTCATCAAATAATACATTAAATCAAGATATTAAATTAATTATATAAAAACGTGATATTAATATACTATATATATTGTAATAATTGAAACTAATATTAGTAAAACAATTTTAAATAAGTTGATAATGTTATTTATCATTTTGTATTTATAATAGTATAAAAAGCTGATATAAACCCTCACATGTAACTATTTATTACTGATCGTTTGGGGTAAAATTGGGCAAAAAGAGCCACGTGGACGGTCGGTAAGAGGATTCTCGCTTAGGAGGGCGGCGTAGGATAAGGAAGTTGTTATTGAAGGGTGTGAGCTGTAAGCTGCAGCAACCTCAGACAACCTTGGAGCTCAGCCGTTCTCGGGCACCGACGTAGGTACCTAGACCAGGTAGTTCATCCATGGGCTGACACCTGCGGACAGCTACTTATCTGTGAGGGGCTCCTTTCAAGACAATTACTCCAACCCTTGGGTTCCCGTCATCAACTCCTCGTCACGCTCACAACCTCGGAAAAAGAACACCGAACACGCTCCACGACCCGACTCCTCCTGGGTAGGACACTAAGGGCCTCCAAGGTGGATTCCGGCTTGCCATGTTCAGCACCTTCACCGCAGCTCCGGCTGCCGCGAGCGTGGATCCCAGTGCAAACTCCGGATCTCCTTCTGGAAGTCACACAGGCCTCCGCCGTCCTGGTGCGTCCAGCAACCTCCCAGCCAGGACAAAGCCGAAACGCAGCCAGGTCTCCCGGGCTTGTGACTGGTGTCGTGTCCATCGCATCAAGTGTGACAACGCGTACCCATGTCATAACTGTCAGGCTCGTGGCGGTCAGTGCAGCAACAAAGGATCACCGCAAGTCCGTACCCTCCCCCAGGCCTTCAGGTAAGCTTGATCTGGTTACCTCTGTCTGACCTTGTATCTCCCGACCGAGGTTGGACAAGATTGGTGACAAGGCTGACCAACGGGCCCGATGTCTGAATAGGGAGATTGAGAAACTCCGGCAGAGAGTCAGAGAGTTGGAGGAGGAGTTGGGCAACTCCCGTTCGGCTGCTGCTGCTGCTGCCGCTGCTGACCAACATCAACTTGAGCATGCCTCGCCGCAGCTGGTGCCCAAGGAGCTCCAGGATGGGCTAATCAATACGTCAGCCTCATTGGCCGACTCTGCCCCAAGCCGGAGCCCACAGTCCTCTGGGCCGAGGCGATATTGGGAAGGCGTACATGCCAGTCCCAATAACAGCCATGCGAAGCAGTTCTTTGGCCCGTCATCGCTGCTCTACTTCATAAAGCGGATGGAGGACTTCTTGGCAACGACTCTGCAGCAGCCAGTGCGTGACCAACCCATCTGGTTCAACTCGGCGAGCAAGTCGTTCGCAAGTCCCTTCCCTGAGCGAGCAAACGAGTTTGCAGAACCGCCGGCTGAGACCGCGGGCCGGGGAAATCATGGGCTCCACGTGAGCGACCACGAGCAGTACCTGAACACAACTCAGGAGGAGTTCTTCCTTAACCTCTTCTGGCAGTCGTACCACAGTAGTATGCAGATTATCGACGAGACTGCGTTCCGAGAGCATTACAAGTCTCTCTGTGACGTTCCTGGTAGGAGTAGAAGACCGTCGGCGCTCGTCGATATAATCGTCGCCATTTGCATGCAGTATGGTATCGCCTTGCTTCCTCCACAAGAGGGCGGCGCTGGCGGCTCAGAACGTGCTTCAGAAAGCGCCAAAAACTTAGAACAAGCCGGTGTCCCTGATGTGGTTGTGGGTATCGATGATGCCACGATCGCGGGACGCTGGCATTACTTTCGTTGTCAGGCGCTGCTGACAGCCGAGCTGGAGAGCCCAACCATCACGACTCTGCAGTGTCACATCTTCTCCGTGATCTACCTCTGCAATGCTTCGTTCCAGACCACTGCACACAGCACGTTGGGGCTTGCTGTACGGACGGCTCAGATTCTGGGGTTGCATCTTGAGCCGTCCGAGGACACGCCACATGTCGATCGTGAGCTGCGCAAGCGCATCTGGTGGACGCTTCAGACTGTCGAGATCAAGACATGTATGAAGCTCGGACGGCCCCTGATGACTTCTTCGCCCCCAGAGATGTGCTCCCTGCCGTCAGACGACTATCAGCTCGCATTGCTGTCCAGCAGCACAACTAGTGTGGATGGTGGTGTAACGTGGTTGACGTACTCGGTGCAGAACACCAAGCTGGTCCTTGCCGCCCGTGCGACACACGTTGCGTTCTTTGACAGGTGTGACGAGCTACTTACAAGGCACGACTGCGCAACAATATATGAAAATGACATAGTACAGGAGGAATGTGCCGAGTTCCTGCAGGCTTACCTTCGGGGGACCCACGGCCTGCAGACATGGCTCCAGGCAGTCCCAGAGGGCCTAAAGTCTAGACGCAAGGACGGTGGTGAGGCTTACTCGACCGACTGCTCTGCACTCGAGGTGGAGCGTTTCGCACCGACCTGGCTTCAGCGCCACCGCCTACTTCTCGAACTGCTATACCACAACCTGTCGATGAATCTCTTCAGGCCCTTTATCACTTTCCCCTCAGCCCAACACTGCCAACTGAGCTCCACACCCTCTGCTCCCTCATCTCTGACCTCACCCGCTGGCGCGCCTCTGTCCTTGGCCTTCGCGAACAGGGCGACGCCACTTTCAGATCAGAATGCCAAATCTTGTGTCAGACACGCCATCGCGCTGACCACCATGATCCATGAGGCTCTCAGGAATACCGAGCTTCTGGGAGGGTGGCACGAGGCGTTTCAATGGCAGTGGAACGCTGCTGTGGCGCTCATCGGATTCATCTTCTCGGACTCCGGGTCAGAACTTTATCAGGACGCCCGTCGGGCTATTGACCATGCCATTGAGGTGTTTGGCATTTTCGGGAGACATTTTGCCGTCGGTACGAGTGCCGCCAGCGTGACGCGCGATTTAGCTGCCACGGCCGATCGCTTGCTCAGTCTACCATTGCAAGCACGAGCGGAAGATGGTAGAAGCGCCGACGGAGGGCTGAGTGGTGATGAGGGCTTCGTTCCGACGTTTGTCGGCAGCGGTGGCATGAGCTCCAGCAGTGCAGAGGAGTCGCAGAGTGTTAGCCCAAACTTGGGCGGTATCATGGGACTGGGGCCCAAGGAGATTAAATCGACAGGGTCGGTTCTCGATATGGCCATGGGGAATGATGACGCCGTGAGGAGCCTGCTGGACGGCACAATGAACATGGCTTACGGGGTGGATTCTTTTGGGGGCTTTGAATTTTCATTTCCCGAGGCTGCTCATTTCTTCGAGGGCTGGACCAACTACAGCACAGGAACCGGGAATACATAAAAGGCTAAAAACACAGTGGTAGTAGCCTTCGTGCGTTTTGATTTTCTTAGCTACTGGAGATGAGTATGGGACCAAGGGCCCGAGTAGAGTATATTGACATAGAGGGGAGAGAAACTCCCAGACTAAAATATAAGCAAATCTCCTCTTCGGCACGCGCACAAAGCCCAAGACCACGAGGGCACTCTCAACAGCAGAACAAACAAAATCTGCGTCTCGGACAAACATACCCTCTCTCCAGGCATGTCATCATAGGCTCTCCATGAAAACATTTGCCCGAGCAATCTGTCAAGGTCTCCACCAGAAAGCTCCCATCTCCTTTTCCTAAAAAGAACCCAAACTGGAGGCCGGACTTCCCATCCCTTCTCATCTTGTACAGACTCTCTCGGTTGCTTACTCAGGCCCCACCTTCTCCCCGCCTCCTCCGGAAAATCATTTTCTTTAAATGCTTTCTCGTTCTATGTGGGTACCTTGGCAAGCCACTCACACCCCAGATAAAGAAGTAGGAATCAGGCTCAATGATAGCCTGGCTCGAGAAGGGAGGCCCGCAAATCTGCTCCCAAGGGGCTTGATCCAGTATGAGAGACCTTGGATCAATAATTGGCTCTGGTTCTGGTCTTGTTTCTGCTTCGTAGCTGGAGAGACATTTCCATTGAAGAAATCTTTAGTTACAGGACAGGGGTTGAGTACCCCAGAGCATATAGCGATCGTCTCAGAGATACAAGACCTCTATGAAGATGAGGTGTGGAGTCTAGACTCCGTAGAGGTCAAATTCAAGTATTGACTTAGAAGGAGAAAAGTTTTTCGCCAAAACGTCAGCAAATTTTCCCGTTCCAAGCATTTAATTAACCCGGGCGATCCTTCGCTCGCGCCATCCTACGCGATTGATATCTCTTATGTAGTCGCTGCTCTTGCTCTAGTCCTCTATTCTTGCCTTTCTACTAGATACTGCGCAAGTTCCTCGTCCCTACTCGCTTGTCCATCCTCAGGTCATGATCCCGCTGGAGAAAGACAGGTCGCTGATGCATGGGCCGCTCGTATGGCTCCATGAAGTTTTGTTCCCGTCTCTGACTTCACGACGAGAAAGTTGAATTGATTGCTCGAGGATAAGAGTTTGAGGAGAATGAGGAGTAAGAACAGACCGGTGAAGCTGTGAAACATTGGCCGCTCGCGAAGGGGTGTGCATGTGTGGCGGCAAAGGACAGGGTCATGGTGCCGGCGTGCAGCGCTGGCCCGCTTGTGCAGCGTATGACTTGTCCCACGGAGCAGTGCGTCCATGTTGAAAGCGGCGGTGCTTGGTAAATGAGCCGAGTTCGAACAGGTTGGAGAAGTACAGCCTCTTCGATTTGAAGTGACTGCAGGCACCCCAACCCTTGATGAATGGAAAAGAGGTGCATAAATTTTCAAGAAAACCTCCTGCTCGTGTTCATGTAGAGACTTTGACAACTAATGCATATCTCACTCGTTGAAAACTTCAGCCTAATTAAAGCAACGCGAGTATCAGTATGCATGATGAGCTGCATCTTTTCAGGCCATTGTGTGCCCTACTTCTTAGAAATAGAAACTAGCCTGACCTTCCAGATTATACTCCACAGCAGTCGACAGTCACGAGAGACGGAATATTAGATACTGCTCACGGCTTCCCATCCCAGACCTTGGCAAGAAACTCTTCGACCTCTCTGAACTTATAGTCCGGGAACAGCTGGTTGAATTCATCCGAAACATCCCACGAACCCTTGACACTGCTAAGGAGGATACCGATGGGCACCTTCGTGAAGAGATCAGAGGATTGCTCGTCGGTGACAGCTCGGTGTCTCTTCCTCAAGGCCCAAGATGTGTCCAGAACCCCAGCTTCCAGGTCTTGGGGTTTCACTTTGTCGACAGTGAAGGAACAGCCTGCATTGCCGTGAGCCAACCAGATCTCTTTGTGAGGATGGAACATGGCGCACCTCGGATCTTCTCGCCAATCTCGATTATTTGCGAGAAGGTCATACGATTTCCCCTGATGCCGCCGATTTCGGGCCACTCGCCATCATAATCGACTGCCCGCGCAACAACCGCAGCAAGGTCAGCAGCTGTGGTCAGAGTCATGATGGCGTCCTCATGTCCATCGACCACAATCGCGCGGCGGTTCTGGAAGTCAAAGACAGTTTCAAGTGGGTCAACGTGTCTTGCGGTTTTGTAAGGTGACGCCAGATAGTCCATGAAGAGGCCGGGGTGGAAGAGGGTGTACTCAAGCACCTGAGGAGGCTGTTAGGATATGAACATAGACTACCCCGGGCGGTCTCACCTTTCCGTTCTCGTTGGCCTTTCTCAAATACTTCCGAATTTCTTCTTTACCCGACCACCAAGGCATATTAACCGTCCCTGCGCTGAATTACTTCTGGTCAATCATCTTCACCATTCGGAGGGGGTTCACCAACCTTCCGTATTCACTCGGTGCGAAACGTTTCACACCTGCGTCGATAGCAGCATCAATCAGATTCTTCTGGGACTGATTTTCCGGGTCCGAAAGAAGTTGGACGAAAGACAGAAGAGTGTGTGATCCTCGCAAGGCCTTCACCAAATTTTGTTTGTTTTCGTAATCAACAACCTGCCAGTTGACTCCAGGCACGATAGCATCCTCTGATCGAACCTTCTTTGTGGTGTTAGCAAGAATGCGTCAGATTGGTCAAAGGTCAGAATATAAGAGATTTGTGTTCAAATGTGGAGATGCTGACATTTCGGCTGAGGATAGTGATTTCATGCTTGCCTGAAGCTCTCAGCACGTCGATGATTTCTCTAGCGACTTCTGTTGAATGTGTCAATTAAGCATGCTCGAAGTTCACCTTTTGGACTTGGAACTCACGTCCAGAGCCACCTGCAACTGCGATCTGAACCATCGTTAAGTGGGAAGTAATAATATAATTAGTGGCCAGTAATTATGCTTCTCAAAAAGATTATCGAGGTACTCAAAGATATGAAGAATTTATGATAGAGAATTTTTATGCTCGCTTGCAGTCTCTATCTCACCACCGCGGAAGTGGTGATTTGCCTAGTGCATATCCGTTGCTGTTCCGCCGCGGTGGACGCAGGAGCTCCGCGGCGGAATGACTAAACAATAGTCAGACGGCTTCAATGCGACCAATGCTACACCTGCCTGACCCTCATTCTCCGCCGCGGTCCAGAGCCAAATCTTTGCCTCGAGTTCATCCGGACCAGACATTGTCTCGACTTGGAACATCACTCCTGTCTAGAAATGAGAAAAAAATGGTAAATCTGAGAAATCATGATGACGACACAGAACAGTCACCCACGGTCAAGCGACGGAAAATCCGCAAAGGCACGCAGAGCTGTTGGGAGTGCAAGAGGCGCAAAATCAGATGCACTTTCGCCACTCCGAACGATTCCATATGCGACGGCTGCAGAAGCCGCAGGGTCAAGTGCATTGGCCAGGAGTTCGACGACGGGGATGTGAGTGCAGCTAAAAAGACTGGAGGCATGAGTCGGAAGGAGACGGCGGTTGGGCGGGTGTCCAAGAAAGGGACCGACCTGATCACTTTGCAAGATCATGGCGGAGAGGATACGAGGCAGAAGGGGATGGTGAGTCTCGACTGGTGCTATCTCTCTTTCAAACTGCTTTCTAACGCTCATATAAGAATACCTCCCTTCCGGATGCCCAACCTGCCTCCAGAGAAGATGCATCTAGGGAGGAAAGCAGTCACTATGGTTTATGTCGGGCTCTCCTCGAGGTGTGGCCCAAGGAACAAGACCTAGATGTCATTCTCGACGCCCCTGTCAGTACCTCGATATTATTTCATGGCATAGTATGCACGCCGTACTCGAGCCTTCTCAGCAAGGCCATTCCGTCACCACGAGAAATGCTGCAACTGCCCCAATCAGGGTCGCATCCGGTTCTGGTAGCTCGCATACTCTTGCTACTGGGCACGTTCATGCAGGGAATCCCGAGAAGCGCTGTCCACAACCTCGGTGAACTAAGCAGTAGTTACAAGATAATCATGTCCCGCCTGGTCGAGACAGCGAGCAAACTGGTGACGAGCGACCACGAGCTGGTCAGCTCGCTCGAGGGCATCGAGTGCATCATGATTGAGGCCATGTATCACAACAATGCCGGGAACCTCCGCCGGGCATGGGTCACCCACCGACGGGCAATGACGATTGCGCAGATGATGGGGCTTCACCGTGGTGTGTCTCCACCCACGGCACTGCTTGACGTCCACAACCGAGACCGTATAAGCCCGGAACACATGTGGTGCCGTTTGATTATCTCAGATCGTTACCTCTCACTAATGCTAGGCCTGCCACAGGGCTCCCTCGAGAGCCCCTTTGGCACTCCACAAGCCCTCGACAGTTGCATCCCACTGGAGCGAATGGAGCGCATTGAGTCGATCGCGGGCGGGCTCATCCTGCAGCGCAATGAAGCTGATCTACATAATCTTGTCAAGACACAAGAAGTTGACAAGATACTCCAGGAGGCTGCAGCCTTGATGCCACCCCAGTGGTGGCTGACTCCGAAAATTGCAACTGTCGTCGGCCATGACAAAGAAGCCCTCCGTGAGACCCTCCGCCTAATGAACCAGTTCACGCATTATCACTTGCTGGCACAGCTTCATCTGCCGCACCTTCTCCAAGACTCAGACTCACCAAGGTACGACTACAGCAAGATCACAGCTGTGACGGCCAGTCGGGAGATCCTTTCGCGTTTTGTGCATTTCCGTGCCTCTGTCACAGTCGCTGCATACTGCAGGGGAATTGATGTTCTTGCCTTCATTGCGAGCACCGTACTAAGCCTCGCTCACATCGACGCCCGTCGCCGGCAGCGGATCGCCACTAGTGGCTGCGGTGCTGCACTTCATTTGGTCGCACATCAGCGGCGGAGTGACCGGGGATTACTTGAGCAGACGCTTCAGCGTATGGATGAAGTGAATGAGAGGGGTGAGGATGCTATGGCATGCAAGATCTCCAGTATACTCCAGCACTTGCTCGCCATCGAAGACGCTGCCGCCAATGACGACTACTACAACGCCACAATTTCGTCGAAGGCGGGTGAGCCGGAGCCTCAACATGACGACAAGTCAGTTGATGTGGGCCAATCGCTGCAGATCCACGTTCCATATTTCGGGACAATAACAATCGAGAGTCGTGCTGCCTCAATGCCAGTCCGAGTCGAGCAGGCTCTTTCAGATGATACCACTCGATCCTCACCGGTTCTGGATGTTTCGTACCACGACAGCGAGTCTTCATTTAAGCCTGCTTTGGAACAGAACAGAAAAAGGAAACAGTGTGTGCGGAATTCACCGTTTCCCATATCAGATCCGGCCGGGTATCGATTCGGCGGTGATTCTGCCAATACTGATTGGCAGACGGTGCCTTGTAACCTCGATTCGCTCAGGACAAATGAACAGTCTGCACCCGTTGCTTTGGGTGCAAGTTCCCCCGATTCTGAACGCATCGAGCTTAACATGGCAACGTTACTGGTGCCCGGATTAACAACAGATGTGGATGATTGGGCTTTGCAAGGCGTGGACCTGGCCTTATTCGACAGTCTAATCCGGGGGTCAGCGGGACCAGACGTGGACCCCTGATACTCAAACCCGACCGCTTGGAACAGTAGGACCGCATTGCCAATAGAAGGCAAGATTTGTGGGGGGAAGAAGAGCATGCTGGCCTACTCTACAACGCCTTATAGTCTAAAAAGCCGTACAGCATCCCGGTGTGATGAGCATTGAGAAACGTTCGCAGGTCAATAGATGAGGTCAGACCGTTGGAAGACCACAGTCGCCGCAGTCGACACCAATCATGGATTGATTAGTCTAGTCTATAAGGCTCGAACAACACACCTCATCTCAGCCAAGCCGGTGGCCATGCCGTTATGTCTGCCATGCATTGGGCAGAACAGTCGCACCACAGGCAGACAGGCCCGTGAACCGAGTTGCCAAGTGGAAGCGGCAGTCAACAGTCAGCCCTACGGATGTGACATGCGAAGCAGTGTCAAGGCATTGCAGATACAAAGGTGGTATCTAGATCGTACGTTCCGTACGTGGGTGCAGCCCAGCTGTCTCGGACGCACGCGAGACGGACAGGCGCAGTGACAGGACTAGGGGAATCCGGGGTAAGCGCACTAGATGCAGGCCAAGGGCCGCCAGTCAACCTGTCACCAAGTCAGTCGCTCAATCAGTCAATTCTCAGGATTTGCATCTGAGTAAGGACCGTGGTCCAGACCCCCGTCGCTCATGCAGGGTCGCGTGAGCTTGTCTACACGTGTAGACGGCCTGGGATGGCAGGGCCTCTTCATCAGGCCATGAAGGGGCACGTTGAATTGGCTGCGGTCGGGCGCAAGGAAGCAGCAGAAGCTTAACCTCGGTCATCAGAGGTCGGTTGGTGAGCCGCATCAGCCAGATCCAGATCTGGGCATTTCCAGCTGTCCGAATGAGAACGGATCCGCAGGGCGGCCCGCTGAACTTCCCCTTGGCAGCCAGGGCTGTGTGCGTGTGCGCGTGCGTGGTTTGTGGTTTGCGGTGTTGTTGAGCTGTATGGCTATGCAGTGGAGTGTATACGGTATAGTGCAAAGGAGAAGGGTGTGGGGGGTGCAAGGGGGGGCCTGGGTGGGCGCGGAATTGTCAGCATCTGGGACTGGCAGACTGACTCGGGGAACGGTGGAAAGAGATGGGGAGTTGTGGGGCCCCGTGGAGTGGGAATTTTGGTGGGGGACTTCCAACCTAGAAGGGTCAGTTCCCACTCGCTGACCATTGTCCCGAACATTAGCCCATGCTGGTGCTTTGTTGAGGTGGGTTGAAGGTTGAGTCTCGGTGTAGGACAGTACGAGTCTCGAAGCACTTCGTCGCAGGATGAAATGATATGATCCATCTAGCCTTCTTTTTCAAAACAGAGTTCCAAATCATAGCTCCTCCTTTTTGGCATGAACATTTCTTGTCGGTCTGGTGTACCACAGTAGACTACCGACCGGCTGGCCGACGATCAAGGCGCCTGGGATCAGCCATTTCGTAACGAATGATTTCATAGGCCCTCAGAAAGTTGGGGTAGATGGCGGGGCAACCCAAGTGGCTGTTGCAGAGTGCGGGGTTGTCAGAGCTCCATCCCCACTTGTTGAACCAGAACATGCTGTTCCTTTTCTTGATGCGGCTTACTGCACGCTGTAATCTCACAATGTATACTGTGTTTGGCCTCGGGCTTGGATAGTTGTGTCGGATAGGGGATCCAATCCCGAGCTTTGTTTGAGGGTCGAGATCCTGGATTTTGAGTTTAGAGATCAACCATCACCGTGTCTATCCTGCTACCCCCTGGACACCAGCTCTCGGCCAAAAGGCAGACGATTCATTCGGCTGTATGTGTGGTAGAGGCTACGATCTGCCCAGAACATGTGCCGGAACGATGGTCGGTCAGTCTGAAGTCTGGACTCTGTAACCATCCAGGTGTCTAAGCCGGTGCTTTGCCCATGGCTGGCCATGCCAATCTCGGATCTCAGGGCGGGAATTGTCGTCGTGGATGTGGGGATCTGATGTCGCATCCTTGCATCTGGGGTCAAACAAAGCACCGGGCGACGACCGAGTCTGTCCAGGCGTCTCGAACCGCTGGTCCTCCTCCTGCTCGTCCTCGTCTGCGTCCTCGTCCTCGTACTGTCATGCTGTGCTCCCCATCACCCGGACTCCGGGATGAGGGCCCATGTCGTTGAGGCAGCTGACTGGTCGCCTTGGTGAGCCGCTCCCATTCCCCCGGGTGACACAGAGAGCAGCCAGTCTCATCGTCAAGGGCAGCTGGCAGGGTGGACGATGGGGCATGGGCGACGGGGTGTGTGAGACCCTTGGCAAAGCCCCCCATCAGGGAGCGGATCCGGGCCTTAGCTCCAGTGGCAGCTCCAGATGTCCCGATCTTCTGCCTCGGCGCTTTTCCTGTAACAGTCGCCTGGGTTAGAGCAGTTAGAGCAAAGTAGAGAGAGCGAGGACGGGATCTTGCAAGCTCAGGAGGGAGGGAGATAGGCTAGAGTCTGGCTTGCACTAGAGTGGTGGATGGACATCGTCACCATAACCGCAGCTCAACCACGGCAACCCGCAACCCCGCTTTGCTTTGCGATTTACATTACCACCAACCCTTGGCGCCCCTTTGCCACTGCTCTGCCTGTGCCTATTTCTTTCAACTGCCGCCGCTTGACTTTGAATCAATTGTTCCCTCTCCTCCTTCTACTCTTCATTATTCCCTTCTCCAAAGATACCCAACCCAACAAGTCCACAGAGCCAAGTGCCAACAGAGCTATAAGTTGCTCAGACATCAACAATCACCACAATCGAAACTCTAAACCACCCGTAACCACACACATCCATTCTCACACAGCATGTCTTCTCTGTTCGCGGAGCTTCAGACGCCAGCTACTGGCAAGTACAAGCAGCCCATTGGCCTGTAAGTTCTCCCGCAGAATTGCGACTCGCACGACTGTCGCTTACACAGCGTGACCCTCACAGGTTCATCAACAATGAATGGGTCGAGGGTGTCGACAAGCAGAAGTTCGAGGTCATCAACCCATCCACCGAGGAGGTCATCTGCTCCGTCCACGAGGGTACCGAGAAGGATGTCGACATTGCGGTCGCCGCTGCCCGGAAGGCATTCGAGGGCGTATGGAGGGATACAACACCTCAGCAGCGTGGTCTCTACCTGCTGAAGCTGGCTGATCTGCTCGAGAAGAACGCCGACCTGCTGGCCGCGGTCGAGTCGCTGGATAACGGCAAGTCCATCTCAATGGCAAAGGGAGATGTCGCCGCCGTGGTCGGCTGCATAAGGTACTACGGAGGTTGGGCAGACAAGATCGAGGGAAAGACCCTTGACATCAGCCCAGACATGTTCCACTACACAAGACCAGAGCCTGTAAGTCCACTAGTCGGACCCAAGTTACCCATTTTGCCCAACTAACAACTCCCTGCCAGATTGGTGTCTGCGGACAAATTATCCCCTGGAACTTCCCCCTGCTTATGTGGTCGTGGAAGCTGGGCCCTGCTCTGGCCACGGGTAACACCGTTGTGCTGAAGACTGCGGAGCAAACGCCCCTGTCCGGTCTGGTCGCAGCACAGTTCATTAAGGAGGCTGGCTTCCCTCCTGGAGTCGTCAACATCATCTCGGGCTTCGGCAAGACTGCCGGTGCTGCCATCTCCTCGCACATGGACATCGACAAGGTCGCCTTCACTGGCTCTACCGTCGTCGGCCGACAGGTCATGAAGGCCGCCGCGTCGTCCAACCTCAAGAAGGTCACGCTCGAGCTCGGCGGCAAGTCGCCCAACATCGTGTTCAACGATGCCAACATTGACGACGCCATCAACTGGGTCAACTTCGGTATCTACTTCAACCACGGCCAGTGCTGCTGCGCCGGTTCCCGTATCTACGTGCAGGAGGGCATCTACGACAAGTTCGTCGCGGCCTTCAAGAAGCGCGCTGAGGAGAACAAGGTCGGCGACCCCTTCGCCGAGGACACCTTCCAGGGCCCGCAGGTCAGCCAGCTCCAGTATGACCGCATCATGAGCTACATCAAGTCTGGCAAGGAGGAGGGCGCGACAGTCGAGACGGGCGGTGAGCGCCACGGTGACAAGGGCTACTTCATCCAGCCCACCATCTTCTCCGGCGTCACACCCAAGATGAAGATCATGCAGGAGGAGATCTTCGGCCCCGTGTGCACCATCGCCAAGTTCAAGACCGAGGAGGACGTCATCGAGGCCGCCCACGACACCAACTACGGCTTGGCCGCTGCCGTCCACACAAAGGACCTCAACACAGCCATCCGCGTTAGCAACAGGCTGAACGCCGGCACCGTCTGGGTGAACTGCTACAACGCCCTGCACCACCAAATGTAAGTGCCTCGCAAACATGTATACTTCTTACTTCAATTGCGGAATGCTAACAAATAGAACCCTAGGCCCTTCGGCGGTTACAAGGAGTCAGGTATTGGCCGTGAGCTCGGCGAGGCCGCGCTGGCCAACTACACCCAGAACAAGTCGGTCGCTATCAAGCTGGTGTAAGCTGTGGGACAAACTATACTCTAATTTGGAATGCGAAAGTGAGGTCGGTGAGAGGAGGTTGCTCAAGCTTGGAAAGCAGCGTGTGAAAAGACTGGGTCAAGTATGTAGCCAGTTCTGTATTGTACATGACTTATCGCGGCTCCCAAAGGAGATCTGCAGTGAGGTACGACTTTATTGAAATGAGTAAAAGAAATTCAAAAATACCATCAACAATGATCAATTGAGTTGTGACGGATCAAATCCTTGGGTAGCAGGCGAATCCTCCGCGCAGCCGCCGGTCTCCACTTGACCGTACTGCTAAAATTGGATTTCATGAAGCGGAAGGCCGCGAGATCATGAATCTCGCCCTCGAAGCCCATCAGCCATCGTCTCCAGTCAATATGCACCTAATTTTAGGAATCTGCCTAACTTCTTCAACTAAACAGAGCAATCACGTACGGTGCTGGCGGTGGACCTGCCCAGAATCTTGCCAAGGGGGGAAAGTAATCTTTTACACGGTGTATCTAAAGTATTATTTGGTCAACTTCAAATATAGTCACGCCATTATCACGAAAGCATGAAGCCGAGAAACAGAGCTTTGTTGTGATGTTGTTGACAGAGCATCTTCCACAATGTCCATGTCTCCCAGCCGCCACGTGAACGCCCACTTTTCATTCGCATGTTGCTTGCGATGAAAACAAAGATCTTGACTAAGATGAGTCAAAAGAAACGAGGTATATGCACTGGAGAAGGAAACGGCTACGCAACGCAACGGAAACAGCATACTTAGGCCTGTGTATTCATTGCGGCTCTCTGGTAGACCGACCTCTTAGGACTGCGATGCGCTTTTGGCCTGACTGAAAAGCTACGGCTGATGCCAGCCTCCATGACTAGGTATGACATAAAAATATGGGGACTATATCCAGATTCGACACATAAGCCCCAAGAGCATTCACCAGGACGTAGTGTATGAGATCGAAGGCCAGGAATCATTGAGCGGCCAACAAGGCAGGCAAGTACAAGAACAGAAACACCTCATCAAAGTCAATGGCGAGCGGGAGAGGAATATCCTTGGAAGTGCTATCTCGTACAGGAGGCAATGCAAACTTGGAAGAAGGCATCACTCGGTGTCAAGGACTGGCAACAAATGAAGTCAATACTGTACGGCACGTGTAAGTGCCCGTGTAACCTTCAGCAGGGCGGTTGCATCAATCCAGGCACAGCGGGACGGAGCCGCCTAATGACGCTATAATTAGCAGCCCGCGCCAACGTCACTGCGGAACCCACAGCGGCCAGTTTGCCAGCAGCCAAGGCCAGTTCTGCGACCAACTTGCCCTGGCAACGGGCAAACAGGAACCAACCCCCGCGGGCCCAGATTTACATCCCGGCCTTTTTTTGGCTGGTTCACCCAACCCAGTGAGATTGCCCAACGCGTCAACAGGTCGGTCGATCACCAAGACGCGGTACGCGACCTGGTAAAAAAATCCACATTTTGTCCAGATAAGCCTCGGCTTTCATCATATGGGGGGATAGGACCAGGTCACACCCACAGCACAGGCGAGGAAACAACACACAAACAGCCCGATCATGGCGGCGTCTACACCCTCGAGCAGGGCCTACTTTGAGCAGCAGCGCGAGGCGCTGATAGGGGAAATAGCGATGGTAAATGAGACCAGCCTTCTCTGCGCGCTCATTTACATTAATACCAGGCTGACCCTCTTCTGAAATCTCAACAGAGCTTCGAGCAGGTGCTGGCAAACATCAACAAGCTGAACCGCAACCTCGAGGCCGTCATCACGGTCGGCAACGAGTTCTCGTCGGTCGAGGCCCTGTGGAGCACCTTTGAGAACGTCATGGCCAAGGAGGAGGGCGAGGGGGAGGAGGTAGAGGAGGCAGCAGAGGGCAAGAGTGACGAGGCAGGCGGTGGTAGTTCAGGGGACGAACAGGGCCAGGATGAGATGAAGGGTGAGGATGAGGAACAGGACAGAACGGTGACCTGAAAGATCCTTCACAGGAATCGAGATTTGAGTGAGCACCGCTGTGAAAACAGCCCATATCCATACCAACACCATGCTCGGCCTGGGGTTGCTTTGAATGAGGCTCTCACCGCTCCCTTCATATCCTTAGGCTTCATGAGTGGGCCGCGTATCAATAGCGCCGAGGATGGATAAGGCGGTTGGGATAGCCAAAGCTAAATTGCTTGGTGGCGAAAAGAAAGGACTCATGGATAATAGATACCCAATAGACAACCGAACCAATTGATGCACAATTATCACCAAGGCAAGCGCGGCAGTTTTGGAAAGATTAATATCGATTGAGGAAGATGAACTCCTAACGTTTCCTGTTCCATGCATTGAAAAACCACGACTCAATATATCCCATAGAAACAAGTGAAAACCGTCCGTCCGATGCAGGACAAGCCCGGTGTGGGATCTCGCACCCGAATGTGGGTGTCCGTGACAGCGTCTAAAAAGGCGTCTCCTTGGCATCGAGCCAACCAGAGAAACACCTCGAGGCCGCCCAATTCCCCCTCCTTCGCCAGAGAGGGGGTATCATCAACCTACAAAAAAAGAGATGACGCGATGTGAGAATGCGAATATGAGGCTGTAGTGTAGGAAAAGCCTTGTCCTCCACTGTGGCCCGGTCCAGCCCGTCCGTCCTTCCATCCATCCGTCCATCCTTTCGTACATCCATTCATCTGCCCGTCGTCGTCATCATCATGTCCTCTCGAAGGGCCGTTGCCCCTCTTGCATTCCTCATTCGGTCTCATGATGAAGTAAGTCAAGGAAACGTGTCGTGTCGAGTCCATGAAGGGAAATGGCTGTCATGTCGATTTCATGCGTCGTCTCATTACACACTCCGTGTTGTGAGGCAGCCCGTGGGCGGGCCACTCAGTGATGGATTAGCGCTTTACTAGCAAAGCTCACCGCTCACAGGAAGTTGCACTTTCTCTTCTTCTTGCGGATGCCAGCCGCGCCGGGGATACCGCCGAGGTGGCTGCTCTCCCGCCTTGACGATTGGCGCTGCGCAGCCTGTGCCTCAAGATTCCGTCGGTCGTTGGAGACGACAGTGGTGATGGCTTGCTCGAAGATCTCGTCGACGCCCTTCATCTCCTTGCTGCTGCACTCCATGTACTGGGCGTTCATCTTCTGTGCGACACCCATGCCCTGCTCTCGTGTGACCGGTGTCAGGCCTTGGGTCTTGAGCATGTCGATGCAGGTCTTCTTGTAGCGCAGGTCGGACTTGAGGCCGACGAGGATGAGTGGTGTGTATGGGCAAAAGTGCAGGACCTCTGGGTACCACTGTTGAGTGATGTTAGTGCTAGGTACAGGGAATGAGTTGGAATGCAGGGACGTACCTTGTCCATGACATTGTCGAGTGAGTTGGGGCAGTCGATGGCGAAGCAGACAAAGATGAGGTCGGTCTCTGGGTAAGACAGCGGTCGCAGGCGGTCGTACTCCTCTTGGCCTGCGGTGTCCCACAGGGCAAGCTCGACGGTCTTACCGGAAGGGCGATGCGTAGGGTACGTGATGTAGTTCTCAAATACTGTTGGGACGTATTTCTGCGTGGGTTGTCAGTAAATTGGATCCTGGTAGCCATTGGAGGGGAGGGGCAAGTAGAGATGAGAGAGTCAGGCATGTCGCGTACCTCTGGGAAGTATCCTTGGCTGTAGCTGATCAACAAACACGTCTTTCCGCAGCCACCGTCGCCGACGACGACGATCTTCTTGGAGTAGGCGGGCGCGTCTGTCATGGCTGTTGCTGATGATTCGCGACCGGATGTGGAATTGCTCATCATTGTGCTGATAGTCCCATCACTTGACCGTTGCTGCCGTCTGGTGCTGCTTGGTGTTTTCCGGCCACTCTCATAGTACTTTTCGTCGTGGAGTGGCTGGTTGTTGCTGTAGTACGAGTTGCGGTAGCTGTAAGACGAAGCCATGCTCATGGATTTTTTCTCTCGCATGCGACTGCCAGTGAATGGCGGGGCCAGACCACGGTTATGCACGGATAGCGATAGCTGGGACAGTTCGGTCCAAGTTCAATTCAAGCCAGGCGAGATAGGACAAGCAGGCAGGCAGGCAGGCAAGCTGGCGGGCAGGCAGGACAGCACTCTGGATCTGAGTGAAGCTGATGGAGCGGAGGGTGGTCGAGGGAGCTTGCGGGAACTGGGGTGCAAGACAGGTAGGATGGTGTTTGTTGTGTTGTGAACAATGACAATAATCCTCTGCTCGACCCTGAGTCGACGTATCTCTTAATGCAAGTAAATACTGGTTGCTACTCGGCTATGCAAGGCGAAGGCGATGCAGCTGTGAATGCAGGGTGCTGATAGGCGGGCCGGTGTGAGCGAGGTGGAGGGGTGCGCTGTGTTGTGTTGTGTTGTTGGTTGGTCCCCGAGGTCGCTTGGATGGAGGGCAGGTGGGATGGGATGGGAATAGGATAGATGTCGAGACACACCACAACACAATAATTCTGAGAGAGGAAAAGATGAAGTAGGATGCAGATGCTTCCTGAGGCGGTTCGAGGGGGAAAAAGTCAAAGCAAGTAAGTCAATTGGCGTATTGGGAGAAAGAGGAGGTTGGTATGTGTCTCAGACAAGCTTGGAAGTAGGATGGGAGGCTCTACCTGGGTACGAGCGGATAGGCTGCTTCCTTCGAACGTGTGTGTGAGTGTGTGTGTTTACGGGTGTCCCCAGCAACGACCAGCAACCGACCAAGCACAAGCGCAGCACACAGCTCGGCAGCACGGTCTAGGCTCAGTATGGCTCAGCTTTTTTAGCACAGCACCGTCACAGACACAGCATCAGCTGCTGCAGGACGGACAAGCATGCATGCAAGCAAGTTGCGGATTGACGATGATGATGATGATGCATTCAGTCCGTTACCCAATCCCGCCTCACGTCATCTGGGTCACTCGTTCTCTATGGGAATCCACAGTCAGGATTAAGAGTCTGGTACAGCCCGCGGATGGGGCAAGGAAGCCTCAGGTCCCCACCATGCTGGGTCCAGCTGCTGCTTGCTTGTGCTTTATTTATGCCTGCTTGTGCCTGCTGTGCTGCAAAGCTGCTGCTGCGTTTCGACTGCTGGTACATCCTGGACAGGTCAGATCCCTGTACTGTGGTAATTCGGTGGCAGGAAGACTGGGGAAACGGTCCTTAACAGGCAACCTTAAGATTTAGCGGTGGCTGGACCGTTTCCGACTGTGCCTGCTCGTGCTGCTGTTGTCCTGCTGTGCCTGCGCACCTGCCCTCGCTGCCCCACCCCCCTGCTGCTGCAGCCTGAGCCTGCCAACACCTGCACGCCCCGTCCCCACCAGCCCGTCCCACATCCTGCGTCCTACCGCAGCATCTCTCTTCTCTCCAGCGCACCTGCCCGCCTGGCCCTGCCCGCCCGCCTCCCTGCCTGTCAGGCCTGTCTGTGCCTTTGTTTCCGCTCCGTCACTGACACTGCCGCTGCCAGGCAAGAACAACCTGCCAACTGCTGGCAGGTGGCCCAAGCTCCCCGCTTAAAAAAAAAATTCAAACGACAACCTCACAAATCCGGAAGCGCGGGTGATCAAAAAGTCTCCTCTCCTTCCTTCATTCAGCCTCAACCAAGCCCACACAACCCTTGGAACCTGCAGCAAAGCAATGACACGTCGTCTGCTTCAGGTCATGACCCGAGCATCATAGTCTCCTCTCTGACAAGAGGCTCTGCCTGGCCTTTTCCTGATCGTCATCACCTGCAGGAAGCATCTGCTCCCGTCTGCGGGCACATTGCTCCCTCCCTCCCTCCTCAACAAACCTTCTCCTGTCTGCAACTCTCTCTCTTGAGGGTCGCACCACAGCCCAGTCTAGACCGCACTACCCGGAAGTCGATCAGGATCACTCACTCAGGATCAGCATCAGCATGGCTGCTCCTAGCAAGTACATCACGCTCGTCTCGGCCGAGGGCTTCGAGTACGTCTTGCCACGTGAGGCTTGCCAGGCCAGCCAGATGCTGCGGACCTCGGTCGATCCCGACAAGCACTTCAAGGAGAACAGGGAAACGGTTGTCAACCTGCCCGAGATGAGGTTGGTTATTCCCACGTTTTGTTTTGCTCGCCTCGTGCGGTCCACAGACTACCTCCCCCGTCCTTCTTCGCACCAGTGTCGATGATGAAACGCAGTTATTTCGCTGTTTCTTGCTGACAGAGCCTCCTACAATTGGTTCTGGTTGACTGTCAACTACACTTGATCTGAGATGCTTGTTCTCCCCTCCCTCGCAACACACCTGAAGCCTGTTCATTTACGGGCGTCGGACGCCGCTGACAGGGTTTGTACAGCGCCGTCGTCTTAGAGAAGGTCGTCGAGTACCTGCTCTACTGGTACAGGTACCAGGACAAAGAAGATGTTCCCGACATGGAGATCCCAGTCGAAATGTGCCTCGAGCTGCTAGAGGCCGCCGACTACCTCCAGATGGATAGTGAGCACTTGGTGCAGCCGTCGAGCAAGAGGGCATGAGTGCTGACCCCCCACAAAGATCAGTTTCGATGAGGTGACTCTTTTTTTCCGCGTCATTTATTTTTGCATTCGCAGCTCTCTGGCGTTCAGAGTACACAGGGTACTGGACAACGGGCATATGGCAGGGGCAGGCGTCTGGGAGCAAATCAGTGGTCCATGACGATACCCTTTGGTCTATGAAAGACAAATGTCAGCAAAATGGCGATCTCGCCATCGATTTCTCATTCTCTCTTATTGTCTCTTATGCACCTTCGCGCGTCGACGGTTGTCTCAGCTGTTGCCAAAACAGACTCGATTTGTGACTTGTTACATATTCCTTGAGAAAGGGACCCCCATCTTAGCATATGCGATCAACACTTCTTGCCTCCGTGGGTTGATTGTCTAATACGGATGGAAGATTGATCACCATATTCCCCCACACTCTGCTTGACTCACAGTGCCCCGTTGAGATCTCGCTTTTTCAGAGGGGATACATCCTCTGATACGAATTGTCGAACTGAATTTTTTGGCAAGGCATAGCGCCTCGGCTTCAAATAGTAGAATACATTTCAAACTGCGAACAATGCCCATGGGTATCTCTGCTGCCGTGAATGACACTGAGTAATTCTGTCGTATGTCTTTTGAGGGAAACAAGTGCCACGCATGATCCGCTCTGCTTGAATTGGTCCATTACCACCCCCTACCCCGTCCGCCTCTACCCCGTCCTCTCCCTCCGCCCCGCCCAAAACCACCACCTCCACCTCCTCGTCCACCACCTCCCCTTCCCCTGCCTCGACCACCACCACGCCCGCCTCTAAAGCCCCTGTCGCCCCTGTCCTCCTCAGGTGGCGGCCCCTCTTGCCGGCGCCGCTCCCTCTCCTCCTCGCTCGCGTCCCACAGGTTCTCGATGCCCAGCAGCGCGCAGAACGAAACTGTCTGCGGATTGGTGTGCTCCTGTGGCTGGATACCCGAGTGCAGGCCCCACAGCCTCTCATCGGCGCCTTCCAGAAGCGCGGGGGCCGTCAGGGTAAAGTTCTGCGGGACGCCCAGCTTATCCCCACTCACGACATTCTCCTCGATCCACGCGCGCTCCTCGGCGATTTTGGGAGCGTAGGCCTCCTCGCCCTCGTCCGGGGGCGCCTGGGCTGTCCTGTCGCCGATTTTGAGGTGCTGGTGGAAGTGCCGCGTGATGGCGAGCCATTCCGGGTCGTATTGCAAGGCGAAGCGGCCTTGGTATGGCAGGGAAGGGGGCTCGGGCTGTTGGTTTTCGTCGCTGGTGGACGGGACTACAGGGTTGATGCCACAAAGCTGGAGGAAGTCTCTTCCTGGCTCACACTTGTTGAGTGCGAGGAAGCGTACTGTGGTGTTGGTAATCGTTGGTGGGACCGGCTGGCCTGGTGTGCGTTTCGGTCCTGCGAAGGGCTTTGGCTTTGGCTGTTGTGTAAATGAGGCTGGAAGTTGAGCGCGGAGGTCATCTGTGACTGTGGCTGTGGTTTCTGCCTGTGCATCCTTGGCGGTGGAATCATCGTTGCCGCTTTGTGCTGGAGGTGGTGCGGCAGGTGCACTATCTTCATCATCGTCCATATCCAGGTCAATCTCGTTGGGATTTTCCACCGGTGCCTCTTCTTTCGAAGGCTCAGATGGTGTCTCAACAGCTGGAACTGGTGCTGTCTTAGCTGTGCCATCCAAGCCAACGGTCTGAGGAGGAGGAGGATACGTCTTGACAGCCGCAAACTTCCAGTGCATGTGCGCTGAGAACCAGAACGCAGGCCTTAACCGATCCATGACATATTCTGCCGCAGGACTGCCCAATGACCCATCCAGGCTCTCCTCCTTCCACATGGGCCTCGTGCGGTACAGGTGCTGTACGTCGCCGTGTTTCTCAATGCCCCTGGGCCAGTCGTGGCTTAGTCCGACATCGACCTGCTCCGTTATCTGCAGCAGCCTGCGCACATCGAACTCTCTGACGTGGTAGAAAGACTTGATGTCGTCCCTGCTGAACGGCAGCCTCTCGAGATGCGGCTTTCGGTAGTCAAACCCCTTCCAGATCCCGCTCAGCCCTGCAATGCGCAGCGGGCCGACACGCAGCACATTGGCGGCGCCCATGTAGTAGATGTTGGGGGCAACCCAGCCGCCGTAGTACAGCTCCCACAGGTACGCGGCCGCCTCGTGGTTGCCGGCGATGAACAGGGTTAGGTAAGGGGCGGTGCGGGCGCCCGAGTAGTACTCGTGGAAGTCGCCGAGCACGCGGTACTTTGCAGGGACGGACATGACCTCGACGTCGTGGCCGTTGCGGGTGGACTGAAAGTCTCCGCATATGATGAGGACGTCGACGCCGGGCCAGCCGCGCGCGTGGGAGGCGGTGGTCACGGCGGCATAGATTGCGTTGAGGGTGCCATGGCCCTGGGACAGTGTTAGGAAGTGATGGTGGAATGTGGGTGATGCGAGCCTTACGCAGCCTTCAACAGCAACCCTGACGCCGTCCTTCTCAAAAAGACCTGGTTTGGCGGTGTCTTCCATTGTGGGTTTCCAGCTGCGGATAAGTACTCCGCAGAGCTGTGAGGTCTCAGTTGACGAGCTCTGGCTGGAGCCCTATATTACCGTATCCTCAACAGGACTTGTTTTGACGGCCAACGAGGTTGTCAGTATGAGAGAAATTTGACCGAAGAGTTCTTGTCCCATCTCATGAAGGCTTGGAGAGTTCCCAAAGTAGTCGGGGCTTCAGATCGTTGTTTTGCATGATGGATGAAAATTGCACTGAGTGAATGAGCTCCGTCAGTCGAACCTGGCCTGTGCTTAGCTCATCACGGCTACGGTCAGGCGTGCACGAATCCCCAAGTGTGGACGGCACCTCCTGCCACAATCACGTTCACCACAAGCCTCGCCTGCCTCCCTGCATTGATCGTCCCTGCCACCATTACTCAACATGTTGGCACGACATCCGTTGTCGTCTATCATCACCATCACAATCAGTCAGTCGTGTCAACAACTTGCCTCTACCCCAACGACTTCAACAAGCGTAGATTATGAATTACAGCAGAGTCATCAACAATTCTTGGGCTCAATTTTGGTCGCATTCACTACATAGCGTATCGTATACTTGATGTAGGCTATGCGAGCTGACCATCGCTGTATCTGAGCCGGGTCACACACACACACACACACACACACCTAGGCAACCTATCTCGACTGGTCCTGCTGGGTCGCTGTCTCTCGCAGGTCCTCGGGCACCTGCCACCCATGTGTGCCGGCAAATCGGACGTATGCATCCAGTGCCTCGTTGGCACCGTAATCAAACATCCTAGCCGAGGCTTCTGTAGTCTGCAGGTGTGCTGGGCGCTCCGTCTCACTCATGGCCATCCTGATTGACACGAAAACCGCGTCCATCGAGGTCACAGGGCTCCATCCAGACCCGGTGAGAAGCTCCATGCAAATCGCTCCACCGATCGTGATGTGGCCGCCACCTCCCGAGGCAAAGGGCAGGAATCGGGGCCGGACCACCCGCACAAATGGTGGCGAATAAGGGTAGTCGCGTCCAAAGCGCACCTCTAGGACGATCGACGTGATCCCTGCCGTCTTCATCTCTTTCGCCAGAGGAAGCTGAGCATCAAAGCTGTGGAACTCGACAATCCACTGAAACATATTCTCCATGCTCTGAAAATCGATGTACCATCCGAGCTCGTGCAGCGGGGTGCTGGCCTGAACCTTTTGCATGTGCTTGATGTCGCCTGTGATCCTCTTTGTCGACTTGCCATCAGCCCAGGCAGGCAACGGGAGGCGCGGGAGGCCACTGAGGTCCAACGTGCCCGGACGAAAGTCAGTCTGCGGCGGCGTGAGTGGACGTTGTGTGGTGACCTGTTGCGCGGTCGCGGTATCAACACTGGAGTCCCTTGCAGAGTTTGCGCGTTTGGCAGAGGGCGGCGGTGCCTCATCTTCGCTAAAGAGGAATTCAAGATCCGGCGCTTCCTCTTCGTCTGTGTCTGCAGAGGAGGACATCGTCTCATGCACACGTTTTGACGTTGAGGGGGCCTGGGACTTTTGCTGCATCCTCGTGCGAACTGCTTTCAAAGGGATGCTTAGGGGCATCGCATCTGGTCCACGAACGGTTCGTGCAGGATCTTGGGCGAGTACCAATGAATTCGGGACAGCACCCCTAGGTCCATTCATGGAACCCGAGAGACCAGCCGCGGCAGCGCCACCGGAGGAGGTAATGATCTGGGTGGGGTTGTAAACCTCAGTGATACGTTTCCGTGCGAAAAGATAACGGCACTGAATCCAGTCGACCTGGTTGACCACCAGATGAGGGCTGGTCGAGACGAAACGCTCTGGGGCATTCACGATCTCGCAAAGGGAGATGACCTCGGAAATGTTCAAAGCCGAATTGGGCCAAGACACGATGCCCGGCCCAGCATAAGAGGAGCTGGTGTTGTAGTCTTGGGAAAAGTAGACTCCGTCGCCATACGCTCTACCGTTCAAGACTTGGTTAAAGTCGAGGCCGCAACGAAGAATACTATGCCTGAGACAGGTCAGCAGGGTAGTTGCAAAGGACAGCCGATGGCAGCAAAGTGACGAGGCGATGTGGGTGTAGCAGAAGCCTGGTTGAAGGGGGTTAGGAGGATCACACATACCAATTAGAAAGGGCGCTTCCATGCCAGGCAAACAGGGTGGGATATTCGGGGTTGATTTGCGATCTGACGTCTTTCAGAGCTCGATGGAATCGCAGCTCCTTATCCGGGGCGCCTTGGGCAAACCGAAATTGGACACAATTCGTCATGGACGGGATGGCTTCTTGGTCCCGGGTCTTAATCGATTCAAGCAGAGTTTGGTCCTTCGCAGTGGAGTCTTCCACTGGAGTAACCTGTAGGATGCATGAGCGATTGGATGCCACAATCCACTCCAGGAGTGTCGCGGCTGCGGGTGAAACGCCAGCACAAGACCTCAATTTGCCATGTGGATTCTTGATGAGGTATTCTCGGAGAGAAATAATGGGCGGAAGTGAATTCAATACAATTTTCATTACTCCAGCCTTCCCGTCATCGTCCAGGTCGTCGAATTCGCTATCGTAGAGCACCAAATCCATTTCGACCGGCCCAGTGGCCCTCAGACGGTCATTCACCAAAGTCTCGATCTCCAGAGTCCTGGTTTGATGATCGAGGCCCTTGACAAATGCATGATGGTAAGCTTTGTCAGAGGAGGGAAAACGTGCATCCTCTCGTAATATGATCCATGTTTCCGGGGTGACGCGGTCAACATCTGCATCCAATACAGTGACCAAACGGCCGCGCAAATCGGCCTGGACTTTGATGGAGCTTGCGGATGCAATGGCATCGCCGTCCTGGTCCGAATTGGTGGCAACTGGTTTGGTTGGGGAAACATTGTCGGGGTGCGGAACCTTGAGTTGAAGTCCACAGGGGAACTCACGAATCCTATATTGCTGCCCCTGAGTGAGACTGGGGTTATGAATAAAGCGGGGACCGCGAATCGATTGGGCATCCTGAATGCTGTTATAGCACAGACTGACAAGAAGGTCAACGACGTATGGCTGTGTCAGTATCTCATGCTCGACGGAAGGCCCGAAACCCATCGTGAGGTACTGAAAGAGGCATAAGGGATCCGAGCAGACGAAAGGCTTAAGAGCCTCAAACTCGGTTCCGGTATGTTTGTGACAGTTCAGACAGTACTCTGTACATCGAACAAAATAGTGGATTGCGAACTGCATAGCGAGCAGTGGGGTGCTGCAATGCTCCGGAGGACTGGTGACGGCGTCCTGCATGAGGAACTTTGGAATAGGCTTGGGTGACCGTGGCTCTTCGTGTGTCTGCGAGGTGGTATGGGCCGCTGTCGCTGCGTTTCCTTTTCCATTGGAGTTGCCCCTCGACTTTGTCTTCTTTGTTGACTTGAGTCCGGACCCCATCGACTCCTCGTCTTTCTTGGGCTTACCAACGGGCTCATCCACGAAGGTCCTTGAGGACATGTTCCTGAGCTGCTCATTGGCATCGTCCCACTTGTAGGCCTGATTTCCAAGACGAAGCTTGACCATGGACAAGAAGCGTTCTCTCATGAATTGCTCGAGTGAGTTAGAAATAAAAATTTTCTCGAACGTCCGGCCCTCGTCATACTTGAGGACAAATGCTTTGCTTGCGGATGCGCCCTGGTTCCGGACAGCTTCAGTGATAAATGCTGCTCTGGCCTGCGCGGGTGACGGCTTGTACTTGGCGCCCTTGCCGAAGCGGAAGTCGACGTGGAAGTTGGCATAGGACTGTTCAGCCAATTTTTCGGCAGAAGGGTACATCCCCTCGACACGGATCAGGAGAATGATATAATCAGACATCTCAACGTCCCAAGCTTCAACAGCCTCCTGAGACAATGCCAGCTTGCTGGCTCTTATCGATAGAGAGAAGATGTGGGTGTCAGCAGAGAGCTCCAAGCCATCCAAGATGCCAACCTTGCAACCTGCGTCTCGGGCGTCGCGCAGGTCGGACTTGATTCTTCGAAGGGTACTAGAGTGCAGACGTGAGCGAGGTGTAGTGTGACCGTTCGTGTGTTCAGAGACGAGACCGAATATGTCACTACAGTCAGAGCCGTAGCCAGAGCTATCAGATTCCACCTCCTCGTCCTCCTGTGGTTCCTCCATCGTGATGTCTTGATCACCGTCGACAGAACGTAGGGCATTGTCCACGTGTGTCGACAGGGTCGTGATGGCCTCGAGGAGCTTCATACCAAAAGTGTAGTTGTTCAGGTTCTCCAAAGCCGAGGTGACACTGGCGGCTACATTGTCGGCGGCTGTAAAGAGAAGGAAATTGTTGTCACCGGGGTAAGCATCGATGTTCTGGGCCAGGAGCTGGACAGGCAGGGGCATCGACAGTTTCTCGTGAATGATAGTGATGACGACCTCGCCGTCCGAGTCGCCACGCTCTACAGCGTCGACACCAGGGAGGCCGCCGTCTTTGAGCCGAGAGCGGACGGCCCGCACATCAGCGTTGAATTGCTTCAGAGACATGAAGGCGATGTCACAGTTGCAACTGTGACCAACCCACCGTCAGCAAGAGGGTGAGGCGGACGGCTCCTTTTGGCCAGTATGTTAGCTTAGATGAAGAGCATTCTGGTTGACAGAGGGGTCTCGAGAAGTATTGTTTCTGGCAGACTGAGGCGTTGGGTGGGATCAACTTGTGGACTGTGGGAAGTGACCTTGTGGGACGGATTTGTTGTGGGACAGGGAAGATTTTGAGAGAGGAGCCTCATTTCTGAACGTGTCGTAGATTGGAATCGAGGCAGATGCTCGCTCAGATGGTGTGGTGGTGAATAATGTTTCGATTCTGGTTTAAGTACTTACTTGCCTTGCTTGAAAGGTCAGTGGTCTTCACTGTGCACGAAGATGGATGGTGAAAGAATGATCGAGATGTATGCTAGATTCCGCCACGTAGTCTCGACGCCAAACGAAAGTCTGCCATCAAGACAAGCTGCAACGGGGAGTGCCTTAGGGACAAGGCGGGCAAGATGTTGTTCAAGGTGAGACCTGGAAGCCCCAGAGACAATATTAATGGAGGTGGCATCAAGAATGGCTCACAGTGAAGCGTGATGTCTGACGTTAGGTCAAGTGAATTTGGTCCAAGGAGGGAGGAAAAAAACAGAAGAGGAAGGCACAACTACTTGGGAGAAAGGGCGGTTGTTGCTCTGCTTCGTTGTTGACTGTTGAGGGTGCCGTAGCGGGGTCTTACCCAAGGCAGCAGCAACATGACAGCACCAGCACCAGCACCAGCACCAGCACCAGCACCAGCACCAGCAAACCTCGGATAAGCGACCTCCTTGAACTCAAGGAAGTTGTTGCACCAAGTACGGCCCCAATTCACTTGAATCGGAGGCAAGACGAGGCGAGCCGACAGACAATCACTTGGTGGTATCTTCTGTCTCGTATCCTCCCTTCCCTCTCGCCTCTTCCTTCTCCTAGCAGTTTCCGCAGCTCCCTTTTCTCTCTAGGCCCTCCTCCGCCTCCTCCTCCATTACCCACCGCAGGAGCAGCTTTGCTCAGCCTGCATGTCATATCTGGTTCCCAGCGTAGTGCTGAGGCACCCTGGAGTCCATGAGAGCACCGTATTGAGGCTAGACACAAGCAAGCAGAACCACTTGTCAACAGGTAGAGGGAAAGTAGGTAGAGGTTAATAATTTGATGCTATTGACTACCATACAAGGCAGCATCGATGAGATGACGAGATGCCAGGATGGAGGGACGGATTCCAGGCGTCAGTCTTTAGATAGATTATATACCTGCTGTTGGGCCAGGCACGCACATTAGTAGTAATCTCATGCTCCATTCCACCACTCCAACTTGGGAAGATACAGGGTCACATCACTCGCGGGGACTGGCAAGGATGCCCCACCAAGACACCCCACCGCGGGGCTACAACAACATCAGAGCATCTTGACCTTGGACCGCTCTCCCGACAGACATCTATTCGTCTGTGTCATACAGACCAATATCACGACCACAAGAAATCCCTCGAACTTTATACAGCCATCATGCTCATCAAAGAGTCCCACGCAGATGTGACGACGACCGTCAATGGCGTCGAGAGCTCCATGAGAATCTTTGTCTTTCACCCCACCATCCCGCAGTATCCCAACGCGTAGGCTAATGCTCCCTTCCCTTGCACCAATAAATCAGCCCATCTCCCGTCTGACCATGCCACTCTGGTCTATTCATATATGACTCGATTGAACATGATTCTGACACCCGTCTAGCCGTTTCCCTGGCGTCCTCCTCTTCAGCGAGATCTACCAGGTCACCGGGCCAGTCGCCCGGTTCGCCCGCCAGATCGCCGGCCAGGGTTATATCGTCGCCGCGCCAAGCTCCTACCACGACTTCACGGGTCCCGAGGCGCTGGCTTACGATGTGCCCGGCACTGACCAGGGCAATGCCTGGAAGATCAAGAAGGCATGTCCCCATTAAACCTCTCTACCAAGGGAATGGCAGAACCGAGCTGACGTCTCTTGATTTATATAGACACTCGAGTCCTACGACCAGGACTCTTACAAGACTGTAGACTATCTCCTGAGCCTGCCCACTTGCACTGGTCTGATCGGAGCTACCGGAATGTGTCTTGGCGGCCACCTTGCGCTGAGAGCTTCTGTAAGTCCTGATCCTGATCTCATTGTCTCCTATGCTTTACTTACTCCATGAGTCTTCGCCATCAAATTGCCCGCTCCACGACTGACCATCCATCCCATCACAGCTGGACCCTCGTATCTCGGCCACAGTCTGCTACTTCGCAACAGACGTGCACTCGCGCACCCTGGGCCCGTACGACAAGCCCGACCTCTCCGCCACAGCGCCCTCACCGGACAGCAAACACACCATTGACCTCCTCGGCAACCTCAAGGGCGAGGTGTCGCTGATCTTCGGGCTCAAGGACACCCACGTGCCCGACGCCGGCCGCGACCTGATCCGCGCCAAGCTTCGCGAGGCCGGCGTCGTCTTCAGCTTCCACGAGTTCGCCTGGGCCCAGCACGCCTTCATCCGCGACGAGCTCAGCAAGGGCCGCTACGATCCTGCCATCACCAAGGCCTGCTTCGAGGTCCTGCTGGAGCTGTTTGGCCGCACCCTCAAGGTCGATCTTGGCCCCAAGGACGGTGCGCCACAGAAGCTGGAGCACGTCTGTTAGGTGATGTGTTTGACTGCGGACGGCTTGGATGACTATTTCCTTGTGGGTACTCAAAAGCATCTTACTGTGTAGGACTTTGCTCATGATCGACTATTTTCGATGAAACCAAATTGTTAACACAAAATATGAATTACTCCTGTAAAAGGGGAATAAGACCAACTTAAATGGCCGCTCGAGGTGGATCCAGCAATATGTCTGAAATGCGACGTATCCTGCTCGCCCTCTGATGAATCCCACTAGCCTAGCCAGGCTTTCTATGTCGTCTTGTGTAGACGTATTGTTTTGATCACCAACCCCTTCATCACCAGCCAACCCGCCGTCGTATGCTCGTCAGTATTATGATTGTCACTGGGCATTTTCCGTTCCCCCCCCCCATCCCACCTGTCCAGCCTTCCTGTTGCACCTACCCCTACCCCTTCCTTTTCCATCCGAACCCGAGATTCGTCTGCTCATTATAGCTTGAAGCTGTTCGGTGACAGCCAGCGATTACACTACCGTTCGCTACTTCGTATACTGCCGTCCTTGGCCTCCCTGGCCCTGCTGCTGCCTTCGCGCCTGCTCTTCTCGTTCGCGCTCTTCCAGAGCCTGAGAGACACTAGCACCCCTTTGGCGAGCACCGTGTGCCTGAGGGGCAACCAGGACTCGTCCCTCGGACGATGATGGACCTGCCGGGCCTGTGATAGCTTGTCCGGGCAGGGTCATCTGCTCGTGAGGGTCCTGGCCTGGTCCGGGCGGTGAGTACATATCCGTGGGGTAGAGTGAATAGCTCTGAGCCGCTGCGGCAGCTATACCCGGCGAGACATTGGGCACCGCTCCGTAGCCTGGCGAGCTTGCAACTCCAATCCCGCCATAAGGGCTGCTCATGCCGCCTGCCTGGCCAGGGACGACGTCGTATGACATCTGACGATGCCCACCGACTATGGCGTTGCCATCGTTGTCGTACTGCGTGACTGTCAAGCCGGGGCTCATCGAGCTAAGCGGCACGCCAGGAACGCCCTCGCCCGCTTTCCTGCGACCACGCGTGTTCTCCCGCTTGACGAGGTCCTGGCGGATCTGCTCGAGGTTGTCGGACCGGTGCCGCTCTGCCGAAACATCCCTAGAGTTCAGCGTCGTGGACTCGGTACGCTCGTCCACAATATCACGGTTGGAGGCGTAGTTGGAATCCATGCCTTCCAGTGGTGGGCGCGTATTCAGCTCTGCGACGGCCTGCTTTTCGCTCATGTGCTGAACCTTGGTCGAGACACCTCGCTTGGGCTTGAGAGGCGCAATTCGCAGGGCGTCAGCAGCCTCCTCGGCCTTCTTACGAGCGCTAGCAGCAAAGCCGTCGTCCACGGTAACAGAGTAGGCTGGGTTGGTCGGTCCACCCAATGGCTCTGCACCGCCACCTGGGCCGTAGATAGGAACCTTTTTGAGGGCAAGAGCAAGAGCGCAGATAAATTTGGATCTCCTGGTGGCACGGACAGCGTCGTTGTGCCAATTTGACTTGTGCTTGATGGCGATCTTGAGCGTAAGCTTGTCGAGGTCTCCCACACTGCCCACGCCAATGGCGAGGTCAGGCTGGAAGTCTCGAGAGTTGTCGGCATGGCGCACGAATTTCTCCATCTCTACGCGGAGGAGCTCAACATCCTCAAATGATGTGTCGAAGGAGATGTTGACCTCGATGACCTCCTTCATAGCTTTGCTGCGAGTGACGTTTTCGATCCAAAGGTTGTTCAGAACAATATTCGGTACCTAAGTGAGGTTAGTTATTTGATTCAAGCCATTTTTTTTGGTTGTCATAGAAGGAAAGACTCGTGAGAGAACAGCCCACAGTGATTTATCTCACAGTAGGTTATCCCAGTAGGTTATCCCAGTAGGTTATCCCAGTAGGTTATCCCGCTGGTTATCCCAGTAGGTTATCCCAATAGGTTATCCCAATAGGTTATCCCAATAGGTTATCCCAATAGGTTATCCCAATAGGTTATCCCACAACAATCAATTGGAAAAGAACAGGTGAATTGGAGGGTGTCTTACCTGCACAACCTGCATCTTATCAATACGAGTAAGGACCGTGTAGAGCAGTGAGATCTTCTCGACGACCATCTGTTCGCTGCTAACATCGATCCGGTCACCCACGTCATAGGGATGCTTGATGAAAAGGAAAATGCAAGAACCGAGGAACTCCTGACAAGTGACAGAGAAGGCAAATGAGAGCGAGAGAAGGGCTGTTCCTGCGCTGGCAAGTGTGGTCACAAAGCTGCTGTTGAAGAAGGACAAGAAGATGAAGACCACAATCAGGATGACAACGAACAGGAGGACCGAATCGAGGACGCGAAGCGCCTGCCCGATATCCTTCATGCTGTTGGAGATGGCCTTCCTCTCCTTGCCGGTCTCGACGACCTTGCGCACCATCTCGTCCAAGCTGATGTCGCCGTTCATGTCGGCGTCGATGGCCTCGAAGCATTCTTCGGCGTCCTCCTTGTGCCCTGGCCCGAGAACCTCGATGATGTCTTCTGCGTACAACGAATCGTTGCCTTCTACCACGAAGGACATCCAGATACGGCGTGCCAGAGCTTCAGAAGATGGGACCTTCTCAAGGGCCTCCACGACGATCGAGTGGGCAGAATTTGGGTTGAATACCTGCTTTCCGGTGATCTCGGAGGCAAGGTTTCCGAACACAGAGGTTATCTTGTCGCCCACTCGCCCGATTCCTCCAGCAGCCCCGCCGATAAAGTTCATAGGCGTGACAGATCCCGACTTTTTGTGGCCGCGAGCCATGCGCTTCTTGCCACCCGAAAGCATCATCTCGATACTATCGTTGATGATATAGTCCTCATCGGAAAATTCCGGGCACCACATGGGAAACAGCGTCCTGGAGGCGTCGTACATTAAACCGAGCAAGAAAACCTCGCGCTTCGAGTCCTTGATCCTGTTGGCGAACGAGCGCTGGTGGTATGTAATGCTGATCAGCTGAATGATGGCTTTCTCCCCGAGAAGGACGCAGGACGATACAAAGAGCGAGCCCAAGATCCGGCCCATAACGTAGACCCACTGTAGGTCGTCGCCATTGTTGATCTGGAACTTGAACCGGAACACAAGCCACGAGCACAGTGCCCAGAGCAAGAGGGAGAAGGGAATCTCCAAGTTCTTGATAACAGTAGCATATTTTCGGGTGCCCGAGCTAACAACTCCGCAGAAGAACATAAAGATGGGAGGCAAGAAATGGGCGACAATCTTGCCACCCCAGAGGGCCAGCCAGGAAATCTCGATCCATAAGAAGAGATCGAAGAGTCGAGGGGCATTGGATTTCTGGGTGCCGCCCACGCGTGTATCCTCGTAGTGGCCGGTAATAGGGATGACTATGAGGGGGACAGCCAGAAAGAGGGCAACGGGTGCGATGTAGACCATGTATCGAGTGACAACGGAGAAGCCGATGATCTTGTTGTAGATACGGCCCATGGCGTTCAGGCCACCCTCGTCGCCATAGGTGCCCTTCCTGCCGGCGTCTCCCAGGGCCTTGACATTCTTCCTCCTGCCGGCAGGACCAGCATTCTCATTCTTTGACTTGCGGTGGAACAGGCCGGTCTTCTTCTCCTCGGCGGAGGAGGACTGCTCGAGTTCCATGTCTTCGAGTGTCTGATTCTGCCGCCTGGCGCCGGTGGAGCTTGCTGTCTGAACTTGTCTGAGTGGGATGTCGCCCTCGCCCATTGTGTCCGAGGGGTCGTTGCGGCCGTTGAGGGGCATAAATCCCATTTTTGTTGGAGATCGAGGGGAAAGAGGAGGCATTTAGGTGATCCAGCCGTGGGACCCCGTCGTTCCTCCCGTAGACCTGGGGTGGTATATGTGTGTTTGTTGGACGCGACTGTAAAGAAGCGTGTTGGAATACAAGTGACAGATGGGGGTTTTTTAGAGATTGTCTAAGACATTCGAGGTACAAGACCCGTGGAACCGGAGCAGAGCCAAGAATGTGGAGCTCGAGGGTCTCAGTGCGATAATCCGGGGCGACTGGGCCGAGGGAAAAAAAAAAAAGAGGTGGATCTCGAACCCACGTCCCTCTGGTGGCGATGCGAATGGAGACGGTGTCGTGGATCGGCGTGGCTGGGGGTGGGCGCGTCTGGCTCTACCAGAACGGAGGAGGAAGGATAGATATGGGGCCGAGGCTGGAATACGGTATTATTGTTCTCTCAAAGATGCGGTGTTGCCGACGATAAAGCAGAGAAGAGAAGCTAGATCAAAATTGCAGAAGCTGAATGAGGGGGGAGAGTGTACGTAGGAGGAGAAGGGTGAAGGAAGCGATGGGAACTCGACTCGTCGCAGGACAGTCAGTCGGTTCGAGTCAATCAAACAACCCAAATTGATGCTCTGCGAACGATACACAGTAAGAAGGAAGAGCAATTGGTATAGCAGAAGCTATGGCCAGAAGAAAAGGTGAAACGAACGACGTTGTGCAACGGCTGGCGAGGAAGAAAAGTGTATTTGGGCGTGGGTGTGGATGTGTGTGTCTGTCTTGCTGGCTGGCTGTGTGTGACGGAAGGGGTGGTGGGATGGAGCTGGTTGGCTCCTTCATTCTTTCTTTGTGCTGGCCCGTTGTCGTCGGCCGCCTGCAAAAATAGGTAGGTCTAGTCTGTCTACTGTCTAGGTGCAGAGCCAGCCAAGGTTGCGTGCCCACCTCCACCTCACCTCACCAGCCTGCCCAGTCTCGCCAGTCACGCCTCGAGCACACGGAGACTTCCAAGGTTGTGCCTTGGCTCAGGGGTTTGACAGCAAGCTGAACAGCCCAAAAGGGAATGGCGACATCGAGCAGCTTGTTTCAATATCCTGGGGCTGCGCTGCTCATTGGCTTCTTGGTCGTGCTGGACCCCTGAATCTGGAATCTGTCTGCCGTTGTCTTGGAATTGCTCCCCTCCCTTGCCATCTCACCCGCAGCCAACGATATCATCTGTTCTGGCTGCCAGGATGCACGAAGACGCCTTGGCCAGATGTCGAGGGGCCGACGCGTCCCGATCCTCGACATCCTCGCGTACATTGCGACAACAGGCGGCTGCTATCCTCAACTAGTCCAGCCGGTCCAGCCGGTCGCCCAACAGGCCGCGCTGTCATCCGAGGAAGTGCCTGCGGGTGTCTTTGTTGCTGACCGGGCCTCGCTCGGCCTCGATTGCCCTAAATTTGGCCATGCAGCCATGTGGGGTCCCTATAGCTGAGCACGAATATCGTCATGCGGCGCAGCCCAGTGCCAGCCCAGAGAAAAAAACTCTAAACCATAGGGCCGATCCAACACGAGTTGGGAATTCCCGGTTTTGACAGTCCCGCCTACATGTGCTCGTGTTCCGGCACCACCCGTACGAACGTGGTAACTGCCACCGGCAGCAACCTCACAATCTCTCGGCTGTGATGTGATCTATGCCGTTTAATGATGATAACTTGTGCGTGCTTGAGGCCGCCCTGCACCGAGCAGAGGGCGTCGGGCGTGTGTCGTCGACAGGACCCATCATCTCTTGGACTGCGGTCCGGAGACGCTGAGCCCCTCACTCGTGAATGGGTTCCACACGATCTGCTGCTCTGCGTGCATCATGCACAGATTTGTGGGCTTCCACCGCGGCCAGCAGACCAATCTCGCATGCCCAACGGAACCCGCCGTCACCAGCAATGGGGTTACGGTGGAGGTGACGCCATGATCTCCCACTCGCCTATCTATTGTTGCAGTACCTCCATTCCACAGATCGAAGCTCGCCTGTTATCATCCCCTAGATCCCCTCACAACTCAAATCTCGATCCGTCACTCAAGCAATCGGGCCTGTACCCGTACTGTCTGTCTGGCTGTATACTGTGTGTACGCCATCGTGGTGACGGGAGACAGTGACGAAGATGAAAAATAATGATCTTCAGGGCCGACGCGACCGGCGCCAGCCCCTGCGCAAGTGCCTGATCTTTAGGGGCGGCTGAAAGTCTCTGACAGTTGGCGCACGCCACCACTACGTGTGTGGCGCCAGCCGAGCCGCTCACACCTTCTAAACACTGGAATGCGCGGGATGAACGGTTCGTTTCACGGGAGAGCTAGCCAAAGTCAAGGAGCGGGTTTACCTTAGGATGGTAATATTAATCATGTTGCTTAAAAACTCCACACCGACTCAGAGCTTAACACGTAATCCTACAAGATGTGCGAGGTTACCATGTAGAGTCCCTGCCCCACTAGTCGAACGCCCCCTGAAGTCGAACGGCTTTTACACCAAAACTCATACTTTTTAATAAATTCTACTAAGCTTAATTAGACTTAAAAACCTTTTATTTAAAATTAATAGTATAGTATATTAATAATACTTTTATATAAAAATATTTTTCAAAAATATTTTAAATTTTAATAAATATAAAAATAGGTTTAAAGTTTAAAGACTTAAAATGTTAAGGATTAGTACTAAAATAGTAGTATTTTTATAATATTACGTTTTTATTATTTAAAAATTGAATAAAATTATTACAAATAAAAAGAAGTGTTGTTTATATATAATAAATAAGAAATAATAATATAAGAACTTTTATTTTATTTTAATATTTTTTTAAAATATTTAAATTTATAGTTTAATTTTTTATATAAGGAAAAAAGTTTAAACTTAATTTTAAATATAAATACTATTATTTTCTTTTTTATATATTAATATATAATTAATTTATAGTATAAAGTATAATATTTTAAAAGAAAGATAATTAAAATTAAATGTTTAATTAAGATATAATAAAAAGTAAAATGTTAGTACTTTAGGTATAAATTGCTAGTAATCCTTAACATTTCAAGCCTTTAAACTTTAAACTTATTTTTATACTTATTAAAATTTAATTTATTTTTAAAAAAATATTTTTATATAAAAGTATTATTAAAATACTATACTATAAGTCTAGGGTTAGGGGTTTTGAAAATTTAATAAATTTAGTAGAATTTAATAAAAAGTAAGTGTCTTATAGTGTGACTATACTAAAAAATAGCGTTTGTGAGACGTTACTTGGGCTTTATAGCACATGGGCTTGAAGTTTGCACTAAATTGTGTGGATTTTAAGAGTAGGCTGGCTTAAGAAAGAAAGGAAGGAAAGAGAGTTTTGGCGGAGCCTTTGGGGCTGTAGCTGTAGGGTAAGCGGGCTTTATTGATAAGGGGGTTTTATAAGGACCTATTTAGGGGCTTGTAAGAATTAACTGCTTTAGCTATAGCTACTAGCTTTAACTACTTTTCCCTTTTAAAGAAAAGTATAAAAAGTATTAAAGCTTTTTTAATTTTATAATTGAATTAGCGATTTTTATACTTTTTATTTAAAGAATGCTTGCTTAGCTAAAGAGGGGAATAGCTTAGGGAAATGTACTGTTATGTTAGGTTTCCCTAAACCTGGGTTATATTATACTTTTATGCTTGCTTATTATTAGGTTAATCCTATCCTTTATAAGCGCTGTTTATTATACTTTATCCTTTTTTATTAATATTATCCTAATATCTTTTAATTTTATTATATTTATTTACTGTATTATAATTGATTATGTTAAAATATTTGCTTATATTAGAGTATTTGTTTATATTAAAATATTTATTTATTTTATTTAACCTGTGCTAATATTTTGTTTGTTATAGTTGTTAACTTTTATTAATTACTAAATTATTATTCTTATAAAGTTTAACTGTTTTATTAGCTATAGCTATAGTAACCTACTTTATTAAATATATAAGCAGTTTTATATAGTTAGGATAACGGTTATAATATGCTTATAGTATGAGCAGTGTGTAATGGAAGTTTTTTATAGGGTATTATTAGTTATTTAGGTTTTATTTTTTTTATAATACCTAGTACTTAAGCTTATATATTTTACTATTTATATATAAAGTATGCACTTTACTAACCTTTTACTCCTTTTCTGTATTAATAATTTTGCTTATAAGTTATTTTAACTCCTAGCTAGAAAAGGAGTTCTTTAAGTTCTTACAGAGTTGGTTTGTATAGAATATTGCAAACCCCTTTTACTTTAAAGGTAGCTTTAACTAATAGAAATTTTTATTTTTATTAGTACTAATAATTTTATACAATTGCCTTATGAGGGGAAAGTTTAATTTATTATTTAGCTAGTTAGTAGTTTAGGTTTTTTTAAATATAAAAATATAGTTTTTTATACTAAAGTTAGGGCAATATTTATGCTAATTAGCTTGCTTTGTTATCTTTATATTAGTACACTTAATTACTGCTTTAGTAGTATTAATATATTCTTAGATATACTTTGCTATTTTTTGTGCCTTTATATAGGTTAGTTTTTTTTATAGTATATATTTATTAAAAAATGCTTTGTATTCTTAGTTGAAATGCACTTATAGTAGGGTTTTAGTGTGGACTTTATATAGTAATAGCTTGTTTAGGGTAGTATATAGTATTATACTTTAAGTAAAGTTTAGAGTAAGGATTTTTTATAATTAATTGTTCTAGTAATAATTAATGAATATATAAAGATATTGATTGATCTATTAGTTTAGGTTTTTAATTTAACTTTGAGATTTAGAATGCTTTAGTGATAATAACTTTTAGTAAATGCTAGTAATTGTATAGATTTCCTTAAGCTAAGCAAAAATAAATTGGGGTTTATTATTAGAAAAAACTGTTTTAAGAAACTTAAAGACTTTAAATAGTTTTTTATAGTATAGCTTAGCTACTGTTTAGGCTATAGCTGTTTTATAATAGGGTATGTACTAAAATATCTTTATTAATTAGTTTATAATAACTAATAGGTTATTATAACTATAATGATTTTTTAGTATTTTTTTAAAGTTAATTATTAAATGCTACTAAGTTTAATATAGGGCTAGGAGCAGATATAGTAACTTTGGTATTTTATTTTATTAGTATTTAGCTAACTTGTATAAGCAGTTAGCTATAAACTATGCTATATCCCCTTTTATATTTAGCTATTAGTAATAGCTTTTAATTAAGCAGTTAGTTTTGTTTTTGCTTAAGTGTGCTGTAAGCAATCTGTAATGTATATTCTTAATTACTTTTATACAGAGATTATTAAAGTTTAGTATTATAAGTTGCCTTTAGTGTATTATATAATGTTTTTTTATAAAGGTTTAATTAGTTTTTAATAGCTTTTTTGCCTAATTATAGTAAACTTTTAAAGTTGGGTGTTTTTAATTAGCTTTTAATAAAGCGCTTATTAAGTTTAGTTCGGATTATGCTAGTAGGGGTAAAGGATAAAATTTGGTAGGCTTGTTTATGCTATAGATTTTAGCAAGATTGAAGGGTGCTAGGTTAAGCTTTTGATATTATTAATCCTTATTAAGTTAATTATATATATTAAATGAGAAAATGTTTATTTTAGTAAACTAATTTTATTAAAAGATTTTAATTATATAGTAAGTATTATGCCTTTCCTTTTAGGATTAGATATTAGCTGGATTTTGGGATAGGGTATTAGCTGTACAGTTCTTTATACTTAACTAATAAGTAATAGTAAAATAAAACTGTAATATATACTCTGCTTAACTTGTTTAGTAAAGGTTTAATAGTTTTTTAATATTAAAGTATACTAATGCCTAGTAGTTAGTTATAATCTTAAAGGGGGTATATTGTATACTTATTAATTTAGTATTTTAAAATTGCAATAACCGAATTACTACTAGCAGTTCTTTATTATAAATACTATAATTTATTTTAGCTAGTATTATAATTTTAGAAAAGTATTTAACAAGTATTTAGTTGTTTTTATAATGCTATAATAGTACTTTAGCTAATACGCTATTTAAAGCATTTATTTTTAAATATATTTCTAAGCTATAATGGAAATAGGCTAAAATAAGTAGTTTAAGTAATGCAGCTTTAAGTTGCTTAAAGGAGGTTTTACACTTTTATAATTAATAAAAACCTTTTCCTTTACAAGTTAAATTTAATAAGAGTTTAGTAATTTTATTAAATTTTAAAATAAACTTATAGTAAAAATTATAAAATTTGAGGAAAAATTGTATATTTTTTATAGTAATAGGGGCTTTTTACTAATTAATAGCTTTAAGCTTTACTAGATCTATAGTAATACTAAAGGTATTAATAATAAACCTTAAAAATTTAGTTTAGGTTATATAAAACTTGTACTTTTTTAGATTAGCTTATAAGCCTGTGTTATATAGTTTGTGTAAGACTTTAGTTATATATTAAATATACTTTTTTTTAAAATTTAAATAAATAATAATATTATTAATATAAGTATAGTAAAAGTTATTTAAGCAGTTTATAAGCACTTTATTAATATACTGCTAAAAACTAGCTAGTTTATTAGTAAGCTTAAAAAGTATAACTTTAAACTTATAAAAACCTTATTGTAATTAAAAGGCCGTTAGGTCTTTATTATTTAAGTTTATATAGATTTAGTAAAAGGCTTATTAGATGTTAATCTTTATAAAAATAGCAGCCTTTTTTAAGTTTGCTATAATATTGTTAATAAAGGGTAATGAATACTTGTCTTTTATTATTATATTATTTAATTTGCAATAATTAATATAGAAATGCAGCCTATTTTTAAGCTTTTTAGCTATAAAAATTGGTAATACTTATAATATATTAGTTAGTAAAATAAATCCTTTATTTAAATTGTTTAAGATATAAGTGTAAGTAGCTTTAGCTTTTTTATAAAATATCCGCTTTAAAGAGTTATACCTAACTGCTTTTTTTATTATTTTACTATTTTTTAATTAGATTTTATAGTTTTTAAGCTAGTAAAGGGCTAATTAATCTAACTTAGCCTTACTAAATATATAAAAAAGGTAATAATATTGCTTAAGCACTTTTTTAAAAGCTTAGTATTAAAGTTCTTTTTTATTATAAAGCAACTTTTTAGCTTTATACTAGTTTAGTATATATTATTTTAATTTATATAGTAAAGTAATAATTATTTTATTATTTGTAATTGTTTTTTTGAAAATTTTAGTATT